TTCGTTTGGGTTTTGATGTCGGGGATCTTGGTCTCAATCTCTAGGGTTGCAGTTGTTCTTGCTGGTCGTATTCTGCGAGCAATGGGGCAGGGAGTTCTGTACAGGCAAAAATCTTCCGTCCTTTGGCGCAAGATTTTTCCTGTTCAAGTTGTGTGCTTTTTTTCTTGATCGGCGCCAAGCACGGCCATGCCTGCCCATGATGCAAGCCGCGATAGATTTTGTTCGTCGGGAACGAACGTGTAATAAGCCGACACCTTCATCATGGCTGTATGATGATGAAGATGAATGTGCTTGGTCCAGGGAAGAACATGTTCATGAGCCTGATCATGAACATGTTCTTGGCTCTCTACCTGATCGTCAGTTGCTCCTCGCAGCTGCCGCAACTGACGTCGACATGGTAATTTTCGGCTTTGACACTTCTTCTAAAATGAAGTCTAAAGTTGCAAATTTGCAAAATCGTGTGCGATTTTGCCTATGTTGCAACTTTAGACAAACTTTAGACAGACTGTAGAAGGACAACTGCCTGCAGCTGCAACACGTCCTGCGCCCCTACCCGGAAGGCGTGTCCCCATACTTCGTAAATTCGGTCAAATGTCGTCTGTCCAAAACCAACCAACCAACCGACCAACCCACCGGAATTTAGGCCCGCAGGCCCACGCCTACTCCAAACATGCATTCTTCCAGACCCAGACATTTTTACATTTGATATGAAGTCCCTGCTTGCGCCACAGGCAGGAGAAGAAGAAAATTAAAATGAGTGTCTCCTCCACTTCTAGTACGCGACCAAACCGATACTGTTGTGCTACGCAACATGGAAAATAAATTCACCCACGCAAACAAAATCCTGCACTGGAAATGAGTCGTTCAAGAAGAACTCGCCCAAGATGTTGCTACAACGTTACAGTGTAATACTTCGCGACGTTCAGCTGTATTCGAATTGTGTCCTCGAATTGTGTCCAGAAGGAGGAGTAAAAGCAAACGTTGAGATGTTGCACAACGCGGCAGCCGAGTCGCATAGACACTCCGCTTTTGTTCGCCAATGTAAGAATTGTTGAAAAATTCTATGCGTCAGTTGAATTCTTGTGCCAGATGTCATGTTTATGACTTCTTCTTTGAAAGGTTGCTGTGATTCCCACATCTTTCTGTAATTTTTTACGGTACAAAACACGCCAATCACGGCGCTATACTCGATTTGAAGGGATAAAAATTGCAGCTGGTACAAGCGCACGCAAGATGGTATTTTTTGAGTCATTTTATTGTATGAAATCCGCGTATACAGGTCGTGCAAGGCTTAAGTTTACCATTGTGGATTAATCCACAATGGAATCCAGAACATGCAGAACAAGCAAGCCTGTAGCTATTTGGACTGCTTCCAAAAAAAATTACCCATTTTCTAGGCCTGTTTGAGGTTTACAAAATAGCTGCAAAGAATGCAGTTGTGAAAAGTTTGGGGAAGCAAAAGCAAATTGTGGACAGGCGTGAAAAGTGCCCTGCAGCGGACGTCCGGATTTCCGCTGCAGGGCAAATTTTAGAGCCTGAGTAGAGTTTGAAAAATGGTAAAAAAGGGAGTTTTGAAAAGTTTGGGGAAGCAAAAGTCAACGCCGGACAGGCTTGAAAAGTGCCCTGCAGCGGAAATCCGGATTTCCGCTGCAGGGCAAATTTTAGAGCCTGAGTAGAGTTTGAAAAATGGTAAAAAAAGGAGTTTTGAAAAGTTTGGGGAAGCAAAAGTCAACTCCGGACAGGCTTGAAAAGTGCCCTGCAGCGGAAATCCGGATTTCCGCTGCAGGGCAAATTTTAGAGCCTGAGTAGAGTTTGAAAAATGGTAAAAAAAGGAGTTTTGAAAAGTTTGGGGAAGCAAAAGTCAACTCCGGACAGGCTTGAAAAGTGCCCTGCAGCGGAAATCCGGATTTCCGCTGCAGGGCAAATTTTAGAGCCTGAGTAGAGTTTGAAAAATGGTAAAAAAAGGAGTTTTGAAAAGTTTGGGGAAGCAAAAGTCAACTCCGGACAGGCTTGAAAAGTGCCCTGCAGCGGAAATCCGGATTTCCGCTGCAGGGCAAATTTTAGAGCCTGAGTAGAGTTTGAAAAATGGTAAAAAAAGGAGTTTTGAAAAGTTTGGGGAAGCAAAAGTCAACTCCGGACAGGCTTGAAAAGTGCCCTGCAGCGGAAATCCGGATTTCCGCTGCAGGGCAAATTTTAGAGCCTGAGTAGAGTTTGAAAAATGGTAAAAAAAGGAGTTTTGAAAAGTTTGGGGAAGCAAAAGTCAACTCCGGACAGGCTTGAAAAGTGCCCTGCAGCGGAAATCCGGATTTCCGCTGCAGGGCAAATTTTAGAGCCTGAGTAGAGTTTGAAAAATGGTAAAAAAAGGAGTTTTGAAAAGTTTGGGGAAGCAAAAGTCAACTCCGGACAGGCTTGAAAAGTGCCCTGCAGCGGAAATCCGGATTTCCGCTGCAGGGCAAATTTTAGAGCCTGAGTAGAGTTTGAAAAATGGTAAAAAAAGGAGTTTTGAAAAGTTTGGGGAAGCAAAAGTCAACTCCGGACAGGCTTGAAAAGTGCCCTGCAGCGGAAATCCAGATTTCCGCTGCAGTTCTGAAAGGTTGGAGAGGACGGACCAGCGTCGTGCTATTCGAATTTATTTGGATCAGAAAGGCGTGTTCAAAGCATGGAGTATGGAACTGTGAAATGAGAAGGACTCACTTCAACCCATTTTCGATGAACTTTACAGGTTGGATCATTTTCGTCCGGCACTATGTCAGATCCAAAACATTCATGGAGAACTTGTGGAAAATAAGACTTTTGTAAAACTAAAGAACCTCCACCTATCGAAGATCCGTCAGTCAAGCTATAGCACTTTGAGCCCCATGCACGAAATTACTAAATTTGAAAATCGCACGCAAATAGTTAGTTGAAGAACTGCGCAGAAATTTGCCTACATGTTGTTGTCCTTCTTGCGATTGGGGCGATAAGCTTCGTCTAAGCGCCAGATGTTCTTGAGCTTCATTGAATAAAGTGGCTTCATTGAATAAAGTAGCTCGTCAAGATAGAAGCACGCCGGGTTTTAAAGGATCAAAGCGTCCGCCTGGCGAGTTCAAAATAAAAGTATGTAAGATGAAGTCAAATTTACCAATACGTATACGACGAAGAAGTGATAAACGAAAATAATGAACTACCTCATTTCCATCAAAATGTTCTTTCTTTCCCACAACTACTCTCTCGGCCTGGTGCTGCTGCTGCTCATCGGGTCGGTGGATTTCGGCACGTGCAGTTTATTGGAAACAAGGACAACTAAAAGTCAAAAAACTACTGCACCAGATGAAGCAGAAGATATCAAACGCGACTCCTCTTCTCCGCAAGACGAAGAACCTCCACTAGAGGAGCGTGCGTCTTTTATGGGCGGAGAACCTCAACTTTTGCTGCCAGGCATGACATCAGGGGATGAAGTTATTGAAGACCTCGTCGGCGTGCAAGCTGATTTTTCACCTACATCTGGAATTTTGTCACAGCATGAAAAACCTCCACCACCTCCGTCGAGGACCACCACTACAGAGAACAAAACCATGAAAACGGAGACTATTCCGCTCAAGCTTTTGATCACGGCAAAGGGAAGCTTGACGGCGCCGCAAGATGGACTTGGTGTCGCGCGTCCTGGTATCAAATGTAAAAATGTCTGGGTCTGGAAGATTGCCAGGTTTGTCATGCACATTTTGAATGACTCCTGATGTCTGTGATGCATGCCCTAGCATCACAGACTTTGTGAGAGCTTCCTGATGCCTATACCGCATGACAAATGCTCTTTCCGTGTAGGAAGACTTGGAATCTATTTGCTGCTCATGCAATACAGATTTTTTTAGAATCTACAATCAGCATGAGAAGTTGGATTCTTCCAGACCCAGACATTTTTACAGTTGATACCTGGTCCTGGAGGAAGATCTTGGTGTACCGCGTATCCTGAGTAAAAACGTACCCACACCATAGTTGTCATGCAACTCTGCATGGTTAAAATGTTTCTCATGCGGAGCCCCATGAGAAGCGTTTTCTAATGCGGTTTTGAAATTTGTCATGCTCCAATCAGCACGAGATACTAGATCTGTAATGCTGCTAAACTAGCTCAAACAGCACTACACTACGCGGACAAACTTGTCGTGCCAAACAACCAAAGCTGGCTGATTTGTCTAGCAGATTCCCCATCCTGACTCTGGTGTGGATACGTTTTTACTCAGGATAGCGCGTCAGCAGCCTCCGCTCTGGAAGAAGATCTTCTTCACGATCATCTTAGCAGAAGAACGGGCAGCGTTTTGAAATCACAATCACAACAAGAAACAACTCGTCCTACTTTCCGCTACACGACTACTTCCCTCTTGACGGAGGCGATGGTTCCGCGTGACCAGCAGTTTACTACAACAGTCTCTTTGCCCTCCACCACGCAGACGAGGTTTCGCGGAGAGTTCGTGAACAACTTAAAGCGACGGGACGATGAGGAGAATCTATGCTATTGTTCATCTTACGAAGGGCAGCACGTGAGTAAACTTGTGCTTCCGAGCTGCTCTCATGCACCAAGCGGCAATTTGGTGCTGCCAGACGTTTTCTCTACCAGAACAAACAGGTCCTTCGCGACGACATTCGCATCCTTATCTACTTCCTGGGCAGATCGACTAGCTGCACAAAATTTCAGCTCAACAACAGGCTCTTCGTTCCTAGAGCAAAAGCGCAAAAAACTCGCTGAAGACGTTGCGGCGAAATTATCCGCTGGAACGGCAGCGATTCTGCTCAGCGACAGCTATTTGCTGGATCTACCACGTCGTGGTACTAAAGTTGTACCAAGCAACAAGTACGCGGAAAATAGTGACAACACCGAGGGCCTTGCAGATTTATTCGCAGACCAACTTTCCATCCAACAACATGATCATTTTCAGCTCCACCACGCCACGACGCAGGACCAGCAACAACTCAATCTCTGGACCTTGACCGACGAAGAATTGCAGGTTCTGAGTAAGAAAATGCTGTCGGAGGAACATCAGTTTCTGCAAACGAATATGAAATGCAAAAGCATCGTACTAGTACGAATTGCATATACAAATTTTCTCAGCATGAGAAATGGAATTTGTAATGCTGATTGACCTTAGGAAAAAGATTTGTAATGCATAGTGTGCAATTATTACGAGTGCGATCCTTTTGCAGTGGATAACGAAGCGCATCGTGCGGATTGGGCAGACGGATCTGGACAGTGCAGAAGGCGCCATGGCGTTTTTTTCCGCTAGTTTTCTCGACGGCCAAGGGACAAATGACGCTGCTGGGGCAGACACGCGAAGCTCGTTGGTGCTGCAGCAGAACAGGACTGAGTTCTATCCACCAATAAACCGAGAAGATGACAACTCCATCCCAAGTGGCCCACCGTTCCGTATTGTCGGCAAAAAAGAATGTCGCGGGCTCACGCAAAGACAATTGGAAGAAATCGCGGTGCACGAGCATGATTTAATATTTCCAGCAAAACTACGTTGCGCCCCCTCGTCTTTCCGCCCAAGAAGCAAACTTTCCCCCGTACGACACGACCTCGACCGTCGGGGCGAAAATAACTTCTTTTTCCACCACGAAAGATCTGCCGGCCGCGACAGGACGAGATATCTGACGACCACCCCGCTGCTGGCACGGGTAGTAGTATCAACAGCGCAGCAGTGTTCAACATCTACTGCATCATACGATCCGGCAGAAGTAGAATCTCCAGAAGCAGGCGCGACACGAACTGACTACATTGTCAGGCCTGCAGCTGATCATGGTTCTTTCGGTGAAAATGCTGATTCGTCCGGCGAGCCCAACAAGGAAACTCTGCAAGAACTAGCACATGATAGACAGCAGCAAGCAGCCGTGTTTCAACAATTATATCCAACCGCAGCTGCAACTCCCTCTCCACCTTCCGGGTTGGAAAGCAGCTGCACAGACCACGACCAGAACAAGCGGAAAAATAAAATGAGTGCTAGACGCTTTATGGTGCAGAACGCAAAACTAGGAGCAGCGCGTACTACGATAAGCGGGACGACGAGAGAAGGTAGTGGGTCTCCTGCTGTTTCGCAAGACTTGGCGGGAAATGGCGAAGGCGAAGCGCATGTGCCTCCCAGCGGAAAATTTGCGGCGAGCGAGCTGCTGCACTCGCGGACGGCGGCAAGCAGTGGGTCGTTTGCGACGGTTGAAAAATAAGTATGGAACAGGCTTCCCTACGCCCTGATCCGTTTGCGGGGGCTTTGATTTTTTCTTGTACTTGTTTATCCTTTTGGTTTTGGTCGTCGTTTTGCACTCATGTTCATGATGTTCCTTGTCCTTCTGGTAGAGCATAACTTCGTCAGTCATTTGTTTTTTAGCTAAAGAAGATTGATTTTTACACACATGTAATGATCGCAAGCACGAGACACCGTTTATCATTTCGAAACAGATGCGTAAATGTCTTCGAAGCACAGGCAAGCACTACATGCTACTTATCCAAAGGTTCAGTCATACAGTCGTAGTTTTGACTTTTTGATTTACAACCATACATTGCAGCACGGCACCAGAGCAGCAGAAATCTTATCTTTGCAATAGGCGTGGGCCTGTAGGCCTAAATTCCGGTCGGTTGGTCGGTTGGTTGGTTGGTTTTGGACAGACGACAACTGACCGAACCCGCTGCATTGTGTTTTGTGTTTTTCTGAGATTCGTCTATTGTTACTGTTGAAGCTGCCTACCTACCCACCTACCTGGCGTCTTTTCGATTCATTGTAGTACCGTGATCGCACCGACCCACCTACCTACCTATCCCTTGCCACCCAGAGACAGCTGCCTACTGGCCACGCCTACCGACCTACCCACCCACATGGTGGGTAGGTGGGGCGAGGGAGCGCGCGCTGCCAATTGGCCACGCCTACCGACCTACCGACCCACCAGCCTGGTGGGTCGGTGGGGCGAGGGAGGGCGCGCTGCCTATTGGCCAGCACACCTACCGACCTACCCACCCACCTCGCTGGTGGGTGGGTGGGGCGAGGGAGCGCGCGCTGCGTATTGGCCGCGCCTACCGACCTACCCACCCACCAGCCTGGTTGATGGGTGCGGCGAGCAAACGCTGCCTATTGGCCACGCCCACCGACCTACCCACCCACCTCGCTGGTGGGTGGGTGGGGCGAGCCAGGCAGCGAGCGCTGCCCCTTGGCCACGCCTACCGACCTGCCCACCCACGAGCCTGGTGGGCGGATGGGGCGAGCGTGCGCTGCCTATTGACCACGCCTACCGACCTACCCACCCACCTCGCTGGTGGGTGGGTGGGGTGAGCGTGTGTTGCCTCTTGGCCACGCCTACCGACCTACCCACCCACCTGCCTGGTGGGTGGGTGGGGCGAGCGCGCGCCGCCTATTGTCCACGCCTGCCGAGCGACCTACCCACCCACCAGGCAGGTGGGGGTGTGGGGCGAGCGTGCGCTGCCTACTGGCCACGCCTACCGACCTACCCACCCACCTGCCTGATGGGGGGGGCGGGGCGAGCGTGCGTTGCCTATTGGCTACGCCTACCGCCCTAGACCCACCCACCCAGCTGCCAAGCGGGGGGGGGGCGGGGGCGAGCGTGTGTTGGCTACTGGCCACGCCTACCGACCTACCAACCCACCTGCCAAGCGGGGGGGGAGGGGGTGGGGCGAGCGTGCGTTGCCTATGGCTCAACTTATTAGCAGGGGGTTTGCAAGCAAGCGACTCGCGCAGCGAAGGGGTTGCGCAAAAAGCCTCCCTCGGCATGACCCAGCGGGGGCTGATCCAAATTTTGCGCGAGTTTGTCTCTATTTCCCAAGTGTGTTTCGCTTGGGTTGAGGAAGCGCAGGTCGTGGCTGGAGAAAAATGCAGCACTGGGGCCCCGACCTCTTTCTATCTCACAGGCGCAAACTCTCACGAGGCCCCCCGGAGCTCCGATCGCGTCCACGCAGCACAGATTTGCGTCTGCAGCGAGCTGCGCGCAACACTGATTTGCGTTGCGCGCAACACAGATTTGCGTCCACGCAGCACAGATTTGCGCGCAGCGCCGATTTGTGCTGCGCGCACGCAGCGGAGCTTTGTGTCTGCGGCGAGCTGCGCGCAGCACAGATTTGTGGCGCGCGCAACACAGACTGGCGTCCACGCAACACAGATTTGTGTCTGTGTTGCGTGGACACATCGAACTCTCCTTCTGCCGAGACCTTTCTGCCGCCCTGGCGGAAGTGCCTACTGGGCGGCGATAGGATGTGGCGCCACCAGCCTCGCAGGGGCGGGCTGCAGCCCCGGTAGGGAGGCAGGTGCGCCGCACGCCCCGACCACCCCCCTATCGCGTTTCGCCCTCCTTGCCGTTGCGGTTGTCTTCTAAATTCAAAACCGATATGCGTTTTTCCATAATTCGTAAATTCGGTCAGTTGTCGTCTGTCCAAAACCAACCAACCAACCGACCAACCGACCGGAATTTAGGCCTACAGGCCCACGCCTACTCTATCTTTGATACAGTCTGTCGAGCTGCTGTTAACTACATCTGCACAACTGCAAAACCCACGTCTGCTCTGCCATAAAGTGGAAAAGAAAAATGTACCGGAAATATTTCCAATCGCGGCCAGGCTGTTGAAATTGAAATTGTGGATACTAAGCGTATTGCTTTTTTCTCCATTGTGCTCGGAGGTGGGAAGAACTCACAGTGAGCTACAAGTGTTCTACTTCACGACAGTGGGTACCCGATACTATTTCTTCTGGCATTACTTCTCCATATTGGTGTTCAAGTTCGTTCTCGCAACCGACCCTTGCTGGAGAAAGGAAAAGTGAAGAGATCTGGTGAGAATGATGTGACGGAACGATTAGTGATGGTTGACGTGAAGAACAAGCAGGATGATGTGCTGGAAAAAGATCATCCTCTTGAGTCTTGTTGTCCCTTGGACAACGTGGCAATCCGTTTATTTCAAACCAAGGTGGAGGTCGTCTGATGGTGCCAAGCTGAATTTGAACGATGAATTACAAAACAAAACGAACGAGAAGTACGTGAGGTGGTTCTTTTTGATTCTGCGATTTTTCCATGACGCGAAGATCGGATCTTCGCTTTCACAAGTTTGTCATGCATGAACTGCGATGGGCAAGAAGAAGAAGAACGAGATCCAGACTGATGCGCAAGCCACATAAAGGTAAACGTGGTTGCACAAGCACAGTCAACTGTTATTCTACAATATTATCCGCACTGTGTTGCCGAAGGCGTCTATCCCGGATGAATAGGAAGTTTACCATTATGGATTGCTTCTTTCTTCGAGGTGGATTCTACTTTCTGAGAATTTTCGGAATCTGAATTTTTCCAGCCCAATAAAAACTCGATTAGGAAAAGGAAAAAGGAATCGCGAGTCATCTCTCCAGATTGACCCTACTGGTAACATTACATAAAAACTAAAACAGTATTGAAAGGCAAATATATAAAGACGTCTACTTCTTTGACACCTGAAAGCGACACAAGGAACTACACGGCGACATTGTTAAAAAAGAATATCTCCAATACCAAGCGACAGAAAGTTCTATCAGGTCAGAACGTCGGGTGACCGTGACCAGAATAATTGTGAAGGAAAATAAATTCAGCAGACGTGACTCTTCTCAACAGCAGGAGAAGAACTGAACTAATCTTTGTTTCCACAAAACATCTTCTCGTGGGACGGAAGGACTTCTCGAACTTGAACCACTACTTACACCCGGAAGTGGAACCGCTGCGCTCGTCATCTCCACGGCGTTCGGCCATTTGCAGTTTTGATCCACATCAACTACCCGGTAGTGGAGGTTGTGTAGCAAAAACAGCTCTACAAAGTACCACGAACCAACATGCCGGACGAGCCCAAGAAAATCGCCATGAAGGTTTCTGCGGCCGCCAAAAATATCCTGTGCAAAAGTATCGTACTCGTATTGTAATCATGCATCACAAATCTTTTTCTTAAAGGGAAATCAGCATTACAAATTGTATTTCTCATGCTGAGGAAATTTGTAATGCATTTATACGAGTACGACTACGATACTTCTGCAATGCATAAAAAAGGCCGCGCAACCCAAGGCCAAAGCGGCTGCGGGAGGGAAGTCAGCGGCTGCGGGTGCAGCTGGGAAGAAAGCGGCTAGTGCGGGGGATGAACCTGAAGCTGAAGTTGGTCCGACGGTGGAAAAACAGCCGAAAGGCAAAGCAGCGGCCATGAAATCCATGAAGAAGGACGATGACGGAGGTGCTGTTGCTGCTGGTCCAGGCGAGGCCGCGCCGCAAGCGAATAAAGCTGCTGCGAGTATGAAGAAATCCATGAAGAAGGAGAACGATGCTCTATCCTGTGCAAAAGTAATATCGCACAAGTATGAATTGCATTACAAATTAGCCCAGCATTACAAATTGAATTTGTAATGCTGATTTGCCTTGAGAAAGAAATTTGTAAAACATAAATGCAATTACTACGAGTGTGATACTTTTGCAATGCATATGCTCCTGCGGAGGACAAAAAAGGCAGCAAGTCCGTCAATGCCAAAGTGATGAAATCGATGAAGCAACAGCCCGCTGCGTCTTCCGCTTATCAACTGTAAAAATGTCTGGGTCTGGGAACTTGTGATGCTGGGTAGCGTCTCATGATGAGGCTACAAATGCTGGCTCAGCATGACAAGTTTCTGAGCTCCTAGGTGTTGCCTATTCTGCATGACAAACTGCGCTTCTGCATCACACAAAAACGGAGCTCTTGGGTAACGTGCATGACAGATTTAAGAGTCATGCCAGACAAGCATGACAAACATGAATTCTTCCAGAACCAAACATTTTTACAGTTGATACCGCTGCTGCTGGTGCCAAAAAGGGTGAGGAAGGTGGTCCTGTTGCTGAGGACGTGGGATCTGGCGGCAACGGAGCCGGGGAGCAGGACCAGGCGAAGAATGATCCCGTCGGCCTGGCTATCGCACGAAAAAAAGTTTTTACAGTTACACATTTGTTGGAATTTCTGCATCACAAACTTGCTCGACATGGCAAAGAAAATCTGTGTTGCGTAGACTATAAGGGAAAACACGCACGAAATGACGCTGGCAAGCATTTTCCTGCATGACAGAGGGTGTCTGTCTTGCTTGTCTTCCATCAGAGTGTGGAACTACTGTAACACTGTTTCCGTGCGATACTGGCTGCTGGTGAAGGAGCAAATGTGAAGAAAATGAACCTCTCCAAGGAACTGGGCGGTGAGCCGCAAGTTGGGAAAAATGTGGACAACCAGAAGAACAACGACCTTGCTGCTGCTCCCGCTGTGAAAGAGCCCGGAGTTGGTGCTGGTGCTGCTGCTGTTCCAACCGGATTCCCCTCTGTTGCTGCTCCAGCTCCCGGTGCTGCGGCTAGCAGCTCCGCTGGTGCTATGGATTGCAAATTTCGTCTGGGTCGTCCTGGGGAGCAAGCTGGCAACTTGTCATGCGAAATCTCGATCACAAAAAAAATATGTGTTGCATGAAGTACGCCAAAGAGTGTCCACTTCTTGGTAGGGAAAGAGTTGTGGGTTTCTCAAGTGGACGGAGAGGCATGAGTTGTAAAGGTCTCGCAAATAAATCTGTGATGCTTCTGTGATGACAAACTTGTGCATTCATGATCCAGAGGACATCCCTGACGTGTTTGCATTCGACAAGTACATCCGGGGACATGTTGTCCCAGAAGAATTCTCTCGTCACTGCCAACCAGCATCAACCTGCAGCTGCCAGTAGTACTACTAGTACTCCTGCAAAAAATTCCGAAATGTTGATGAAGAATTCCTTATCTTGTGCAAAAGTACCGTACAACTCGTACGAATTGCAATTAGGCATGACAAATCTTGTTACCTTAAAGGTAAAACAGCATGACAAATTCCAGCTGCTCTCATGCTGAGCTGCAAATTTGGAATGCAATTCATACTAGTACGACACTTTTGCAATGCATATTCCTTGGCCGCTGCGAACCTGAATTTCAACCAGCACGCGCACGACATGGCCGACGCCATGCGCCTATCAAATGTAAAAATGTCTGGCTCTGGAAGATACTGACACTTGTCATGCGCGTTTTGCATGAGCCATGATGTCTGTGATGCATACCCTAGCAATACAGATTATTTGAGGGCTTCTTGATGCGTATTCTGCATGACAGATGCCCTCTCAGCGTAGCAAAAATTGCATTTCCATTGGTACTCATGCAATACAGATTTTTTTGGAATCCAAATGCAGCATCACAAGTTGCATTCTTCCAGACCCAGACATTTTTACAGTTGATAGCGCCAGGGGGGCTGCGACAGGGCAACCGCGCTCGGCGCTTTGCTCGACGCGGGATTTGACGCCGTGACCGCTGCCATCACGACGACATGCTTCACTTGGTCGGACGAAAACAAGGAGAAAAAAGCAGACCCCGTCGCCGTCGGTGTTGTGGGTGGAACAAATATGGCTGCAGTGATAAATCATTCGGAGAAAAAACCGCCGGAGGAAAAAATAGAGCAGCATGTGGTGGATTCGTTCCTCGCCCAGATGAACAAGGTGAGCGAAAACAAGCATATGCATTGCAAATATGTCTGGGTCCTCTGGAGGGTTGCAACTTGTGATGCTGTCTTTAGATTCTAAAAAAATCTGTATTGCGTGACCAAGAAGAGGGGTGGTCCATTTTGTGCTACGCGGAGAGGGCATTTCTCATGCGGCATAGGCATCAGAAATGCCCTCTAAAAATATGTGATGCTAGGGCATGCATTACAGGGAGTGTGGGTGATGCAAAATATGCATGACAAACCTGGCAAGCTTCCAGACCGAGACATATTTGCACCTGATAAAGCAGCCGCAGATGCAACTCGACCCACAAATTCTGGAAAAGGAGCAAAGCGCGCTGCTTCCGCCGCCGGTGGCCGAGAACAACCAGAACTCGCTGCTGCAGCCGCAGGGGTATCCTGTGCAAACGTATCGTATTTGTAGTAATCCATAATCGCATTTATGCATTGCAAATCTCCATCCCAAGGTAAAACAGCATGACAAATTCCATTTGTCTTGCTGGCCGAATTTGTAATGCGATTTCTACTACTACGATGCTTTTGCAAAGCATAAGGGCCTGCTGGGAAAGAAGAACGACATGCCGTTCCAGCAGATTGATGCGCAAGAATCCGCCGCGAAAATGAAAAATGCACTGCTGGATAATCGTCTCCCGGAGGAGCAGCCGCAGTTGGGCGCAAAGGTCGATCATGTCGGCAAGCAAAACATGATGCTCGGAAAGGAGCAGGTGGTTGTTCCCATGCAGTTGCTGCCAGACGAGGAGAAGAACAAAGAAATGAAGAAGATGGACGAAGACGTCGAGATGCAAGATGCGTTTGCTCAGGTCGTGCAGGAGCCGCTCGCCGTCCAGGCAGCCCCGGTTGGTGCAGTGATGAAGAAGTCCGGAATGAAGAAAGAAAAAATCGCCCCACCCGCCATGAAGAAGCAGAACCAGAAAGCCGCGGCACCGAAGGCTGCTCCTGCTGCGGAGGGTAACAATAAGAACGCCGTGAAGAAGCCGAACAACAAAAATAAGGGCGTCAAAGGCGGGAAAAAGAACGACCTCGACCTGGACTTGGACATCTTTGATGGCGAGGAGGACGAGGTATCACATAGAAAAAAGCAGGCGAAGTATATCCATTTGTAAATGCAAAAAACGTTTAGCAGAAAAATCCGTCATGGGCGAAGATCTTCCCATAGCATGCTGTTTAGAAGAGGTTTCCTTACGCAATACAGATTTTTCTGTGTGTTCATTTTTGCATGGCAAATAGGCCGTGCCTGGCTTTTTCTGTGGGATACGAGGAAGACATGGACTTGGAGGAGTTGCAGGATGGGGAGGAGTATCAACTGCAGAAATGTCTGGGTCTGGAAGAATGCCAGACTTGTCATGCTGGTTTTGCATGACCCATGCGGCCTGGCGTGTAGGACATAGCATGACAGACTCTGTGAGAGTGCTATCATGCCTATCCTGCATGAATAACCGCCTCTCGATTAGGTCAAAAGTGGACAGCTTTTGGCAATCATGCAACACAGATTTTTACAAAATCAGATTTAGCATTACAAGTTGCTTTCTTCCAGACCCAGACACTTTTGCATTTGATAAGGAGGACGAGAACGGGGAGAAGCAGAAGGGCGGAAAAAATGCCATGAAAAAGGTCATGAAAGGGAAGAAAAAAGCCATGCAGAAGGAAGATGAGCAAGGTGCTGCGCAGAAGCAAGTCATGAAGGCAGGGGCGAAAAAACAGTCCACGGTGGCAGGGGGAGAAATGAGCTACCGCCTGCGGGTCAGCCGCGTGTTCCACGGCCGTTTTGGAAAGACAGTCACTTCGGGTGGAATGCAGAAGAAAGACTTGAAGCGAAACAAGCGTGGGAAGATTTATGCTGTGCAAAAGTATCGTGCTCGTATAAATGCATTACAAATTTTCCCAATATGAGAAATAAAATTTGTCATGCGGAATAACCTTACGAAAAAAATTTGTAATGCATGAATGCAATTACTACGAGTACGATACTTTTGCACAGGATAAGATTGTCTCAAAGGCAAAATCCGCCGCCGCGAAAAAGAGAACTCCTATGAACTGCAAAAGTATCGTACTAGTACAAGAATTGCATTACAAGTTTGCTCAGCATTACAAATTGAACTTGTAATGCGGATTTGCCTTAGGAACCAGATTTGTAATGCATAAATGCAATTGGTACGAGTGCGATACTTTTGCAATTCATAACTCCCCTCCTGTGGCCAGTGTGCGTCGCGGAAGCGCGAAAGGAGCTCGGTATGGCGTTCTCAACTGTTACATTCTCAACTGTTGCATAAATTTGTAATGCTAAAACAGCAAAAGCGAAAGCGGAGAGATCATTGCGTGTTTGCAATACAAATCTGGAGCGGATTGTTATGCTGTTTAGCCCTTCGAGACTTTGTGATGCGAGAACACCTTGACCGCGTGGCTGCTTGTGGCAGTTTTGCATGATAAATCATGTAACGGCTGAGAATGTAACGTTTGAGAACCCCATACTCGGGACCAAGGGCTTTGGGAAAATGAAGAACCCGGCTAAGGGAGGGGGTACCCCAGCGGAGTACGAGCTGTATCGCACGGTGAAGCGCATTTACGAAGTATTGTGAGGAAAAATCCCCCCTGCCCATGACAAAAAGGGAGACTTCTGAAAATTTGTGATGCCGATTTGTGACCACAAATCGGTTCTGTGTTGCAAGAAGGCCAATCCAGAGACTCCGCCGCATTATCCAGGCGGTTTGTGATGCTATGGGGTCTACAGAGTACACATTTGCCGTGCTACGCGCCTACGTCAAGACCCTTCGCCTTGGGCTGGGTATGGGCCTGCAGTCCTCTACTGCAACACAGACCTGATTTGTGTACGCAAATCCAGCATCAGAAACTTCCGTGTGATATGTGGAGGGGGGATTTTTCATTTTAATACGAAGAGAAGAAAAAAGTGGCTGGCGAAACGAAAAAGAAAATGGAGGCGGACGTGGCGGCAGCCTTGGCCGACGGAAAAAATGTATGAACTGCAAAAGAAATAGTATCGTACTAGCATAAATCGCATGACAAATTAGCCCTGCATGACAAGTGGAATTTGTCATGCTGATTTGGCTTGGAAACGATATTTGTAATGCATAACTGTGATTTTTGCGATTAGTACGAGTACGATACCTTTGCACAGCATAAAATCCCGCCGCGGGCAAGAACATCTTTGGTTTATCGTCGGTGGTGAACAATGGCGCGGGCGTCGGAGGAGCTCCGGTAGTTGCTGCTGTCCTGGGCGTATGAAATGCAAAAATGTCTGGGTCTGGAAACTTGTGATGCTACAATGTGCATGATGAAAACACTTCCGAATGCAGTCCGGCATGACAACTTTCCAAAACGCTTTCTCATAGGCAATCCGCATGAGAAAGTGCGTTTTTGCATGACAAAACAGGCTGCGACTTTTGTTGGTTATGCAATAGAGATTTTTTAGGTATGGAAAGCTAGCATTACAAGTTCCATTTCCCAGACCCAGACACTTTTACAATCCATAGGGCGGTGGAGGACCCGCGCCGCACAACATGCCGGATCCGTTCGCGCCGTCCGCGGTGCAAAATAATATCAAATGCAAAAATGTCTGGGTCTGGAAGGTCGGAACTTGTGATGCTAACTTTGGATGCTAAAAAAATCTGTATTGCATGACCAGCAAGAGGAGCCCAGTTTGTGCTACGGGGGGAGGGCATTTGTCATGCGGGATAGGCAGCAGGAAGGCCTCTAAAAATATGTGATGCTAGCTCATGCATTACAGACATCCTGACTCATGCAAAATATGCATGACAAACCTGGTAATCTTCCAGACCCAGACATTTTTACAGTTGATAAATAACCAGATGGAAGCACCATTGTTGCAGCACCCAGAGGGCGGGCTGCGTGTTGCTCCTGGCGCGGGTGTAGGTGCGGTGGCTGCTGTCGTGGGGGGTAGTAACGACCAGATGGTGAACAATGTCCGGCAGATATCCTGTGCAAAAGTATCGTACTCGTAGTAATTGCGTTTATGCATGACAAATCTCTTTCTCAAGGGAAATCAGCATTACAAATTCAATTTGTAATGCTGGGCTAACTTGTAATGCAATTGATACTAGTACGATGCTTTTGCATTGCATGGCAGAATATGAATAACAATGTGGGCGGTGGTGGTGCTCCCGGAGCAGCATCTTCTTCTTCTTCCTCTCACCAAGTCGTGCCGCAGTTTTTGGGTCTTCAGCAGCCGCAGCAGTTTGGGGCTACTTCCAGCAACGCAGCGTCTGCAGCTTTACCAGGACAAGGACAGGAGAACAACGGCGACATCATCTTCATGTCCGGTGAGAAGGTCATGGACGCTTATCCAGGGAAAAACACACATCTCCACCCCCATCCAATCTGTCAAGCAAAACATGCATAAGCTCCAGTGTTTGTCATGCAAAAAATGGATGGAGATTGATGTTTTTTCGTGGATATTAGCGCTGAGGGAGATGCGATCTTGGAGCAGGAGCCGGCGCAGGCGGGAGAGCAGAAAGGCGATATTCCAGAGCAGGATACGCATTGCAAAAGCATCGCACTATGTTGAAATTGCATGCCAACAAATTACTCATCTATCGCGAACAAGAACAAATGTGATATCTGTATTGCTGATTCAGGTATTAAGAAACTAGATTTGTCATGCATAGCTGCAAGAACTTAAAAACCTTAGACGAGTACGGTATTTGTTTTGCAACAGTCTTCGTCCTCGTATAAATGCATTACAAGTTTCCACCTCAGCATGATAACTAAAACCTGTATATGCGGATTTACCCAAAAGAAAAAGATTTGTAATGCATGACAGCAAGAATTATTACGAGTACGATACTTTTGCACAGGATAAAGTTCGAGGACCCGAACAAGTCTCCTATCCTGAGCAAAAACGTTCCTATCCCAGAGTTGTCATGCAAATGCGCAATGACAAAAACATTTGCAATGCGGATCTCCATGAAAGGCATTTCAAATCGCGTTTTGGCATTTGTAATGCTGTAAACAGGATCAGAAAATGGCTTTCTCATGCGGCTGCCCTTGCTAACCAGCATCACACTTCTGCAGGTGGAAATTTGTCATGCACATCTCTCAAGACTAGGAGATTTGTGTTGCAGATTTCCCAACTTGTTGACTATGGGGTGTGGGCCCCGTTTTTGCTCAGGATATCTCTCTTCAAGAATCCGTTAAAAGAGATGGATATTAAAGGCGATCGAGACTGGGACGCTTTATCAACTGTAAAAGTGTCTGGGTCTGGAAGAATTCGAATTTGTGATGCGAAGTCTACATCATGAGAAAATCTGTGATGCGTGGCTAGCAAAAGGCCCCACTTCTTGTTTCCGAGAGCCGGGATTTGTCATGCGGATTAGGCATTGGGATATCTGCTCAAAATCTGTGATGCTAGAGCTTGCATTCCAGACGATTTGGGTCATACAAAATCTGCATGACAGATCTCGCATTCTTCCAGACCCAGACAATTTTGCATTTGATACGCTTTGTCGGAACCCGAAAGCCCGGATCCGTATGGGCTGAAAAAACAAAAAGCAGATGCGGCGCAGGAATGATCGAAAAAAAAACCAGTGATTTCTTCTTTGATTTAATCATCATCATCTTCTTCTACTTTGTCTTTCCGGGATTTCTAATTCGGAAGTTAAGTAGAACAAACTGTACCACCTCCTTCGAGCAGAACTGAACAAACGGTGAATATCAAACTGGTCTTCTTGAACATCTACCTCACGACATGGATGATATGCACTGCAAAAGTATCGTATTGGTCCTAATTGCAGTTGTGCATTACAAATTTCTTTTTCAAGCTAAATCAGCATCACAAATTCCATTTGTCATGCTGAGCCAATTTGTATTGCAATACTACGAGCGCGATACTTTTGCAGTGCATAGACGAAATAAGGCAGCAACAATCTTTTCACAACTACCAGCAACTCAACCTAAATTTCTTCTTCAACAGCACCGAAAAAGGAAAAACGAGAACACCAAATCGACGACGACGTCACTGTTATTTTACTGTATCAGGAACAACAGACCGGCTTCTTGTTACATCACGACATCTACATCAAGGAAAGACGTCTTCTTCGAAAGCAGGAACGTCGACGTCGGCACTTCGAGATCTAACGACAAGTAGACCACGACGACGCGGAAAATATAACGACCTCTTCTTCAACTTTATATCAACTACAACTAATAAAAACGAATGTATTTGTATTCTCTTTCTTCAGCACGGGATAAGGATTTTTTCTCCAAGTTCAACTACAGCGGGACGACGAGGAACCATGCTGCATTAAGATTTTTTTCCGAAACGAGAACGATTATTGGTACAAACAGCTTCTTTTGATTTCTACCGGACGGCAGAAACTTCTCTCTCTGGGTCGTACCACAAGCGGAGGACGATAATATTAAATCGGTCGTGGTCCTGGAAAGTGGAAGTAGTATCATGTTGAGGAGGACATCGAGAACATCGATTCAAGTCATCATCATGATCTCGGTGTAGTATGATAGCAAAACGACCGAACTCGCTAGAAGTTTTTTGACCTCGGGGTCTACAGCAGGAGACACATCACTGGGGACGAGCAGATCCTTCTAGACAACAAGGCGACTCGTGCCAGCTTTCCGGTACAACTAGAAGAGACCCCTTCAATTATACTCGATTTTCCACCGTGCATGATCTTCATTACCTGCAGTGTTTCCAGAGGCAGGTGAATGGATGGAGTCATGATCATGTGTTGATCACAAATAATAATTATCCCAGGTACTACAACTTCAACTGGCTCTATGGAGAGAAAAAAGTTTGTCACAATCACTAATTTGCAGGTTTTGCATTACAAATTTTTTAGCATCACAACTTCTCCTTGTATTGCAGAAACACTAGGGAAATCCCTTATGAAGTGTGGCTGTGATGCATTTTTACGCATGACAGACAGCTTTGTGTTGCAAAAATGCAGATGACTGATCGTGACGAACTTTTTTCTTTTGATAGGCTCACCACGATGATGTTTCGGTGACGGTGCTGCAGCTCGAGTTTTTTGTTTTTTAATATCAAAACGAAAAATCCCCCCTCCCCATATCAAAACGGAAATCTGTGATGCAGATTTGTTGTCACAAATCAGCTTTGTTATGCTACACGGGAAAAGATGCGGACTGTAGTGCTGGGTGGCGTGGGGGAGCGTTGCATCTTCAGCATGATAGGAGGCAGCTGAGAGTGGGAAACAGCATGACAAATTGCCTGCAAACGAGACCACGACTGCGGCTCTTGGCCTTCTAGCATGACAAGTCGATTTGGTACCTCAAATCCTGCATCACAGATTTCCATTTCGATATGGGGAGGGGGGATTTTTCCGTTTGATATTTAACAAAAGTCGTTAGCGGTCCGGTTTTCGATTAAAGAACCTCCTCCTGCTACCAGCAATATAGACCACTTCACGACTACTTCCACATAAGGACAGGCCGAAAAAACAATTTTTCTCGGACGGAATAACAACAGCCCGGTACTATAGTACGTAGCGTTTTCCTGGACCCGCTGCTTTTGTCATGCGTACTGGCGTGAGGAAGAGGATGCTGAAATTGGAGCCTCATGCGCTTGTCTTCTACCGCATGAGGAAGAGGATACTTCAACACATGGCGAATAAAAAAAAATGAAAATGACAGGTGAAGTGCCGCTCACAACAGGGAGCGTCGATTTCCTGGTTTGACGCAGCACCGGGATCCACCGAGTTCGTCTAGAGAACAGAGCCTTCACTTTCACCCGAAAAATAGTTCCAACGAAAAGGTAGTAGAACCCGAACAAGGATTTTAGCAACTGGCACGAGGTGGAAGCACTGTTTTTTAGAACACGGATAAAGGCAAAAAAAACGGACGCGACTTGAACGTGCTCGACCATCTTTTATATCACAAATTATTACGTACAACTTGCTCTACAAACAGAACAACACGGTATTGTCAAGAAGAACCTCAAACGGTACAAGTAGTCGTGAAGCGAAATTCCGGGGCATCGACGCTACAGCCGGAGCTAGTACAACTCGAAAAAATACAACATCATCGAACAATCGGCAAGAGCCAGAAAGTCTTCGGTAGAACTTTCTGAAAGTTCGCTCCTGCAGGAGCTGCAGGAACGGCGACAAGAACCGGAGATCTAATTTTTGGCTAAGTAGGAGAACTATGGATTGCAAAAATGTCTGGGTCTGGAAGGTTGGAACTTGTCATGCTAAATCTGAATCAAAATCATGCAAAAATCTGTGTTGCATGATTTGCAAATGCTGTCCACTTTTGATCAAGTTGAGAGGCACTTTCTCATGCCGGATAGGCATGATAGTGATCTCACGGAATCTGTCATGCTAGGTCCTCCATTACAGATGATGTGGGTCATGGAAAACCTGCATGACAAGTCTAGCAAAGTTCCAGACCCAGACATTTTTACACTTGATAAGAACTGCAGGGATTTCGATTGGGGTGCGAAAGCTGCGCGAACAATAGGACAGCTATAAGATGAATCCTTGATGGTACTATCGAACCGTGTTGCTTCTGTCTACTGCATGTGAGCTCGGCTTGTGATGTCATGTGCATTTTTTTTTTTTTTTGTTATGCAAGAAAACTTAAACGACGCCTCTACAAAGCTAATATCGAATCCACAGGTTGTACTTCTGTCTCCTGTTCTTTTCCTTCAAACTCTGCGCTTCACGAGGCGGATCGCGGTCGCTGCACAAAAAGATTTTATCGAACGGATGCGCGAGTAGCTAGAAATCGGAAAAGGGAAGAATCATTTGGGACACTACGACAACCTTCGTCAACCGCGCGTCAATATTGCCAGGAATTTCTGCATACGACTTCTTCTGCAATATACAACACACGATATTATTCTTCTAGTTGTGCATTTTTTGGTTGGACAACGAGCGATGATATAGCAATAGAAAACTACACAGAAGGACTCATTTTTGTTGTGCAAGAGGTGAAACCTCACTTCTTTGTTTTTTACACTATTAAAAATCGAAAGTCAAGTCAAAATCTCCTTGGAGTACCGATAAGACTGCGATTACAGACTGACCCAATCCCCATGACTTACCTTTTACAAAAAACTTCAAAAAAAGCAGAAAACCATAAAACAAGAACGAACGGCCATCAGATTGCAGGTGGAATCTGTGGCCCTGAGATCATCAACTACAAGTGTGTCATCGCAATAGTAGGCGGCGCTGCTGTCGTGTTCAGAAATAGCTCTGTAGGTGCTCCATTCCTTTGGAAGGATCGAAAAAAAAAACACTTTCTGACTGCTCACGCATGGTTCTTTTGCGAGAACTGCAACCATTCCGACCTCAGAAGTTCAAGAAGATTTACAATCTACTCTCTACTGTACTTTATTTGCGTGTGAAACAGCATGAGCCAAGGTCTCAATCAGCACTGATGAAAATTCAGACCTTTTTTTTATTTCTTAGGGTACAAGAACGACAAGTTCTTGAAGGCCATAAAAAACAACTATGCGGAATTCTCCAAAACTTTATATCTTCCCAATGGCACAGGAAGGAACAGAACGTCTGCGTAGCATGTGCGCAGCACCACGACTATGGGTGCTAGATGTACTCGGAAGTAAACATTAATTTTTTGCAAGGACGGGGTAATAAGTTCAGTAGCAATCATAGGATCCGCCTGTAACTGATAGTGAAAAGCTACCGTCTGTTGACAGGTTGAGGTGAGGCAGACTTTTGCCACAGAACCCACTTGGGCGATGAAGTAGTGTTGGATCATGACTATCATGATAGAATGAATCTCCAAGATGTAGTTGACCACGCGCAGCAAAAATCACTTCCTGGTACTGGTCTTCTCGAGGATAATTCCGGCGGCCCTGACGGACACATTCCCGTGGCCAGCGTCTGTGCACTAGCAGCTTCAAGCCCAACAGTCATAATTCTTGCGGAAAAATAGCATGACAAAAAACGAAAACCACACTTCCTCGCAGTCAACATGGAGCAGCAAGAGAGCGACGAAGCCTTGCTGCCCTCTTTTGCACCGGATGAGTTCTATGGCGATGATCATGTGGCGCAAGGGAAAAGCCATCCCCACCGCAGTTCCCTCTCTCCTCCCGTTGCGACGCGGAAAACAACGCTTTCGAAAAACCCCCACTGTTCTTCCGGGTCCCCGGAAGATCTCCACGAGCCCCCCGTCCGGCAAAATGAAAATAGCCTGTCGCCAGCATTCTCCTCCAATGCATGCCACACAAACGACTCTGCAGAGCGGGACCGACGGCGGCCGCCTGCCACAACAGACGATAACCAGGGCGACGGTGACATCATCTCCGAGGCGGATGAAGCAGCTCTGGCAGAACCCGCTGGGGCTGTGGCCTCATCACCTCCGTGCGAGGACCGTGCGGTAGCATCTTCTCAGCGGTCGAAAACCTTCTCCATTCACGACCTTTCCTTCACCATTGGGGATCTGATCGGGCGTGGCGGCTTTGCAGAGGTCTACCAAGCGAAGAGGGACGATAAGAAATTCGCCTTGAAAATTGTTTCCGCACAAAATAAGCGTCGTTTGATGCAGTTTCAGCAAGAAGCAGTTTTGCTCTATGGATTGCAAATATGTCTGGGTCTGGAAGAGTGCAAGTTGTCATGCTAGATCTGAATCATACAAAATTCTGTGTTGCATGATTACCAATAAAAAGCTGTTCACTTTTGAGAAGGCCGCGAGGCACTTTCTTATGCGGAAAAGGCATGGTAAAGATCTCACACAATCTGTGATGCTAGGGCATGCATCACAGACCTCACACGTTATGGAAAACGTGCATTACAAACCTGGAAATCTTCCAGACCCAGATATTTTTGCAGTTGATATGCTCGAGAACCTGACGAAAAAGGACAAGATATCCAGAGGAAAAACGTTCCCGACCCAGAGTTGTCATGCGCAATGGCATGTCTATATCTAAAATTTTTCTACTTAACGCAACCCCATGAGAAGCGTTTTTTCATGTTGTCTGGGACTTTGTCATGTCAGAATCAGGATTAGAATACGAAGATGGATCGATTTTTTATGCGGCTTTTCTAGCTAAACACGATCACCATCACACTAAAGACCCCAAGCTTGTCATGTGCAACAGCCAAAAGTTCTTGATTTGTGTTGCAAAGTCCCAATATACTTGACTCTGGGGTGGGGACGTTTGTCCACAGGATACAAGACAGGGAGAAAGCACGTCGTGCACTGTTTTGGCTCTTACTGTGACGTCGCCAACTTGCGGATCCACATCTTGCTATGCTCTGCAAAAGTATCGTACTCGTACTAATTGCAATCATGCATGACAAATCTTGTTTCTTAGCCAAATCAGCATTTACAAACTCCATTTCTCCTTCTGAGAAAATTTGTATTGCGATTTGTACTAGTACGTTTCTTTTGCACAGGATACTTGCTGGAATTTGCCGATTGCGACTTCGAGGCCTATCATCGGAGCTTCGTCACGAAAGTGACTCATGTGCCGACTCTTGAAGATGCCGATCCCGATGCTGGGGCCAGCCCAGGTGGGAGAGGACCACGACACACCAGAGCCTGTTCACGGAATAAAACGAAATTCTTCATGCCTTTAAACACGATTCTGCATTGCGGAAAGCAGATGGCGGCTGCGGTCGCCTTTATTCACAGCAAGAACATCGTGCACTTTGATTTGAAGCCCGCAAACTTTCTCATGTTTGAAAACAAGCAGAAAATCAAGCTGTCCGACTTCGGGCTGGCGAGGGAGGTCGAGCAAGATAAATCCCATATCAGCCGGTTTGGGCAGTGCGGCACAATCTTATACATGGCTCCGGAGGCCTTCCACCAGGGCGAGCAGTACGAATCCAGTATGAAAATGAAGCCGGAAACGGATATTTGGTCCCTTGGAATCATACTGTACGCGATGATCTACGAAAAGCCGCCGCACGCGTATTTGTTCAACCAACCAGGGGGAGGCAATCGGGTGATGTTCTGCATCGTCGACCCTTTCATGGAAATCCAGTATCCGGACAAGTTCTGCGCCTTCACACAAGACATTTTAGAAGACGGCCTCGCAGATTTCGAAGGCAAGAGGCTGGAGCATTTGCTGTATTTGGTGCAATTCTGTCTCGCACGGGAAGTCGCAGACAGGATCACTGCCTTTGATTTAGAAAAAGAGCTGGTCGGACTGGAGGTGGTGAGCGAACGCAGGTTGTTGCGGATCGACAACCGAACTGGGGGCGTAGGGGGCGAAGATCTGTTGCATGGCAAGCAAGGATCAGGGCCAAAGCAAAATGGCACGTCTAATGCGAGGACCCGCACAACAACGGCGGAGGGGTCGGAGTCCTCGGGTTTGTCCAACAATAGCGGCCGCGATGCTGCTTCCCCTGCGAAGCTAGATTTCCAGTTTCGCACAGCGTTGATTAGGCCGATTCCGGGAAGCACGGCAACGGTGTTGCATCGAAAGCACATTCCGGAGGTAGCGGTTTCTCGGTCTGGTTCACGGCCTACTTCGGAAAGCGGATTCATTTCCCCTCCGGAGAAAGCCACCCCTGCGCAAGAGAGCGAAATATTATCACCAATTGCACCCACCGTGCAACAAGAACAGCACCTTTCAGAATCGATGCTTCGCAGATCCGAGGACGAGGAAGCTGGGAGGCAGCAGTTGCTGCTACAAGGGAAAATGCCGCCCTCCAATTGTGCAAAAGGCTCCGAACAAGTGGATCTCGATCCGGAACAAGCACCGCTGATCGATACCGAAAAACAAGACCTATTCGCGGTCGGAAATGGCTCTACGGGACAACACGATGCGGCCGCACCAGACGCTCGTCATGTCGATGCACCTTTCTGGAGCAGCATTGCTGGGAAAGCTATCATTTCTGCTCTTCTCCTGGCTATCGGCATTAGCACTGCTGTATCTATCGGAATATTTGGGACAAACACGGCGACGTCGTCGAATTCTGGCGCAGCGAATCAACAACTCAATTTCGGCGGCAACAACGCGTTATTTCCGCCCGGAATACTAAGACCAAATGATATAGTTTTCGTAAAAAATGGGAACGGGACCATGTTCGGAGCGACAGGTGGACGAAATGTCGGCGGCAACGGCTACGGGACTTGTAGCTCTACAGACATCCAGCCCGTGGTAGCCAGGCCTCATACTGCGTTTTTGCCGCCGTCGAGTCCCAGTTCCTGGAGTCCGGGGCAGGAGATCGAAGCAGGTCATGGGGATGCAGGCAGTCCAAGCAGCCGCCCACATGTTGGTGCACAAGAAACAACCACGCAACAAATAAATGCGGCCCGCCCGGCCACGTCAATCGCAGCTCCGCCAGCTGGGATTTCCCTTGGAAATATCGGACCAACTGTAGGCTCACCCTCTCCCCCAAATGGCAGCGTGCCTGTCAGCACAGCTGCTCCGTCGGTCGTGCCAGGGGGCTTACGTGTATCGCCAGCACATCTTCAAGGAAGGACTGCAATCACGCCACAGCCCAGGCAGTCTCCGGCCTCCGAGCCCCCTGCTCCTTCTGCTCCTTCAGTGGTACTGCCGCCAGTAGTACCTCCTGGTGGAAACGATCCGCACGAACCCTTACCGACCCAACCGGTGGGCGCGTCTTCGGCGCCTCCCTCCCACATCGGAGTCGCGACGACGGCTGTGAGCGAGCAGTTGCAGACCGCGTTTTCGCCGCCGAGTCCGAGTGTTCTCAGCCCGGGTCAGAGCGGAGACGGAGATGCCGATGCGGGGGGCAACGGAAATGGAGGTGCTGACGGTGCGGGCACTGGCTTTAATAATAGCAGCAGCGACCTTGGAACTGACAACAGCAATGGTGGCCGTCCGCTATATGATGCACAAGAAACCACACAACCAACCACAGCCCCGGCATCGAGCCCCCCTGTTGCAGCTCTCGTATCAGTTGGGAATCATACTGAAACCGGAGAGACCGCCAGCCCTCCTCTCGTCAATGGTAACCTGCCTGTCACAGCTGGTTCTGCTGTGGAGGTTCGTGCAGGTTTATCAACAGAACCAGGCACGGGCGATTCTTATCGCGAAATCCTTCGTGAGATGAATGCACGCAGGTTTATCGAAAATCTCAGGCGCGCGGTGGCTCTCAGGCGCGCTGATGTGCACTGCCGGAGCCGTTGTGGCGGAGCCGGAGGTGCCAGCAGCGAGCTATATCAGGAAGAGTCTTTGGCAGGGCCAAGCGGAACTTCTCCATCGCTGCCAGCCGGAGCCACGATACTTACTGCCGACTCACCAACACGAGAACCGGACGGCCCCGCATCAAACCCACCTGCAGCAGCTCCAGTCCCAGATGGGAATGATATTGGAAACGGAGGAGGTCCTGCTAGCTCTCCTCTCGTCAATGGTAACCTGCCTGTCACAGCTGGTTCTGCTGTGGAGGTTCGTGCAGGTTTATCAACAGAACCAGGCACGGGCGATGCTGATGACGAAATTCGTCGTGAGATCGCGCTATGCCGTCCGCGCAAGTTTATCGACAAGGTCAGGCGCGCGCGCGCGCGCCGATCGGGTTCTGATGTGCACTGCCGGAGCCGTTGTGGCGGAGGTGCTAGCAGCGAGCTATATCATGGCGGCCCTCAGTTTCATGAAGACCCGGTGCAGCGATTCGCGCAGAGGTACACGTGCTCGATCTGTTCGGACTCCCCACTGCAACTGCCGCAGGAGGTGCAGCAAAGGTTGGGAGCTCCGAGGAACTCCCGCACTCGTGGTCCTGCATACGAGACGAAATCGCTAGCGGTGCTGCCTTGTGGGCACACCTTCTGTGAGGGTTGCATCGGATACTGGACGCACAATCACCCTAGTTGCGCCTTCTGTCGCTGTAGCATTCCCCGTATGAGAGTGCACAAGAACCCCCATTTACTTAAGTAACATTGTCCCCCGCTTTATGTATCAGTTTGGAAGAAAAGCAGCCGCAACAGAAACAAAGTATAGAATTTTTGTAGCTTCTGCATGCCAAATACAAATTGAAGTATACTTATGCGCGCGGCCTGTAGTACAACGGATAGATACAATTACTTGGGTTCTCCTGGTCGTGCCCTAATTCATTATTGTCACACCCATTGATGTATATATAGCGGGGATGTGAAGAGGCTGCACTAGTATGAGTACCTGCAGTTGCGTTTGTCTTGCATGACGACAATAAAGGTGGGACGATCCCCGGACCGCATGAGGAGTTCATCTTGTGCACTCGGATACCCCGTGCCAAACGTGAACGTGTCGAGCTGAACGACGGTGCCAGCGAGTTTTACTTTGATCCCTCCTACCATGCGCGCTGTGTTTATCCAAGGAAAAAAGTGTAGTGTAAGTGTAACTTTTTTGCAGGAACAGCATCACATGACAGAGAAATAAACCTGTCATGCGTAGCTAGTAAGCGAAAACACGTCTTAAAATAGCCTTTGACGCATATAATCCAGCATGACAAGTGTAACTGTGTCGCAGCCTCTGCAAGACAAAGTTACACTTACACAGTTTTTCTCTTGCATAGTGTTCCACGTTACGAGGCACCACGTGGTAGTGGGCAATACGCAGGCGCTAATCGTTATGGGTGTGGCAGGATCAAAATTGACAAAGTCGAAAAATTTGTATATGCATAGAATGTAGGGCACGCGTGGCCTGTGTTGGGGAGCAGGCAAATGAGTCCGATTGCAATCCTGCCTGTTTAGGGGTAATACGCAATGTGCTGCCAGAGTAGCATGACAGGAGTAGTCTTCTTTGCCCAAACAGCACGACAGATTGCATTGTGGTGCTCCCGAATAAATTTGTCATGCGCCGCTTGCAAAGAAACAAACTGAGGCTCCAACTGGTATCGATTTTACACGACATGCATCACAAGTTTTATTTTGATTATTGTCAATTTATTCGATTCTGACACTTCCATAATCGTGTTGTGCGCTTGAAATTCAATATCTACAAGCGTGACCACACGGATGAAGTCGAGGGGGCTCGTTCCCGGGGGCACGTGGAACTGGTGCAGCCGCAGGCGTGCGAGGGTCATCATCGTACTAACAGTGGACACCCCGCACCAGGAAAGACTACATTCACACCAAAAGTTGAAATCGAAGAGCGCCGAGCCATTTCGTCAGCGGACCACACCAGCACAACTGAAGATGGGAATGAATTCCATCTAAAGTGGACAAACAGGAGGGAGCAGGAAGGGTCTGCTACTGAGAGGAAAAATCCCCTCTCCCCATATCAAAAATGTGATGCAGATTTGTGGTCACAAATCAGCTTTGTCATGCTAGAAGGGAAAAGATGCGGACTGTAGTGCTGGGCTGCGTGGGACAGCCGTGCATCTTCAGCATCACAGGAGGCAGCTGGAAGTGGGAAACAGCATAACAAACTGCCTCCAATCGAGGCCACAACTACGCCTCTTCGCCTTCTAGCAATACAAGTCGATTTGTGTACTCACATACAGCATCACAAATTTCGCTTTTGATATGGGGAGGGGGGATTTTTCCTCGCGATATCTGCGTCTGCTGGCCAGCAGGGCGAGCGCGAGATGACTCTGATAAGACAGATCATGTTCTAGAAAGAGGGTGGGCCTGCTGGTTCGTTATAAGTACTCGTCACAACCGGAAGTACTTACACCATTCAGATTTATTGTAGGATTTTTACTGGAAGCAATTTAGCATGTGCATGATAAGCATATCACGTACTTATCTTGACCAAGAACACACTCCTCACTACTACGGCAGGAGATTGGAGCAAAGAACTACGACCAGCTTTTTATTCAATAAGCATCTTCTACTTTGCTTCGTAAAGAAATATAGGTGTTAAACTTTCAAAAGGATTAGGGCACGGTGGCATATGCAATCATATTTACACATCTCTTCAAAAATGAATAGTAAGTGTCTGAGTGCGATCGAGCAATTGGGACAAGGGCAAGGGAGTTCTGATGCCGATGAGGCCACGTGTCCCTACCGAATGGTGGATCAATTACTCGTCCGCGTCCGCCAACGGCAAGGGCAACGAAGTTCTGAAAGTGCGGTCGCGATACATACGTCCGGTTTACAAGCACGAGACCGGGACGGTAGTGCAGTTATTCCTCACTCGAAGTCAGGCCCAGCCTCCACGCTCGCTGTTGCCGCTCCTCCTCCACCCCCTCCCCAGCCACCGGGACTACCGCCGGCCGTAGCGAATAACGTGTGGGAAGAGTAGCGGCCTGGCGAAGCGCCTGTTCCAATAACGCTCTCCGCAGAGAGGTCGACACCGAATGCCGCGCAGGCAGACACGAACATTTCGCATGTATCGAGCGCAAGCTCAATCGCACCACAGGCAAGTCAAAGTCCTGCCTCGCCTAGTGTTCAATCCGTACCGCCAACAAGTAGCAGGGGTGCACCGACCGAAGCCGGACCGGCAGCCGCACCGCCTGCAAACAGGGTTGAGCATGACGAAGAAAGGGGTCTCTGTACGATCGATTAAGCAGTTGCCCACCAGCGGCGGGCACACAAAATATTTCAAGCGGTCGAACGGCGGCAATATAGAATTGAGTATGATCGAGCCTTGAAAAGATATGAAGCTGCCTGCCAGCGGGGGCGGCAACAGCCGACACAAATAATTCACCGACCTCAATCCCAGCAGTGGCAAGGCAGCGTCTACCAAATTCTTCGGACCGCAATCTTCGGGCCGCAACGCTGCCAAACTGAGACAAGAACAATTTCGGGCGAGTGATCTAATGCAGTGCGCCGTCGATCGCGTTGCCATCGTTGCTGCGACATTTGCATTTTTACAGCTGGACAAGGTCGCGCGGGAAGGAGTGCCACTTCCTTCTCCTCCTTCTCTTCGCTTGCTCCGCGCACCGAGACACTGAAGAAGTGACTTCCTTCGCCATTCCGGTGTCGAAACTGACAAAAGATGTGCCAAGTCACAATACAACGCGCAGTATTTCTCTCTCGGACCGTGGTGGCAGAATTTCTCTAGGTCTGGTCCCAACGAACATGAACATGCACGACAGCACCCACTTTCAAACTCGATTACTCTTTTCATTTTTTCGGCCACCCGACGTTGTAAGGTGGCGGTGGCGACTTTTTTTTTACCATGTTCGCCAAAATGTTCGAACGAGCCATGCGCAAGAATGGCCACAAAACTATAAATAGAACGATGATGCTCGCGACCGCGACGTGCCTGTAGTAGCAGCCATTGCGTGACCGCGCTGCGGGCAGTCGTGTTTTGATGACAATGCAGCAACGCATAAACCAATAATTACAATTTTTTTGAGCAGCGTCGCCGCCGCTCCCTCTCGGAAAAGAAATAAAATTTTTATCTGCAACACAATTTAGCACTTTTGTCTCGTGCAAGAAATTGCCTGACATTTTTTTTTCACCGGGATTACGGACTGCTCCGTAAATGTACGATTCTCTAGACTGTTTATTTCAATCTGTAAATAAAATATTTATAGACAAAAGAAAGTATGAATAAGCATTGAATCTTAGCGCCCCAGCATCGACAGTCGAGTGCGAGGCATCCTATGCAGCCGTGATTTAGCAGGCAGCAGCTGCAGCTGACTTTTTACTTTTATACTTTTTGTAGACGAAGCCCGTTTTTACATATTTGTATATCCACTCACCCACACCAAATATCTCGCGCCTAATCGGCAGAAAGATCCAATCAGCGCCCGGCCGGTCCCGGAATCCTTCTTTTCGCATCAGTATCTATTCAAGGAACGCAAAACCAAAAACAAACGGGCGACCGATACGTCGACGAAGCGCACATACAGCTGCGCGTACTTCTACAATAAGATAAAAGCGACTACAAGATGAACTACATGAAAGATGAAATGACTTATGAGCGATAGGGGTGGAAGTTTAACGTCCGGCACTAGCGCACATTAGTGTGAGGCTGTCACAATTTTGAGTGCGATAAATTGTGTTCCGCTGCGAAGAGGTAGCAGCCGCAGCCGTAGTAACGAGTTTGGGTGTGCTGCTTTTTGCGATAGAAGTGTTTTGGCAGTTTCTCCGATTACGCAGAGGAAGGGACCAAGCGTGTGGGGGTGCTGGTCTCGATATCTTTATACAAGCATTCTTTCCTGCCCTTCCCAGCATGCTATGCTACTCCGAAAGTTGCAGTTCTTCCATGTTGGGGGGACTTTTGTTGCGCTACAGGGCGAACCGCCAGAAATTGCCAAAGGCGGAAAAAGCATTCTTCCACGCCGTTCCCCGCATGCTATGCTGCTCCGAAAGTTGCAATTTTTGTTCTTCCATGGAGGCATTTGTGTTGGGCACACGGCGAACCACCAGTAATTTCTAAGTAGGGAAAAAGCATTCTTCCACGCCCTTCGCAGCATGCTATGCTGCTCCGAAAGTTGCAATTCTTCCATGAGTGGGATTTGTGTTGGGCTAAAGGGCGAATCACCAGTAATTTTGAAGTAGGGAAAAGGCATTCTTCAACGCCGTTCCCCGCATGCTATGCTGCTCCGAAAGTTGCAATTCTTCCATGAGTGGGATTTGTGTTGGGCTAAAGGGCGAATCACCAGTAATTTTTAAGTAGGGAAAAAGCATTCTTCCACGCCGTTCCCTGCATGCTATGCTGCTCCGACAGTTGCAATACTTCCATGGGTGGCATTTGTGTCGGGCTACAGGGCGAATCACCAGTAATTTCTAAGTAGGGAAAAAGCACTCTTCCACGCCCTTCGCAGCATACTATGCTGCTCCGAAAGTTGCAATTCTTCCATGGATGGGATTTGTGTTGGGCTAAAGGGCGAATCTCCAGAAATTTCCAAATAGGGAAAAAGCATTCTTCCACGCCCTTCGCGTTCGCAGCATGCTATGCTGCTCCGAAAGTTGCAATTCTTCCATGAGTTGGTTTTGTGTTGGGCTAAAGGGCGAACCACCAGAAATTTCTCAGTAGGGAAAAAGCATTCTTCCACGCCCTTGGCAGCATGCTATGCTGCTCCAAAAGTTGCAATTCTTCCATGAGTGGGATTTGTCTTGGGCTAAAGGGCGAATCACCAGTAATTTTTATCTAGGGAAAAACCATTCTTCCACGCCCTTCGCAGCATGCTATACTGCGCCGAAAGTTGCAGTTCTTCCATGGGTGGGATTTGTGTTGGGCTAAAGGGCGAACCACCAGTAATTTCTAAGTAGGGAAAAAGCATTCTTCCACGCCCTTCGCAGCATGCTATGCTGCTCCGAAAGTTGCAATCCTTCCATGAGGGGGATTTGTGCTGGGCTACAGGGCGAACCACCCGTAATTTCTAAGTAGGGAAAAAGCATTCTTCCAAGCCCTTCCCAGCATTCTATGCTGCTCCGAAACTTGCAAAAAATTATTCACTGACCATACATCTCGCCTCACAAGAGCAACCATTCCACCATGGGAGAAGATCTACAATCGCATATTTTCGTGGGCATATAAAGACCGGATACGAAGCAGCACTGATATTGAAATTTGATCTTTTTTTACCGTACATGTTCTGAAGCTGTTCTATTGTCGGGCATGTGCTCGACGATACCGATAGCACACCTTCTATGTGTCAAACATTGGAATTGGAGGGAAACGCATGTGTGTAGCACCTCTATGGGCGGATCAATTGTGATGGATAAGGATATCTCTGTGTTCCTTGGCAGCACCTAGGAAATAAAAAGTTTTGTACCCGCATTTCTTTTGATATTATTGTCTGAAGAGCTCGTATGTTGATTCACATTTATTTCACCGCCATTATGCACAGCACTGAGTTGAGGTTGAGAGATGGAGAAGTAGTCTGGATGTTATATCATAGCTCGCAGGCCGCAAAGCAGGATGTAGACGCACACCAAAAATCACCTTATGACGAACACCCTCTCAACGATAAAACCGACGGCCCTGATGGACGTATCGGCAGCGCATGTTCTGCAGGGGCTTCACCCACTGGTTATTCTAGCGGAATAGCATGACAAAAAGCCACAGTAGTTCCTCGCAGTCAACATGGAGATGGAGCGAGATAGCGAAGAGGCCTTACTGCCTCCTTCTGGACCAGATGCTCCACCGTCGGAGAAGTTTCATGGCGATGATCATGTGGCGCAAGAGAAAAGCCAAAACCACCGCAGTCCCCTTCTTTCTTTTTGGGCGACACGAAAAACGACGCTTTCAAAAAACCCTCACAGTTCCGGATCTCCAGAAGATCTCGAGCTCCTTGAACAAAATTCAAATAGCCCGTCGCCGGGCTTTTCGTCCAATGCATACCACACAAACGACTCTGCAGAGCGGGACCGACGGCGGCCGCCTGCCACAACGGAAGATAACCAGGGCGACGGTGACATCATCTCCGAGCCGGATGTAGCAGCTCTGGCAGAACCCGCTGGGGCTTTGGCCTCACCACCTCCGTGCGAGGACCGTGCGGTAGCATCTTCTCAGCGGTCAAAAACCTTCTCCATTCACGACCTTTCCTTCACCATTGGGGATCTGATCGGGCGCGGCGGCTTTGCAGAGGTCTACCAGGCAAAGAGGGACGACAAAAACTTCGCCTTGAAAATTGTTTCCGCACAAAATAAGCGTCGTTTAATGCAGTTTCAGCAAGAAGCAGTTTTGCTTTATGGATTGCAAATATGTCTGGGTCTGGAAGAGTGCAAGTTGTCATGCTAGATCTGAATCATACAAAATTCTGTGTTGCATGATTACCAATAAAAAGCTGTTCACTTTTGAGAAGGCCGCGAGGCACTTTCTTATGCGGAAAAGGCATGGTAAAGATCTCACACAATCTGTGATGCTAGGGCATGCATCACAGACCTCACACGTTATGGAAAACGTGCATTACAAACCTGGAAATCTTCCAGACCCAGATATTTTTGCAGTTGATATGCTCGAGAACCTGACGAAAAAGGACAAGATATCCAGAGGAAAAACGTTCCCGACCCAGAGTTGTCATGCGCAATGGCATGTCTATATCTAAAATTTTTCTACTTAACGCAACCCCATGAGAAGCGTTTTTTCATGTTGTCTGGGACTTTGTCATGTCAGAATCAGGATTAGAATACGAAGATGGATCGATTTTTTATGCGGCTTTTCTAGCTAAACACGATCACCATCACACTAAAGACCCCAAGCTTGTCATGTGCAACAGCCAAAAGTTCTTGATTTGTGTTGCAAAGTCCCAATATACTTGACTCTGGGGTGGGGACGTTTGTCCACAGGATACAAGACAGGGAGAAAGCACGTCGTGCACTGTTTTGGCTCTTACTGTGACGTCGCCAACTTGCGGATCCACATCTTGCTATGCTCTGCAAAAGTATCGTACTCGTACTAATTGCAATCATGCATGACAAATCTTGTTTCTTAGCCAAATCAGCATTTACAAACTCCATTTCTCCTTCTGAGAAAATTTGTATTGCGATTTGTACTAGTACGTTTCTTTTGCACAGGATACTTGCTGGAATTTGCCGATTGCGACTTCGAGGCCTATCATCGGAGCTTCGTCACGAAAGTGACTCATGTGCCGACTCTTGAAGATGCCGATCCCGATGCTGGGGCCAGCCCAGGTGGGAGAGGACCACGACACACCAGAGCCTGTTCACGGAATAAAACGAAATTCTTCATGCCTTTAAACACGATTCTGCATTGCGGAAAGCAGATGGCGGCTGCGGTCGCCTTTATTCACAGCAAGAACATCGTGCACTTTGATTTGAAGCCCGCAAACTTTCTCATGTTTGAAAACAAGCAGAAAATCAAGCTATCCGACTTCGGGCTGGCGAGAGAGGTGGAGCAGGATAAATCCCATATCAGCAGGTTCGGGCAGTGTGGAACGATATTATACATGGCGCCCGAGTATTCATTGCAAAAGTATCGTACTAGTAGTAATCTTCGCATTACAAATTGGCTCGGCATGACAAATGGAATTTGTGATGCTGTTTTGCCTTGGGATGGGGATTTGTAATGCATGACTGCGAAGATCACTACGAGTACGATACTTTTGCACAGGATACCGAGGCTTTTCATCAAGGAGAGCAATACGAAGCAAGCATGAAAATGAAGCCGGAAACGGATATTTGGTATCAAATGTAAAAATGTCTGGGTCTGGAAGAATGCATGTTTGTCATGCTTTTCTGGCATGACTCTTAAATCTGTCATGCAAGTTACCCAAGAGCTCCATTTTTCTGTGATGCAGAAACGCAGTTTGTCATGCAGAATAGGCAACACCTAGAAGCTCAGAAACTTGTGATGCTGAGCCAGCACTTGTTGCCTCCTCATGATACGCCACCCAGCATCACAAGTTTCCAGACCCAGACATTTTTTGATTTGATATTTGGTCGCTTGGGATTATTCTCTACGCGATGATCTACGAAAAGCCGCCGCACGCGTATTTGTTCAACCAGCCAGGCGGTGGGAATCGGGTGATGTTCTGCATCGTGGATCCGTTGATGGAAATCCTATCCTGTGCAAAAGTCTCGTACCCGTAGTAAAAGTAATTGCAATTTATGCATTACAAATATCCATCCCAAGGTAAAACAGCATCACAAATTCCATTTGTCATGCTAACGTAATTTGTAATGCAATTTACTACTGGTACGATACTTTTGCAATCCATAAATCCAGTATCCGGACAAATTTTGCGCTTTCACACAAGACATTCTGGATGATACTCTCGCGGACTTCGAAGGACAAAGGCTCGAGCATTTGCTGTATTTGGTGCAAGTCTGTCTCGCACGGGAAGTCGCAGACAGGATCACTGCGGTTGATTTGGAGACGGAACTGGTTGGACTGGACTTGGTGCGCGAACGAAGCTTGTCGCGCATCGACAGGCAAGGATCAGGGCTAAGGCAAAATGGCACGTGCGATTCGACCGCCACCACCTCTACTACAGCCTACTGGTCGGCATCTTCAAGAGATGCGTCCGTCAGTAGCAGCCGCGATGCTGCTTCCTCTACTGCGAACCTAGATTTCCAGTTTCGCACAGCGTTAATTCGGCCGATTCCGGGAAGCACGGCAACGGTGTTGCATCGAAAGCACATTCCGGAGGTCGTGATTGCCCCATCAACACAGGTGTCTGATTCTGGATCTCTCGACCACAGAGAATGCCTCGCTCCACTGACAGGTGAAGAGACCGCTCCTCGTGCACAGGAAGCGACAGCTGAGCCGGTATCAGTGCCGGCTTTGGAGGAGCGTCTTTCCGAATCGATGCCCCTTCGACGATCCGAGGATGAGGAAGCTGGGAAGCAGCAGTCGATGCTCCACAAAGATACATCAAAAATGCTCCCCGATGGTGCAAAAGGCTTCGATGTAGATCTCGACCCGGAAGCTCCGCTGATGGATGACGAAGAGCAAAACCTAGTGCCTGCAGGAAGCGACCCTGTAGAAGATGCGACCGCGCCAGATTATCGTCATGTCAATACGCCCTTCTGGAGCAGCATTGCTGGCAAAGTTATCATATCTGCTCTTCTCCTGGCTATCGGCATCGGCACTGCCGTATCAATCGGAATATATGGGACAAACACCGCAACGTCGTCAAATTCTGGCGCAGCGAATCAGCAACTGAATTTTGGCGGCAACAACGCTTTATTTCCGCCTGGAATTATACTCAGACCAAACAATATAGTGTTCGTCAAGAATGGAAATGAGACCACGTCCGGAGGAGATGCGGGAGGGGGTCGTGGCGGTGGTACAGGCCACAACACGACTGTGCCTCCGGAAATCCGACCTGTGACCGCGCAGCCACAAATCGCGTTTCTCCCGCCGAGTGCTACTGCTCTGAGCCCAGGACAGAGCGGAGATGTAAGTGCGGGTGGAAACGAAAATAGCGGTGCAGGTAATGGGGATGCTGATAGCACCGGCGGCGGCCCTAGTGGCGACAGCGATCGAGGCGGAGCAGGAACCGCTGGCAGTCCGCAACGTGCTGCTGCGCAAGGAACCACTGCACCACGTCCTGCCCCGGCATCAAACCCGCCTGTTGCAGCTCTCGCACCAGGTGGAAATCATGGTGAAAACGGAGGAACTACTGCTAGCCCTCCTCTTGTCAACGTTGGCAGCCTGCCTGTCACAGCTGCTTCTGCCGTGGTTGCTGCAGGTTTACCAGCAGGACGAGATGCGAGTGCCGACGCGGCCAGCGGGGTTGATGGTGATGGCGGGCGCAGTGGTCGTAATGAGAGTGGTGCTGGTAGCGGCGATGTCAGCAGTGAACTGTACCGAGCCGGCCCGCAGGCTCAAGCACAGCCTTTGGAAGGGCCAAACGCAACTTCTGCAGCATTACCAGTCGCAGCCGCGGTTGCGATAAATACGGCAGGTTTACCACCACAAGAACAGGGCGGTAGTGCGGTTATCCCGCTCTCGAAGCCAGGTCCGACCTCCACGCCCGCTGTTGGTCCTGCTGCCCCTCAGCCACCGGCACTACCGCCAGTCACAGGAAGTAACGCTGCACAAGAGCCGTGGCTTGGCGAGCCGTTAACGCCCTCCACAGCGACGTCGGCGCCGAATGCCGCGCCGGTAGATGCGAATATTTCGCAGCTACCGAGTACAACTATCTCGCACTCGAAGCCAGGTCCAGCCTCCACGCCCGCTCTTGCTGCTCCTCCACCTCCTCCTCAGCCAGTGGCACTACCACCAGTCGCAGGAAATAATGTGGCGGAAGAGCCACGGCCAAGCGAACCGTCCGTGCCAATATCACTGTCTACGGCGTCGTCAACAGCGAGTGCCGCGCCGGTAGAAACGAATGTTTCGCGGCTACCGCATGTAACAAGCTCAGCCCCACCAGAGGCAGGTCAAATGAGTCCTCGTCCCTCGCCATTTCTTCGAGCCGCATCGCAAACAAGTAGCAGCGTCGCACCGACCGGGGCCGGACCGGCAGCGTCTGAAAATGGAGATGAGCATGACTCGGTAGAAGGAGGGTCTGCCACAGTTTTCCAGCCGCAGCAGCCATCGGCCTCGCTCCCGCTAGGACGGGTAATGACAGGTGGCCCAGCATTAGAACCGATAGGAGACGAGATTGCCGGTGGAAATAATACGGAAGCACAAGAACCCGAGATTTTACTACCGTTGTCCGGTGCAGTGGGAGCGGCATCTAGCACCCCAAGCTCTTTATCGTATATAAAAGTACACCCATACCATACCGGGGAACAAGTTGTATATGTCATGCAATTTTCAGAATAAAGACAAAAATGGAGCTCATGTTGTGTGATTTGAGCGTGGCAAACTTTTGTTTATGTCCCCCTGAAGATCGGCTTCGCGTATTACAGAATCCGTTTTCATCTTGCATTCCAAAAAAGTGTACACCATAGTTGTCTCTGCATGGCAGACTTTTTAGTTGTGACGCAAATTGCTTAGCGAAAGAAATAGATACTCTACCGGGCACAGCGCGCGTGGGTCTACATTTGTGTGTGATTCCCTTTGCAGCCCGAGATCGGGATTGTCAATCCCAACAACCTCTGCTGGATGATCAGTTTGTCGCAGAGTTTGCTGTACATTCCCTCCTTGCACGAGAAGGCCGAGGCGGAGTGCGCGCGGAGGGAGCAGGAGCAGCGAGGACCGGGTGCGAGTTCCAGTAGTAATTTTCAGCAACGCTCCCCGGAAGATAGCGACAAACTCAGACAATGGTGCCAATTTTTCCGTGCCGTCGCTGGGTCGGGCGGTCGAGGACTATCAATTGCAAATATGTCTGGATCTGGAGGAATCCGAACTTTTGATGCTTCCTTCGGATTCTACAAAAATCTGTATTGCATGAACAGCAAGAGAGATCGAGTTTTTGCCACGGCGAGACGGCACTTCTCATGCAGGATAGGCATCAGCAAGACCTCACAAAGTCTAGGATGCTAGGGCATCCATCACAGACATCTGGAGTCATGCAAAATGTGCATGACAAACGTTGCATTTTTCCTGACCAAAACATATTTGCAGTTGATAAGGACGAAGCAACAACAATTTGTCTATTTACACCCGACAGCAAGGAGTAGAAGCGGTTCTACATTATGTTATGTGGAAGGCGAATTGGCGCGAACTAAGGGACAGGAATTCTTGGAGACAGCAGGACCCGACGGAGGGGATGAGCAAACTGGTCGAAAATGTGCTACCTGGGAATTTCCAAAACCTCTTCAACGTCGAAATCAAGGAGGAATTTTTCGCGATTGACCAGCAAGAGAACCCGATTCCGGACGAGAGCAAGGAAAAGAAAGACAATGCCGGCAATGCGTGGTTCCCCGCCTCCCAATTCATGATCGACTACAACGAGCAAAAACACACTGACATTCTCGGAGCTCTGCGAAACGCCTACTTCGAGCCTGATAAGGGAGATAGCAGCATATATTCTTACGACTATCAAAGGAAAGAAAATATTGGAATCAAGCAGGCGACAAAGCTTGCCTACAGAGCTCCGGCATACGTCGTAAATGTTCTCTCAATTTGCTCCTGTGCCGGAGCAGAATCCTGCGCCGCACTGCATGACCATTGACTGCGCAATAAGTGTAGTTGACCGAACCAATTATAGTTGCTAATTGATATTGATTCTCAAAAATTTTGCCCCAATACTGCATTGGAACCCCACGACCCTCGGCCGGCCTGGTTGGAGGGTATGGAAATGCGGACGAAGCAGGTACCGGCGGAAGTTCAGATAATCACAGATAGCCAAGGACGAACACGAACGATTCAAGGCACCAGATATGGACTCCATCGGAAGGCCCACCTCCGGAAACTGCCGGAAATTTTGCGGCTCGAGGTGAATCGTTTCACATACGAGAATAACGGAAGCACCCGCAAAAAGATGCATTATCTAGAGGCCCCCAGGCTTTTCTACATCGACGGGGAGGCGAGCCGGAATGGTCCAAGTGGCATCCACACGGAGTTTCAGCGTGCGCGCTTGCGCAATCCGCACTGCCCCGGGGAGACAACAGCTTATACAGAGTGGGCAAGGCAAACTCGGAGACGGGGTATGGACCCCGTGTCCCAGTTGTACGAGCTACATGCGGTGATTTTGCACCACGGCCCCACCCCGAATTGCGGCCACTACACGGCTGTTGTGAACATCGGCACAGCCCAGCAATCTCCGCGGTGGCGACATTTCGACGACCAGCTGGTGACAGAAGTCCTGACGACCTCCGTGGTAGGTCCTTCCGGTATTCTAGACAAATATCTGAGAGAACGAGCTGGGGAGGGCAAAACCATAAACATGCTGCTCTACAAGAAGAAGAAGCCCGACGCCGCATCGCCACCATATCAGGGCGCCGCACTGATCGGGCCTTCAGGGTCTGAAAATGGTGACCCGTTTGTCCCAATAACGCCCTCCTTAGCGACGTTGGCGCCGACTGCCTTGCCGGTAGATGCGAATACTTCGCAGCTACCGAGTGTAAGCTCAATCCGACCAGCAGACGCAAGTGAAATACGTCCCTCCTCGCCTGTTATTCGAACCGCATCGCCTCCATCAAGTAGCAGCAGTGGATCGACCGGGGCCGCAGGACCGGCAGCGTCTGCAAATGGGGGTGAGCATGACGAAGCAGAGGGATCTGCTGCAGTTCATCTCCAAGGAGCGCAACAGCCTTCTCGCCCGCTAGGAGGGGCAATGGCAAGTGGCGCATCAATACACGCGACAGGAGGGGAACTGGTAGTTGCAGCCCCGGATACTACGTTTGCGCCGGCGCAACCCGGCGTATTACTACAAACGCGGCAGGGTGACGCTGGAGCGGAAGCACGGACACTACCGCCGCAGGGTGATGAGAATAGCGAACAGCAAATAGCCCAAGATAGCGCCGGTTCGTCTTCATCCGTGGGACAGGTAGTTGAACCGCCTGGCATTGTTGGCGCCACCGGCACAGCTGACGGCGGTCCACCGCCCGCATCAGCTGCTGACACATCAGAAACCGGCCCACCTGGAGCGCCGAAGCGCAGCCGCACTTCTTCGCCGGGCAGCAGCAGCGGCAGACAACAGCTAGAACCAAGTCCAGGAAGTGGTCCGAGGCAGAAGCGCACCTTGGAGTGGGGCGAGGCAGAAGACCACCTTGAGTGGGTAGGACCAGCACTAAATATCGTCAGTCCACTGACTGATGGAAGCAGAAGTACTGGGCCAGTGCCCGCGGTCCAACAAGCCCCGCAACTGCCCCCGGCAGAAGGTTCTACAACTTTACCCGACGCGCCACGTTTGGTACATTCACCTCCCACGAGCGGGAGAAGCGGAAACCCGGCTGGGGAGGCAAATCGTGGGCAGGCCCAGCCGCCAACAAGGGAAGTGTCCGCGGCCCCGGTTCCAGCCGCCGCTGAGCAAGCTGCTGGAGGGGAATCGGAAGTGAGAAACGCCGTCACGGTTAGCTCTTCTGCAGCATTGGGTGGTCGTGCCTTCCCCGATGATGGTCTCTGTGACCTCGTGTCGGCGCAAGCCGATGTTCACTTTGTTCTCGGCGTTCACGGTCCAGAAGAAGACGGCATTCCTCGTGGGCCCTACTTCCCTGCTCCACGACGCTTCTTCACCGATGTCGGTGCGGTGTATCCTATCACGCGAAAAAGAACGGCTTTTGAATCCCATGCTAGTTTCAGGCAGAGTGCACGTGCAGGCAAAATGATGAGTCTGTGACAGGTTTGGAACCTCGCGAGCGGTTAAGACAGATATATGTTCCATGCCGTTGCGCTAAGGCTTGTGCGTTTGAGTGATTTTTTTTTTGCAGCTGTAGTTGTTGTTTTATCGCAAAAGCGAAGATGTCTCAACTTCGAGTACAGCGGACGCGCTAGCTGCGTCTACACTCGAGACAAGAAACACAATACGCTGCCATTCGAATGAATTGAGATGCGACTTAGAGCACACAAGAAAGAAGGAGAAAAAAAAAATTCTGCCCGGACGTAAGCAATAATTGTTTTTTTTCGTGTCATAAGTTAACATGCGATGATCCAGAAGGTCCTACAGGGTAGAACAATTTCTCGCTTGGACGTTGCCGACGCCCTGGGGGTATTAAGGGTAAATATGTCTGGGTGGTCTGGGGCGCTTCGGGGTTTGTGATTTTGGTGCAGCTTTCGCAACGTGACAGGTTCTGAACAGAAATGTCGTCTTTGGGATTGCGTGGTCAAAGGTGTGTGCTGACCTTCGCTGCCTTTAATGCGATAAAGATTTTTGTATATGAAGACCAGACCGAGACCAGCTACCGCTAGCGCCACAAACCCGGGCTCTACTTCTAGACCCCAACATATTACGATTTGCAATGCATAGAGGAATTGGCAGCAGATGCAGACGGTACTCGGAAAAGGGGTTGCGCAGAGTGTTTATTGCCCGCTGAGGAGTTTTTACAATCTCAACTGTTACACTTTTTTCTCATTTTGATTGCATGAAGCGTTTGTGTGGGGCTGCGGTGACGCATTCATTTTTTGTCACTGGTACGCAGGACAAGTTCTAATGTCACAAAAAGCTGGAAGTCGTAGACCCTACCGCAAAATTGTAGATGCAAGACACAACTGGCGCCAGGTTCCGATTAGAGTGCAAATGCGTCACAAACTTTCAGCTTTATGTAATTTTTGGATAACAGTGAGAGCTTGTAAACGCCTGACCAGGTTATAGTGTTCGAGACTGCTTTCTATCAGAAAAGATCGAGGACTTCATGCTGGTATGCATTGCAAGTATGGCTGGGTCGGTAAGATAGAATGCAATTGCAAGCAACCTGCATATACAATTGTGCATTGCGAAGGAGAATGTGAATCTGTGATGCGCGAAGTGGGCTATGACAATGATTTCTGTATAGTGTGTTCCGCAAAAATGCGGTTTCTCCAACTCGTTGCGCAGGTTTCGTTGAAGTCTTCGGATACCGGAGGCCATTTCGCATAGCGAACGTGGCGTTTTTGCCAGTTTCCCGACCCAGACATATTTGTCCTGAATAGCCGGAGACTTTGCGCGCCCAGTTGGAGAAAATGCAATTGATGTTGTTGTAGGCAATGCAAAGAAGTATTGTACTCGTAGTGCTTGCACGACAAGCGCTTTCTGCGTGAAAGATGGCGTCTGTCATGTAGAGTCAAGGCCTTAGAAAAACAGATTGTAAGGACCAAATGTACGACTACAATACTTTTGCACAGGATAAGTTGTCGCACTTCGGCGCCGGCGTCTTTCGATTCTACATCGATTCTGCAAGACCAGAACGCCTTCGCTTTCACAGATCGCCGCAAGGGCAAAAAGTAGGTGACTGGGTGCAACAAAGGATCACGCAGGCAAAAAGCAACGTGGAAAATTTTTTGCGTTTAGGCGTATCCGTTGGCACCATGGCCAACCTGGAAGACCTACCGCTTGAATCCAGGACAGCCGAAGTTCGAGTGTTCCTGGAGGCAGCAAGTTTTAGGAAAATGCAGCCAAAAAGGCTTTTCACGCAGGCTGCAAATGGGAGTGCGACCAATGGTGTCTATGCAAGGCGAAACCGAATGCATCATCGTACAAGTAAAAATTGCAGCACATACATTTTTTCATGAGTGTGCTCAAAATAAAAGACGTCGCAGTTTGTCATGCAATGTTTTTCAGGTACTAAGTAGAAGTGCAAATGTGTCATGCACGAAGCTTGCAATTTTTACGAGCACGATATTCATATTTTTCGGAGCATACTGTTTATATACGCTCTCGGGAATTCGCAAATAGTGACATTGCACAAATGGACTTCGGAACGTATTTCGGCGAGCTCATGGGTAGTCGACCTGGTGGTGCCTTGCTCTGGCTGGTCGACCAGTGGATCGAAAGCGTGACTCCAGGCAACCGAAGTCGACGTCTAGTGCTCCGATCAGCTGCAGAAGCGCTCCGCCTTGCCGAATATTTGTCAGGCGAAAAACCGCCGGCGGAGCTGCAACGGCTCGCAGCAGAAGAGGTCGTGATTAAGTGGGTACGCTGGAGTACCACTCAGGCAAGACCTTATGTGCTACGCGAATTTAAGGACTTGTCGAATCGCGATCGAGAATTCCTGTCTCAGTATTTTCGAGCCGCCCTGGAAACAGGAGGAGGTGGCGAACACTTTATTGGACGCTTTGCAAGACAACAGCATCGCACTCGTGAAAATTGCACCGCATACAATTTTTTCTCAAAATCCGCTTGCCAGAATGAAAAAACGCATTTGTCATTATGGTAATGTAATTGTAATTCTGCAGCTAGGAATAGGGAACCGATACCGGAATCCACATTTTGCATGCATTGTTGCAATGGACACGGGGGCGATACCATTTTTTCGAAGGATACTATTCTGCCACGAGATCTGGCCGCGAAGCTGGAGCGTCTCGTCTATCCAAGTCTGGACGGGAGGCTCCGCCGGCTTGTAGAAGAGTGGATCGAAAGCGTGGTGCTGCCCTACAACGAACGCCGGACAGAAGGACGTCTAGTACTCCAATCGGCCGAAGAGGCGCTTCGCTTTGTCACATACTTATCGAGATTCACTGGGGGCGAAGGGGAACAAGAGGAACAAGAGGAACAAGAGGAACAAGAGGAACAAGAGGAACAAGAGGAACAAGAGGAAGAGGAAGACCGTGAGACGGAGCTGGCGGGCCTTCAGACAGAGCTGCAAGAGCTGGCGGCAGAAGAGGCCGCAGGGGAGCAGCAGGGAAAAGAATCTGAAATTGGACTTAGTCTTTTTCCGGCTTCTCCGTTTCTTTTTCTCCAAGATGCAGATGGTCGCCCTTTTCCCCTAAACCAGAATGGCCTTCTCGCAAGTAAAGATGGCGAAGAAGATCGGCTAACCAGACGCACACCAGATGGCATAGTGCGCTTCTTCAGCAAGCGGGGCCCGCCGGGCCCGGGGGAGGACGCACGCCGGTACCTTCGATCGAGCTACCGGACGGTCCCGGAGGACGTCGTAGCCCCTGGGGTCAAGCGCCTAGTGGAAGTTCTCTTCGGCCGGGAACATCTCGAAAATAGCCCGCTGGAGATGCAATTGCGAGAGGAATTCGCATATTGTGAGGAAAACAAGTCCCGCCCCCTTTCTAGTATGCTCACAACGGATATCTGTGACAGTGATTCGCGTACGCAAATCAGCTTTGTCTTGCGAGATGGCGCCATTAGATGTCTCCGCCGCATAATAGGGGCGATTTCTAAACCTAATGCTGTGAGGACTAGATCTAGAACAGAGCATGCGACTGGCGTCTTATTATACCGCTGCGTCGAACATTCGCATAGAATCTGCCTGCAGGCCCTTGCTCCGTGATTAATAAAGTTGACTTATGTACAACACGGATCGGGCACCACAAGTTTCGTTTTGACTCTCGGGAAGGGGTGGATTTGTCGTTTTGATATCGCAGCAGAAATTGCGCCGAAGCTTTTGCGGATCAAAGAAGGGATCAAAAATCTTGGGATCGCAAAGCAGAGTCGTTCGCAAAGCAGAATCGTCGAGTTCCTGAGGGAGAAAAATGGTCGAGTTCGTCCTGAGGAAAAGAATTATACGCAAAGCAGAGTCGTTGAGCTGCTCCTGTTGCGGCTGCACACGTAGAGGCAGGGCGAGGCTTTGTATCTGATCCGCAGGAAGGTGCAGGCTCTGGATCGGGGTCTTCTTCCTCCGCCTCAGCATTTGATGTCGTTCCACGAGATCCACCCAGCGAGGCGTGGTAAACGACTGCTTCCGAGGGTCGCCAACTCGAACTGAAGGGAAAGGAAGCACGCGGGAACCTGGAGTTGCAAGCGTGGTTACAACCATGGAAAAAGAATTTCCTACGCTATAATTTCCCCCCCATGATCTGCAAAACTGATAAAAGACGTAACGGTCGACAATGCGACGCGTATTAGTCTCTCGGACGGCGGTCGCAGAACCTCACTGGGTCCGACCCCAAGCTACTTGCACGAGGCCACGCTTTATCCTTGAAGACACTTTTTTCATTAGTATCTACACCCCCGATCTTTTACTATCGTCGAGGCGCTGGCGACATTGTTGAAGCTTCAACACTGTTTTCCCTCCAAACAGCTACAAAGCTCTCTAAAGATGACACTCGCGATGTACAACCTGTGGTAGCAGCTACTGTGCGCCGGCGCTCCTGCGGGCAGTCGCTGTGTTGCGTGTCTATAGTTTCCCGACGTGCAGCACGTGCTGGTGATGCATGATCTACATTAGCATTTTCTGTAAATCAATATTACACCATAATAATTTTGATTGCTGAGCAGCCGCAGTATTGTTTTCATCTTAGGAAAAAGACTTAGACATCACCTCCTTTTGCAACACAAATATTATAGCACTTTTTTGTCGTGCAAGAAGTTGCCGAAAGATCATTTCTCCCCGGGGCCGAAGTTGTCCTCGGTGCTCCGTGAATGTACGATTCTAGCGGGTGTATGTTTTCCTCTTTTTCTTCAAGAAATGGTTTAAGTTGTATAATTTTGGAATAACAAAAATCAAACCTCAACCCACATTGATTTTTAAACGCCCCAGCATCGACAGTCGAGTGCGAGGCACTATCTGTAGCTCTGTTTGCCCAGCTGCAGCTCATATTTTGAAAACTTTTTGCAAATGGCGAAACACTTTTTTCTCGTTTTTCATAGCACTCGCTCGTAACAAATTTTTCGCCCCAAATCGCCAGAAGGATTGAATCAGCGCCAAGGGGTGGCGCAATAGTTTTCTTGTTGATCATCCCTGGTCAGGGACCATGACCATCGGATGTGAGACGGGCAAACTAAGCCAATACCAATCGCTCGACCGATATATTGATGAAGCGCAAAATCTATACCACTGCATACACGCGCGGTCACTACAAGTACGGGAAGATGAATGCGACGACAAGATGAACCAAATGGAAAATGAGAAATCAATTGCACACGATAGAGGTTTGCGGACTTCTGGTTGTGTGCGACAGTTCAGCTACGATTCCGACAATTTTCTTGACTTGTTGCTATACTAAGATGCGTTCTACTGTTGTGAAGAGTTAATTTAGAAACTACAAGATCTGGTGTGCTGTTGTGATTTCTCCCATCGCACAGAAATCCGGTGTGTGTGTGACGACCTGATATTTTTCGGTGGACGCGCTGAGAGCTTTACGGCTCGGACTCTGGTGGAGATATATTCAATATTGGATCAACATGAAGATTGTCCTCGTAGCATGAAGACGCAATGAAGGCACGCCATGAGTTCCTAATCGCGAAATCACAAAGCCAAAAGTTGTCGTCCAATTTTTCTATTAACGTATAGGCGTTGCCAAAGCGGTAGAGATGATGAAAACGCGAGACGATTCAGATAAGTGGGAGAAAATTTTTTCTGACATTGAGATTGACCAAGGTTAACTATACAAAATTTTCGTATGTGCGATCATCTGCGCATCCGTGCTCTACATCAAATTGGATAAAGGATGCTGAAAAGCGAAGTTTTTGACAGCGAGACCGCGAGAGGCGCAAATAGATTGTCTACCGTCGTATGGAAGATGGCGATCTCTATTTCTAATCATTGGTCGCGTGAAGATAGAAATATTCCGCATGGCAGCTCTGGATATCAGTGCAGCCACCGGCATTGTAGAGTGAATACACAGCAGGTACTTCTAGTAGGGAGCCAAAGTAATATAAAGTCTAATGTTTGTTCTGTAGGCCAATCCAAAGAGAACAAATAGCAAGATGTCGACGCCGACTAGGTTTCTCGGCGATGCAAGCAGCAGCCGCGTTGCCGGCATCGTCGATCTCTGTGCACCAGCACTGACACGAATTTGTAATGGCGGAGTAGTATGACAAAAGCCTCGAGAGCTTCATCGCCATGGAGCAGCAAAATGAGGAAGCGTTGCTTCTTCCTTTTGGCGGGCGACCACCCGACGAAGGCTGTCGTGGTGATTCGGAAAAAGACTGCAGTAGCAAGCTGCCGCCACCGCACTCAGCCACACGTCAAAGAACAACGTCTTCGGAGGACGAGAGCCAACATCTCACTTCTCTTCTACAGGAACCAAATGGGAGGTGTTCTCGGGCCGCGGAAGAAGATGAAGACGAATTTCCGCGTCCCGCTGCACCAAAAGACGTCGACACAGGCAAACCTGGCGCGCGTCGAGCGGGACACCAGGCAGAGGAACAAATCGCGCCACCTTCCGCTGCGGGTCTACTTCAGCCGGCCAGCGCGGGCAATGGAACAAGAAGGGCTCCTCTTACGTCTAGTACCTCCCAGCAGCGCGACACAAAGACCACCTTCTCCAATATCGAAAAGAAAAACCGCGTTTTAGTGTAGGTGTCTTCAGCAGGTGACAGCACGACAAATTCGTTCTGCATGACAGTGCAGTCCTGTCATGCACGGCTAGCACGTGCAAACACGACGTAAGAAAAGAACACACCGTGGCTAGTAACCAGCATGACAGAGACAAGTGTAAACTGTTTTATATTTTCTGCATCGCAGACTTACACTTACAGACCTTTTTTGTTCCATATCCATCCACGATCTTTCCTTCACGGTGGGCGAACTGCTCGGCCGCGGCGGCTTCGTATGGATTGCAAAAGCCTATCGCCCTAGTAGAGGAAATTGCATTACAAATTCGTTCAGAAGAAAAATGAAATTTGTAATGCTGAACTTGGAGTAAGAAACTAGATCTGTCATGTATAAATGCAATTCACGCAACTACTCGGTGGGCTTTTACCGAATGCATACTTTGCCGAGGTTTACAAGGCGACAAGGGGGGAGAAGAATTTCGCGCTCAAAATCGTCTCCGCCCAGAACAAGCACAAGTTGCTGCAGTTCCAGCAAGAGGCGGTTCTGCTTGAAAACTTGACGAAAAAGGACAGACGGGGAAGAAAACATGTTGTCCACTGCTTCGGCTCCGAGTGTGACGTGGCGAGTTTGAAGATTCACATTTTGCTGGAATTCGCGGACTGTGACTTCGAAGCCTACCATCGGAGTTTCGTGACGAAAGTCACATCGAATCCGCCCCCAACTGCGGCGGCCAACGGATTATTCGGTGCCAACGGTGCGGGAAGCAGAGACTCTTCCAGCTGTTCTAGAGGTTCAAGAAAAACGAAGTTCTTCATGCCTTTCAACATTATTCTCCATTGCGGGAAGCAGATGGCGGCTGCGGTTGCTTACATCCACAGCAAGAACATCGTGCATTTTGATTTGAAGCCGGCGAATTTTCTCATGTTTGAAAACAAGCAGAAAATCAAGCTGTCCGACTTCGGGCTAGCCAGGGAAGTGGAGGAAGATAAATCCCATATCAGCCGGTTTGGGCAGTGCGGCACGATATTATACATGGCTCCCGAGGCTTTTCATCAGGGAGAGCAATACGAAGCAAGCATGAAAATGAAGCCGGAAACGGATATTTGGTCCCTTGGGATCATACTGTACGCGATGATCTACGAAAAACCGCCGCACGCGTATTTGTTCAACCAGCCGGGGGGCGGAAACCGGGTGATGTTCTGCATTGTGGATCCGTTGATGGAGATCCTATCCTGTGCAAAAGTATCGTACTCGTGCAAATGCAAGTCTTGCATTACAAATCTTGTTCTTAAAGGCAGATCAGCATTTCAAATTTTATTTCTCATGCTGAGGAAATTTGTGATGCATTTATACGATTGCGATACCATGCTTTTGCAATCCATAAATCCAGTATCCGGACAAGTTCTGCGCCTTCACGCAGGACATTCTAGACGATACTCTCGCGGACTTCGAAGGACGAAGGCTCGAGCATTTGCTGTATTTGGTGCAAGTCTGTCTCGCGCGGGAAATCACAGAGAGGATCACTGCTTTTGATTTAGAAAAAGAGCTGGTCGGCCTGGAGATGGTGGGAGATGCGGTGTTAGCGTCTTCTTCTACTTCTTGCGGCACTTCTTCTTCCCTGCAGTCTGCCGCTTGCGACACTGGGGACCACCACCAGCTGTGGGAAGGCCACAATGTTGTCCTGTCTCGGGCCAGTGCCGACGCTATAAAAATGCAGTTAATGCAAGATGGACCAGGCGATCTCGATCTGACTCAAAATCGAAATCGTGCATCCAATTCCACCGGCACCACAACCGCGGGTGATGGGTCATCTGCTCCTTCCGGAGGTTCCATCGACAACAGTAGGAGCACCGCCGCTTCTTTTTGTGCAAAATTAAACCTGGATAAAAACTTCAAGTTCCGCACAGCATTAGTACGTCCGATCCCGGGAAGCACGGCGACGGTGTTGCATCGGAAACACATTCCGCAGGTACAAGTAGCCGTCCAACAAGTGGCTGGCTCTGGATCATCTTCGGCAGGAATGAATGTTCATAGCGGGGTAATATCATCATCTGCCGTGGTGACACCTTCCACCAGCTTCAAAATTACATCGCTGGAAACCGCTCCAGCGCAGGAGCGGACGATTGCGCCGCCGGTGGTGGCGGTTGAAGAAAAGTTTTTGAATGGGAGGCTCGAGGAATCTTCCGCACAAGAAGAAACCACTAGGCAGCCACCAGAGCTGGACCTGGTGGAGCTTCTGCCGCAGGATATTACAGTGTCCCCGCTCGTCGGTGGTGGTGCACGCTCCGATGTAGATCCGAATTTCGACCTCGACGAGGAAGGGCTCGTTGGCAGAAAAAACGAATTGGACAACATTCCGACCACCGAAGTGGATGAGGCTTCTAAAGTTGATGTGCCAACACCAACAGCTGCAACATTTTGGACCAGCGTCGCTGGACAAGTGCTTATCTCGGCCCTTATCCTGTCTATCGGCATAGGCGCAGCTGTATCTATCGGCATATTTGGAACAAACACCGAAGTTGTACGAGATGCAGGAGGTGCTTCGGGCGCCGCGAATCAGCAACTGAACTTTGGAGCGGGTTGGGGCAATGGTTTGTTTCCACGACCTGCCGGAAACGGTATGGTTTTCGTCAAAAACGCGAATGATTTCGATGGTAATGAAACGACCAATACTGGTGGTAGTCCTGACGGAACATTAAACGGAACGTCTAGTGGTCCTACAGAATCTCTGCAGCCCATACTACCGAACCCTCACACTGCGTTTTTGCCCCCGAGTCCGAGTGCTCTGAGCCCAGGAGTGGTGGTGTTCGGAGATGGAGGCGTAGGTGGCGGCGGAGATGGCGGGTTTGACGGTGGCGCTGGCGGTAGCGACGGTGGTGGTGGCCCGGCAACACGACCAAATACCCCCGTTGCCCCTCGTCCCGGTGGGAGTAATTATCCCACTGGAAATTATACCGGAGGTGGAACATCACCAGGCAGCTCTCCACCTCTCGTGCGTGGCAACCTGCCCGTCCCCGCAGCTGCCCCTGCAATGGTTGCTACGAGTTTAATATTGCCAGTAGGACCAAAAGCTGGCGCCGGCGGAATGATGCCACAGCCGAAACAACGTCCAGCTCGTCCCACACCTTCCGTTCCGCCTTCCGCTCCAGCAGTTGTGCCGCCAGAAGTTAGCAGTACACCAGGAGACGGTCCGCGAGGAGTATCACCGGCGGGCCAACCAGTCGTACCACCATTGCCCTATGACGGGTTGGTCACGGCGTCGTCGACGGGGAATACGACTAGCACCTCGCCGTCATCGCCAAGTACCACGACGCTACCGACGGCTGCACAACGCCCTCCGAGTACTAGTACGCCGATGCAGTCAACAACCCAGAATGCTCCATTGCCAACAAGTACTCGAACTGCATCGCCACCAAGAGGCGCGCAGGTGCAACAGGATCCACCGCCGGCATTTTTACCACAAGAGCTTGCTGCAAATGGAATAGCGAGTGAGCCGCCAAGACGAAGAGACCCAGAGGGAGTAGAGCGATCTGCCGTTCCTCAACCGACACGGGACGAAACTCTGACAGAGCCGAGTCGCAATGGAAATGGCCCGCCAGCCGGAGGAAGCACTGGCCCTAGTACCAATGCAGCCCTGCAAGAAGCGGACCCCCTGTGGCAGGGCGGCAACGAGGTGCGACCGGGAGGAGCCCCGGTCGGGACATCAGGGCCACAAGCTGAAGAGCGCCACACAGAAGTACCTCGCCAACTACTGGCGGCTCAGAATATCAGGAGCGGTACAACAGCACCGCCCCAGGTCGAAGCTCCGAGTTCAGCTCGAAGTCCGAGTGAGGGACGAGATTCCAATTCCCGTAGAACTACTGCGTTGGAGCAGCAGACGGTAGTAGAGCACGGCACTAATTCCCCACCGTCCACTATCCAAGAAAAAAACATTGTAGGTGTAACTTTTTTGGAGGAACAGCATTACAAATTTGTCTGGCATGACAGCAAAAACCTGTCATGCGCAGATAGTACGTGAAAACGCCCTTTATTGGACCCTACGACGCATGCCAAGCATGACAGACGCAATCATCTTGCAGGTTGCGCATCACAAATTTACACTAACAACGTTTTTTGCTTGGATATCCACCAGCCAAGAACCCCCAGGAACTACAGCAAGAGGTCCTCCGCGCAGGCAGCTCACTATCAAATGCAAAAATGTCTGGGTCTGGAAGATTGCGAGATTTGTCATGCATATTTCGGATCACCATCACGCAAATGGCGTCTGATGCAGGCAAAAGCATCACAGGTTTTGAGCGCGCCTCGTGATGCCTGTCCCGCATGAGAAACTTCCTACTTGCGTGCCAAGAAATGGACAGCTTTTGGCGCTCATGCAACACAAATTTTTGTGTGTTCCAGAGTTTGCATCACAAGTTCCAACCCTTCCAGACCCAGACACTTTTACATTTGATACTCACCTTGGCTCCGCAAAGTTTCGCCGTGCAGGTCGACCCGAATTCTGATAATTCGCAGGCGGGCACAGTCTATCCTGAGTAAAAACGTACCCACACCAGAGTTGTAATGCAGATTTGCAAAGACAGGAAGATTTGTAATGCGCATCCCCGCCATGAGAGCCATTTCCAATCGTGTTTTGGAATTTGTGATGCTGTGAACAGGATGAGCAGATGAATCTGTGATGCGGCTGCACTTGCTAACCTGCACTACACTGCATAGCGCAACTTGTCATGCGTGACTCACAAAGCTCCTAGGTTTGTGTTGCAAAATCCCCATCCTGACTCTGGTGTGGGTACGTTTTTGCTCAGGATACAGTCTCCACTGCGTTTATCGAGCCATCAGGCCCAACATCTCCAAGGTCGGCTTGTTCCTTCGCAGCCCCGCCGCGGCCGACTGTTGAAAGTGCTGGTAACCGGCGCCGTGTGCTGACAGTGAGTTTACGCCATGAGCAAATATAGTATCGTACTTGTGTGGTCTGTGTGAATTGTACTACTGATGCATGTTTTTTGCAGCTACAGAGAAATTCTTTTCCACTGCCCTGTGTTTCACCACCACGACCACCAGTGTCAGTCTTCCTTATTGCCACCAACATTTTCAGAACACAATTTACGCTAAAGGACGATATATGAGCTTGTGATGCATAGACGCGATGTAGCGAAAGCGACGTGAATATCCAGCCGGCGGTGGTGCCAGCGGGTTGTGGTACTGGAGGAAGCTCGGGCTCCTCGGGCGTCCAACCCACAGTCGTGCAGACGCCTGAACCACCACTGGAAGTGGCAGGGCGACATGTTGGTACGAATACTTTAGCCGCGCGAAGACCACCGCCCATGGGTCAGCCTACAGCCGAAACCGCAACAAGTGTTCTGGGGGGTGGACAGAATCTTGTTCTCGAGGGGGTTCAACATCAACAGCCACCGATCGACTATGCTGTCGCGCCGGGTCGTTGTTCAGTTGTGACCACAGGCAGTGCTGAGCAAGCAGTGGATGCCGGGGAAAGATTCTTGCAACCGAGAATTATGAATGTTGTCCCGCCGGTGGGGACTCCGCCTGAAGCAGAAGCCAGTTGTAGCTCATCAAGTCTAGTGTCAACACCGGCTTGTTCACTACCACCAACCGACTCTGCTGCGTCCGCTCCAGGTACTATAGCTCCGCGCGGAGGAGTACTAGTACTGGAACCTGCATCCGCATCGGGAGGACCCCCAGCCACTTGCGAGGAAGCTACAGTGGGTGGTGGTGGTCTTTTCCCGGCACAAGGAGGACCTGATGGTGGCCGCTTCCCTGCGCAAGGAGGACCCGACGGTGGCTGCTTCCCTGCGCAAGGAGGACCCGATGGTGGTGGTGTCTTCGCAGTACAGCAGTCTTCCGCGGCTGATAACAGCAGCACCGTCGGGGACGAGCAAAGTAGTACTACAGCTGGTGAAGCGAATGTTTTTGCGACAGTGCTGTCTACAACACGACAGGAAGATGAAGTAGAGGCGCCTGCAGTGCGCCACCAGGACGACCACGACACAGAGCCGCGTAGGCGACCCAGCTGTGATGGCCCAGGTCCGGGCGACCTCGTGACCTTCGCCAATTTGCAGACAATTTTTCTTATCACACGATGAAAAAGCGTTCCATGTTTTGCGCCTTGTCAGGCTGGAAAAGCATTGTCATGATATATGCACCATTGCCATTTTTGGTGCCTGACGGACGGAGTGGTTAAAACTTGCTCCACTGTGCGAAGAAAAGACTCATTTATACTTGACTCAGATTTGTATTGCTCTACTGATGAATTGATGGCCCCCGCTGCTGCGTCATCAAGACAGAAATAGAAATTTCGGCACAGCAACAAGCGAAACGCAAAGGAGAAGGTAGCGCCTAAGTACTTCTTTTGAAAAAAAACGCTTCTCGCGGAAGGTGGTGGACGAACCAAAACTCAGCGCTTTTTCAAGCGATACCGCAACGCGATCTAGTAAGGCGCGCTATAGCGATTCCAGCCTTCCGCGCAGAAGTCGGTAATGCCATCGGGAATTGGCACCAGATGCGAACCGCGCTCGGAGAAGAAGTTGCGAAGGAGTTGAAACGCTCGTTTCTAGCAGAAGAAATGGACGACTTCATGGCGGAACTGCTGCGCGAGCAGCTGCACAAAATGCAAGTTCTGCAGCTGTCAGAAGGTAGTACCAGTTTAATCGGCTCTGGTGTAGTCGCTCAAGGGGCAGCTGGGACGCAAATTACCGTTCCCGCGGAAGTGTACTATGATTCTGCACGTGCACGTTACAGATTATTATACGATATTACGGAAGAAAGCGGCCGTCGTCGCTGTCACACGACCACATCGCCGGAAGGTCAGAAGTATGAACTGCAAAAGTATCGTACTCGTATAAATGCATGACAAATTCCCTCAGCATGAGAAATAAATTTTGTAATGCGGATTTACCTTGAGACAAAAATTTGTAATGCATGATTGCAATACGAGTACGATACTTTTTCACAGGATAAGAAGATAGCCGAGTGGGTGGAAGAAAAGATCAAGCAGGCAAGAGAGAAAATAGCCGAGGCGAGAGCAGTATCAAATGCAAATCTGTCTGGGTCTGGAAGAACGAAGCAACTTGTCATGCTAAATCTGAATCATGTGGAAATCTGTGTTGCGTGATTGCCAAAAGCTGTCTACTTTTGACCTGATCGAGAGGCAGTTTCTCATGCAGGATAGGCATGAGAGAACTCTCACAGAATCTGTCATGCGATGTTCTACATACCAGACAGCATGGGTCATGGAAAATCTGCATGACAAGTCTACTGGCATTCTCCCAGACCCAGACACTTTTGCAGTTCATAAGCAGCAGGGGAAATTCAGAACCCTGCTGAAGTACTGGCTTTCCTGGCCGCCGGAGCGGGTCGTGCGACAAGTGCCGGCAGGACAAGCCTCGACAATCGGGCAGAGGAAGGAGGTGACGTAGAATTTCACCCTGAATCCGGAGCCCCCACCCCAGCAGCTTCTGATGTGCTGCTCTACGTGCCGCCGGTAGTTCTATCTGAGAGGCTCGCAGGGCTGCTAGAGCAATTTGCCCAAGCAGAGATCATGCGAGACGATCGAGGCGTTCTACTGGGCGGAAGAAATTATGTGCTCCAATCAGCGGAAGAGTCCCTCCGCTTCGCGGAATACCTGTCTGGAACTGCACGGCCGCCAGAGGTGCAACGGGCCGGAGAAGTTGTTGACGCAAAGGCACGGAGGGACGGACAAGAACACCTGAATGAAGGTGGTATCAAACTAGAATTAAGGTGCCCGAGCCTGAGAATCTGATTAGGCATCAAAGCCGTGCTGCAAATCTATCTCTGCGGCAGTATGTATCAGCATCGTGATTGTTTTCGGCTTAGAATCTGAAACCACGTAGATTTGCGCACGATGAACGAGGTTGCAATCATTCCAAAAAACTACTGCATTCAATTTTCTCCAATGCATCAAAACTGTTCATTTTCTTGGGGAGTACGGCACCTTTTTTCATTTCTATACCCTGGACCTCCTTCTACCGTTTCGCGCAAGTCAGCCTCCTACCCGGCCTCAGGCACCTCTTGAGCCTTCTCTTCTACTCTGGGACGAACAATGATCTCACGATGCTTGGGCATCAAAGAACATCAAGGGATGTAAAATTACGAGCAGAATTCGAAGCACAATGGGCACCACAACTATTGCGCATGATTTACACACTCGATAAGGGCGGTGGGAGGTTTCCGTGGACCAACATCGCACCGAAGAATAATCGTCATGCTCCTGCACGATCGAGCGGAATATTAACGGGGGCACGACAAGCAGGAGGTTATTCATCTAGCCAGAGAGGTGACCACACCTCGGGATCAGGATCTACTTCGTCGGGGTCATCTTGTTCGTCGTCCTCTGGCCGACCTGTACCCCGAGCTGCGGCGGATCATGGTTGTTCCGGAGGTGATCATGCAGAAGTGAGCCGCCCCGCCCCACACGCGGATGAACAAGACGCAAGCCACGCTTCAGGATCACGAAGCGAATTTTCACAAGGAAATCCAAACCACGAGCATCGCCCGAGGAACTACGAAGCGGTGTTTGTAGAGGAGGTTGATTGAAATTTGTGTTGATCGTGTGATCTTGACCTCCCGAACACACTCCTTCTTCTTCTTCTTACGGGAAACAAAACGCGTCCTTTCCTGATTGTGTTTGCTCAAAACCTTGAGCCAACGGCTCAAACGAAAATTGTTGTTGTACATGTTTCAGCATGAGAGATTCGCTCTCCACCCGGTTCCAGGGTCTATCTAATGTTCTCTCTCAAAGAAAGAAGAGTGCGAATAAACTTTTCCCCAAAAACGAATACGAAAGATATTGGAAAAACGATGGATGCGACTAGTCGTGAAAAAACAGATACCGACTAGCGACGACCACGATAAGCGAAAAAACAAGCTCTTGACCGATGAGAGATAGGTGTGAACACATTGTGAACAACACCCCTCCTCAAACTAGCCGAAGGACCTGCTTTTTGCAAATTTAAAGCTTGGAAAATGGCTGGTCGTGCTAGTTTGCTATTTAGTGGCGTTTTTCTTCTACTAACTCAACTATCTGTATGCTGACCTGTATGCATGCTATGACTTTTACTCGATTTTATGCGCTATGGATTAATCATACTGATGAGAAAGTTATGCACTTTGATCGGCAGTGACTTGGTAAGGATATCAGCATACTGGTATTTGGTTTGCACATGGACTACCTTTACTTCTTTTCGCTTGTGTAGGTCTTTGATGAAGTTGTAACGTATATCGATGTGCTTGGTTTTGCGCGTGCTATCACTTTGCTCTACTAGATCTATGCAGGACTTATTGTCCTCAAAAATTACTGTTGGGCATTTTTTAACATCAGGAATTTTTGCACTTTCGGCTAGGCTGGAGATAAAATTCCGATAATACAAAATCTCGCGGCCGCACTCCGATATAGCGTAGTACTCGGCTTCGCAGCTGGAAAGTGATACAGATTTTTGTGTGATCGATTGCCAAAAAACTAAATCACCACCATAGAAAACGAGGATGCCGGAAGTGGATCGGCGGTCTTCCGAATTGCCCCAATCGGCATCCGAAAAACCTATGATCTCTTCAGCATCGGGCGTGTGCGTGCACGCCTTTATTTCTAGCGGTTGCGCCCCACGAAAGGTCAACGCAAATTCCCGCGTGCCCTTCAGGTAGCGTATGAGCCGCGCGGCGGCGATGTGCTCGCGCTTCGTATTTTTGTCGCTGAATTTTCCTAGTTCTTTTACTGCGTAGCCGATATCATATCGCGAAGCTACTGCAAGATACATGCACATCCCGACTAATTTTCTATAATTGCTGCTGTTGACCTTGGTCGGTGCGTTTGTATCATCTTTGTCTATGTCAATGGATCTAAGATCGGTAGAAGGCGTGCGCACTGGCATGCAGTTTTGCATGTCAAACTCAGAAAGAATTTTGTCTATGAGTGTCTCCTGAGTTATTTTTATAGTGCCCTTCTTTTTGTTTTGATGAATATGCAGGCCGAGATACATGCGATGCGAAATTCCTTTTTCGTCAGTAGTAGGCTTAATCCGCTTGCAAGCGAAGTTTTGCAGTATCTCACTAACCTCAGCATCGATGGCATCCTGTCGGCCGAACAGAAGTAAATCATCTACATACAGGAGGAGATAAACCCCATTGCGGTCGAAGAGACACGGCTCGACTTTATTCTGTCGCCAACCATGCGAGGACAAAAAATCTCGAAAATACTCATACCACCTAAATCCGCTCTCCTTCAGCCCATAGAGGGCGCGCTGAAGCTTCCAAACTTCGCCCGGCTTCGTCCGCCACTGCGGCGGCGGCGAAACGTAAACCGGCTCGGTTAGTGGTGCATTGACATACGCATTGGAAATGTCGTATTGGTCTATGTCCCACTTTTTTCTGGCGGCTAGGGAGAGCAGGATTCTGAGCGTACTAAAACGCGCGACGGGCGAAAAGTAGGCATCTGCGCCATGCTGGCGGTTGCCAAGCACCACACATCTGCACTTAAATCTGCCATCCTCCTTGCGCGACAGGATAAGCCTGAGCGGCAAAATATCCTTCTTGGGTATTTTTGCCCACTCAGGTTCCGGCAGAGGTATGGCGAAGTTTTTAGCTTCAAGCCCGTCCCGCTCTACTTGTATACACTTAGACCAATGGGTCGCGTTTGCACTTTGTAGCGCCTGCCTAATGCAGATTTTATCAGCTAAAAAGCATAAGTCCTGTACACTTTGCATAGTGAATTCTACCTCAGGACATTCAACTTGCAGGTAGGCCAACAACTCCTCCGTAGTGCAGTCTTGCGTATCCTGATCTCGCGCTTGGTTCCGCAGCAGGTACGACTCGTCCTCGAAGGAGATATAGGACAGCGCGGCGCCCGCATTGTTGTGTCGCACCGTCTTTGGCGTCGGGATGGATAAGAACACGGCGTCGAGGGTCGTCTGTATCTCCGGTCGCGAGTGCTGTGCGGGCTTCGGCTGGCTACTGTTCTGGTCCCGGTCGCAGGAGCTGTTTATTGCTGCTGTATCAGAAGACGTCGCGACCGGTGCGCGTTTCCCTTCCTTGGGAAAATGTCGATCACTGTTGCGCGTCCCCTCCTGAAGCTGTTCGTCGGTGGTAGTTACGAATTTGCGCGGGGCAGCTCCGGGAACGTATGTGCGGCACGCAATTTGCTCGGCGAAGGTTACTTTATTCCGGACACGGGAAACTGGTGCGATTGGCCGTCTCCCCGTGCTGTTCTTCCGCACAAAGTCTCGGACCCTTGGCAGGACCTTGTCGAGCTTTTCGTCGTAAACTGCGACGTCGAGGGAATGATCGGCAAAACCTAGAAACCGCCCCGGGCTCCTTCGGTCCTCGAGCTTGCCCTGCGGCTTCGTGTTGTAAAATACTTCCTCGCCGAAGCGAAGAAGTTTGGCCGTGTCGAAGTCCTCGCCGTAGGCTTCCCGGTGGGAGTTGCTGCCGTGCAGGCATTTTCGCGGCATTATCGACAAGCAGAAAACGTAGTGCTTTATCGCATAGCACCACAACTTTTTCGGCAGTCCGGAGTCAGCGATGAGTGTTCTTGTGCCCGCGAGGGCCAGCTTGTTCAACACCTCCGCGCCGCCATTCATCGGCGATGAGTAGTAGGAGGTGAAGATCTGGACTATTCTATTAGCCCGGCACTCGGCCCGGAACCGCTCCGAAATAAATTCGCCACCGTTGTCCGACTTCAGCCGGCGCGGGGCGGTGTGCTTCGCGATCCAGAGTCGCAGGCCATTGACGCTGTCAGCCTTGCGGCGCAACGGCGCCACCTCCGGCAGCCGCGTCTTCTTGTCCGCTATGGTCATCGCGAATTTATGTCCGTGCATCGACTCCGGCAGAATTGGGCCGCAGAGGTCCGTGCTGATTTCGTCATTGAATGTCAGCCGGCCCTCGTACTGGTCATCCCGCGGCCCCGCCCGGTGTGGAGCCTTTGCTGCTCTGGAGATCGTACAGCTCTGGCAGAACCCGCGGTAGGGAAGTATGTGTGCGCTGCGGCAGTGGTCTTCAAAGCTATATGTCAAGCATGAGTACTCCTCCTTACTAGTATTTTTGTGGAATATTACGTAAAAGAGACCGTTCGTAAATCTGTGTATAGCGATGCTCTTCCTCTCCTGGCCGGGAAGGAAGAGCTGCGCAAGGTCTGCGCTGAAAAGAAATCCTTTCGCCAGCAAAATGCTGACAGCGAGGATGTTAAAAGGTATGCAATCGTTGAAGATTGCCCTGCTGATATTGATCAACAAGTTGTTATTTGCAAGTGGCTTGGGTTTGCATATTGGCGCCTTGACTGGCTCGCCGAATATGCCCCGTACCGATGTAACTTGGTCCCTGTAAATCGTATCTACTAGTGTGCTGTCTTGGAGCATGTGTGACGTGGCCCCCGTGTCGAGTAGCCATATGGAAAAATTTGCATTGGATAATGTATCGACTGTTTCAACCATACTATAAATGTTGTCCATTCTAGAAAAAATTTTTGCTGTTTCGGGCGCAACCCGCATGAAGTTGTCTGACATTTTTCACAAACTGGGACGCGAATGCCACTGAGATGAGAAGGCGTGGCCTCAACGGAAAATTAGCGCACTGCTATCCCCGAGGTCAGAGGGTCTGTGACTCACGATGTCACTCCCGCCTGCGCCCTGGCGATGTCAGTGTCGTCCGTACAGCAATATTTATACACGGAAGTAGAATTATGCACATGGGCGTGACGCCTTCTGCTATTTTGTAGCGACTTATCTTGCAGTTAATCTTTTTGCTTTTCAAAAAAAAATATTTGCTTTGTAATGCGGAAACTCAGATTTTCCGTGGTTTTTGTGACAAAATCCTTCAAAATTTGTTTTACACAAAGAGAAACCAATAAAAAAATAGAAAAAAAAAATTGTACAGAAATGCGATTGCAACCAATGAAACGAGATTATACAAAACTTGAATTGTACATTGCGAACTGATATAAATGTGTTTGAAAGTAATTATTTGAAATTGACCACCGCCGCACTATTCACATTTCCACCTTCTCAGTGGAAGTGCCCCGCGACTGACTGTTGTTGCGGCTTGTGGATTGCTGGTTGCGTCTGATGGTTCCGCTGCCCCGGTTCTGGCTGGTGTTGCGACTGGTGGATCGGTCCTGTCGCACGAATTTGTTGTCGCGGAATCGCCCACGACTGCGATTGTCGTTGCCCCAGCTCCAGGAACCGTCGGCGTTCCAGTGCCACGGGCGACCGTACTCGTTGTTGTTGCCGAACTGCGGCTTGGTGTTGTTTTGGTAGTTGTTGCTCCCGGCCGTACGAAAACCGTTGCCGGTGAATCCGCGCTGCTGTGGGCGGAAGCCAACGAATGCGGTGGCGCCAGCAGCCGCTTTTCCGGCGACGTCGGAAATCCGGTCCGCGAGGATGACCCGGATCGCGGTCTGCACGTTATTGAGGCGGAAGTCGCCCGCGATTCGTGTCAACAGACCGGTGACCTGGTGCGGTTCCAACTCACCAAGCACCGCCTTGATGAGATTCAGACCGTGGATCTCGTCGACGGAAATTTTCTCGACCTTTTTCCGCAGACGCTGGTACGTCTGGAGGTCGGTCTGCAGGTGATCGGAGCGGACCGTAAAGTTGGTGAAGCGCAGCCAGATGGATAGTTTTTCACTATTGCGCCCAGGGTAGATCTCGCCGTTGAGCGCGCTCAGGTAGTCGTCGATGGATTTGATCTCCTTGTCGCGGATTGCGTCCTTCAACTCGACCACCTCGATGCTCTGCTTCAACTGGTAGATCAACGTCGAGAAGGGGAGACTACCGGCTACGACGCCGAAATACTCCCGCACGTCGGTTTCGTACGCGTCGATATCGACCTGATGGCACCGGATATCGTAATCGTCGATCTGGCTACTGTCCAACTTGAGTTTGGGCACGGAGAGCTTGGTCGGGTCGACTTGTTTCTGGTATCCGTACGAACTGTTTCCGCGACCAGCGGCCGCTGGGGTGTAAATTTCGTAGTGCTGGGTCCCCTGCTGTCCGTCGTCGGATTCTTCGGAATCTTCCTCAATTTGCTCCTGACTGCGGTTGGGTTTCAGTTTGAAGACGTCGATGTTCCCGGCGTTGTTTTCCAGGATCTCGAGCGCTTGCTTCTTGAGCTCCTTGAGATTTTCCTTCGACAAGTCGGACGCCCCTTCGGTAGCCCGGATCTTGTTCGCCACCCGCGCTACTAATTTGAGAAAATAGTAGTCTTCGCCCAATTTCAAGAATTGGCTGCGGTTCTGGTCGTTCACCGCAGTCGCGCCGGCCTGGCGCGCGAAGATCTGCCAAACCTGGTCGCTGCTACCGCAGATGTAGATGTAGCGAGCGCTGTTGATGGTTGCGATGCCTCCCGCTTTGTTTTGCGGATGTCTGCTGTTCTGGGCTGGTGGCGGCATCTTTATTGCATGTAGTAGTAGTGACTTCAGGATGATAATCGAATGTGTTTTTGGGGATGGGGGTCTTTAGCAAGAGAGGCTCATAACTCTGTTGATCGTGTGATCTTGACCTCCCGAACACACTCCTTCTTCTTCTTCTTACGGGAAACAAAACGCGTCCTTTCCTGATTGTGTTTGCTCAAAACCTTGAGCCAACGGCTCAAACGAAAATTGTTGTTGTACATGTTTCAGCATGAGAGATTCGCTCTCCACCCGGTTCCAGGGTCTATCTAATGTTCTCTCTCAAAGAAAGAAGAGTGCGAATAAACTTTTCCCCAAAAACGAATACGAAAGATATTGGAAAAACGATGGATGCGACTAGTCGTGAAAAAACAGATACCGACTAGCGACGACCACGATAAGCGAAAAAACAAGCTCTTGACCGATGAGAGATAGGTGTGAACACATTGTGAACAACAATTTGGACATGAAACGAGTTCGAGAGAATAGACTTGTATAAACTGAGTTCAACATAACTCGCCTGGCGTTGCAGGTGCTGCGACCATGCACGACGAAGTACTTACAACTTTATTTGACGACGACACAATTATTCTGTATGATGGCGACACTTCTTTCAGAAAGCTGCCCATAGTACTTTTTTCTACCGAAGGAAGCGGAAACTAGTTTCTTCTGTTCATCCTTGGGGCTTCGTCACATACTGCATGTTCTACTTGGCAGCACGCATAGGCTCAGGCTGGACCGGGGCATTACGAAGCACCTCCAGCGTGGGTGTGACCGTCTCCGTCATGATCATGACGAGCTTTACATATTACCCCATTTATTTTCCCGTACGGATGAAAAAACTTCTTTGCATGCACACCAGTATATCGTTTTCGTTCTTACATAAGAGGACCACGTAAGTCTAGCCTGACGCTTTTCAAAAACCCTTGAGTCAAGAAGAAGTGTGCACAACTTCTCCTCCGCCGGAGTCGAAGGAGTAGCGACTTCCAAGTGCTGCCACCGAGAAATGTACAATTACAGCGACCATACACATAGAAAAAGCATTCCCAACTTGCGCACGATGCGACGTCCCATTTCGGATATCATTTTACTGACTTGAGGTCAAGGTATATAAAAGTGTTCCACGAATTTGATGGCAGCTGTTTTCTGCAGCAGCAGTGTCACTGCAACTTCTTCTGCACGCTCCGTCGAGATTCGACGGAAGCAGAAGTCGGCTAGGCATCCTACCCCTAGGTTGTATCCCGACTACTAGGGACATGCGCTGCGCAACTTGCCATCTCCGAAAGTTCTGTTGTCTTCTCGATTACCTACACAAGAATGTTCCGGCGGTGTGGCACAATCAAAAAGAAGCCCCCGGCGACGGCTTGTTGCGCTGCTTTTGCTCTGTTCCAGAAGCGTTATATGAAATTTCCGTGATTATATGAAGAGGTGGACGAGGTACCGCAGTGGCTTTCTCGCTGTGCGTATCAAATGTCAGATAAAAGCTGGGGTTGATTTTGAAAGGATGGAGCCGAGCAAGAATGTTCTTAGCACAATGCAGAATGGCAAATTTCGATAAACCTAAAGATCTGAAATTCGAGTAAACCCAGAAGCAATGTTGCAAGGAAATTCCAAACTACATAAAGAACTGTTTGTGTAGTTGGTAGGTGGGAACATGTATTGACCGAAATTCGACATAGAATCTGAGCCCAAAACAAGAAGTAGATAAAAACACATTCAAGACCATGATGCGCAGCAGCCTCGCGGAGCCTGCGGGGCAGCAGCAACGGGCTGGCAATCTCCGTCCCAGCGGTGTGGGTGGCATGTTCGGCAAGTTGAGTACCGCGGAACAACCACCCGCAAGACCGGTCGCAGCGATATCCCGCAAAAAAAAGCAGTCAGGTCAGATTTGTAATGCGAAAATACATACGAAGAAAAATCTCCTGTCACGGGCAACCCCATAGGAGGCTGTTCAGGATATTACGCAATAGTACCGATTCATCTTCTGTGTATTTATTTTTGCACTGCAAATATGACCTGCACCTGCCTGTCTTTTCCTGTGGGATAAGCGAAAACCTCGACCAAGCCGCAGAAGAACTGGGCGGAGAAGCACCGGCCGAAAAAACTGCAGAACATTGTTTTACGCGAACAGATATGCATTGCAAAAGTATCGTACTCATAGTAATTGCAAACATGCATCACAAATCTTGTTCTTAAGCCAAATCCGCATTACAAATTTTATTTTTCACGCTGAGGAAATTTGTATTGCATTTTTAGTACGAGTACGATACTTTTGCACAGGATAACACACCCGCAAGACGTTCGAGAAGAGCATCGAACAGCCGTTGAAGATGCCCCACCTGCTCATGTACGGCCCCCCTGGCACTGGAAAAACCACCACCGCCTGGGCGTTCTTGTACGAGTTGTTCGGGAAAAAAGCGGCGGGTCGCCACGTCAAGGCGCTCAACTCCAGTCAAGACCGCGGGATCAAGGTGATTCGGGAAGAGTATGGTCTGGGGAAAAACTTGTGCATTTTTGAAGTCGACGGGGAAGTACTTTTTTTTGCCGGTGATTCAGGAAGATCACTAAAGCAGGGTTAGAAGTAGAAGACGTAGCGCGTTTATTGTCACGCAGGAAAATAACCGTTGCTGCATGCGATCCATCACCGAAGATTTTTTGTGTAACCATAAAAAGCTGTTGGAGTCGCAGAAGGAGATTGAGGATTACAAACTTCACAGTACACAAATTTTCCCTACCATAACGCAGTGAAGCCCTACTGTGAGGCGGAAATTAACGATAGCAAGGACGAACCTGGGTAAGATCGGAAGTAGAATCCTTTCAAAGCTCGCAATCGCATGTTGACAAAAACAAGCGTTGCTACTGATGCGCCAAATGAATGACACACAGGGATTCTTCTTTCCATGTGCCCTTTGCAGTTACTTATTCCGGTATGACAAACTACTTTTCCAAAACAAAGACATCAATCCCAGGTACCCTAACCCGCGCTTGAAATTCATCCTGATGGACGAGGCGGACGCGTTAACGATGGAAGCCCAAGCCGCGCTCCGACGCGTGATCGAGGAAAACTCGGATAACACCCGCTTCATCCTGTGCTGCAATTACGTGAACAAAATCATCGAGCCGATCCAGTTATGCAAGACATCAAAAGTATCATACTTCAAGAAAATGTGCATCACAAAGTACATTCCGAAACGGAAAATAAACTGGCAGCTTGTGTGATGCTGATTTTGGAATAGAAACCAGATTTGATGTTGTCATGTGTAAAGATGGTCCACCAAGCTACTGGTAGTGCGAGTACGATACTTGGTTTTCACATGATATCAGTCCCGTTGCGCCTCCGTGGCCTTCACCCCGTTGGCGCCGGACCTGCACAAGCTGCATTTGGTCAAGTATCAAAGTGAAAAAAGCCCCCACCCCACATCAAAACGAAATTTCTGATGCTGTATTTGCGTACACGAATCAGATTTGTCTTGCAGTAGGGGACTGCAGGCCGATATCATGCCAGTGCGCAGAGGTTTTGGCCTAGGCGCTTAGCATGGGGAACGCCTATGCTGTAGGACCAACAGCATTACAAACCGCCTGCATAATGGGGCGGAGCGCATGCCGTTACTTTCTTGCAAGACAGACACGATTTGTGGTCACAAATCAGCATCGCAAATTTTTTGAGGCGTTCCTTTTCGATATGCGGAGGGGGGATTTTTCCTTACAATATCAAGATCTGCAAGGAGGAGAACGTCGTTTTAGTAGAGGACAATCTTGAGAAATTTTCCCAGTCCCAACTCCCGATTGACATGGTATCCACTGCAAAAGTACGGTAAATTTTGTAGTAATTCGAAATTGATGCAATCGCGCATGGGGGGGTCAATCAGCAATACAAATTGCCGTTCTCGTCATGCGGAGCAAATCTGTCATGCAGCTACGAACACCAGTACGGTACTTTTGTCTAATGCATATATGGAGGAAGACTTCGACTACAATGACTGCAACAGCAAGATTCAAGAATTGAATTTCAACACCCCCTGCCTGGACTTCCTCGTCGACCTATGCGTTGCAGAAGTACTATCGTACTCGTAGAAATTGCATTCATGCATGACAAAACTGGTTGTTCCTTAGGTAATGCACGATGACAAATTTTATTTGTCATGCTGCGAAAATTTATATGTAAAAATGCAATTACAACCAGTACGATAGTTCTGTTTCAGGTCCATACGACCTCTCCGATGGCGACTGCCGGCGGTCCATCACATTATTGCAGTCGGTCGCGAGCGTGTGCAGCCGAAAAGGCAAGGATGCAGATAGCACAGTGACTGTGGGAAGAGCCACGAACATGTTCGGCGGTGGGGGCAGCAACGCTCTTGCGTCGAGAGCTTCTGTGGCGGGAGCGGCTGCAAAGGATGTGAAGATTCGCGTCACGATATGACAATGGAAAATTCCCCATCTCCATAACTGAAACGAATATTTCTTGTGTAGCACGATTTGTGATCACAAGTCACCGATTGAGTCCTATGCTAGAAGGGAAGATGAGATGTTGTGACCTGTAGTTCTTTCTGGCTGGCGTGGAAAAGCTTTGCGCTTTAGCTTTACGCATGTTGACAGAAAGCAACTGCAAGCCGGAGGTAACAGCATGACAAATTACCTGCAATTGAGGCCGCAACTTCGTCTGTTGGACTTCTAGCAATACCGGTCGATTTGCGTACGGAAGAAATCCAGCATCACAAATTTCCTTTTCAATATGGGGAAGGGGGATAATTCTTCCTCAGGATACAGAAAGCCAGATCTGGTCCAGGTTTCTAACTCGCTGGAGGAACCGAAACTGCAAGAAATCGTGAATCACATCTTGTTATGCAGCGCAAATATACACGCATTTGTTGCTGGAAACTTGTAATGCTGGGGCGTGAAGAACAGTAAACGCTCTGCATAAATCTAAATACACAGCCAAGCAAGCATGACAAATGTTTGCGCGGCTTGGTGTTGCGTTTTCCGCATGACAAACTGCGTTTATTTTGCATGCCAAGCAAAAGCAGAGTCTCTTCTCGGACACGCGTCACAGACTCTTTAGTTGTCATGGCACCATACAAGCATATAGAAATAACCTTGCATTCTTCCAGACCCAGACCAATATTTGCGGCGCATACCTGTACACCGAAACATTCGAAGAAGTGGAAAACGATGCGGAGTGGCTGTTGCGCAACGCTTTTGCGGTCCGAGCGGTGATCATCCCGATTTGGCAGGAGATCCGGAGCCGGGCGAAAAATCTCTTCTACAGCTATCAACCGTAAAAATGTCTGGGTCTGGAAGATTCTGACACTTGTCATGCACGTTTTGCATGAGCCGTGATGTCTGTGATGCATGCCCTAGCATCACAGATTTTTTGAGAGCTTCTTGATGCCTATTTCGCATGACAAATGCCCTCTCCGTGTAGCAAAAATTAAATTTTCTTTTGGCATTCATGCAACACAGATTTTTCTGGAATCCAAATGCAGCATCACAAGTTCCATTCTTCCAGACCCAGACACTTTTACATTTGATAACAGCAGCGCGGCCTCGATGAGCCAGTTCGCGGGGTCTGGCTTTGCCGGGACAAAACGGGAGGACTTTTTGCCACTACAGTTTTCCAACTATGCATTGCAAAAGTAACCTACTAGTAGAAATTGCATGACAAATTTCGGCAAGTTGAAAAGTGGAATTTGTAATGCTGTCTTACCTTAGGAGGAAGATTTGTCATGCATATTTGCAATTACCTCGAGTGCGATACTTTTGCACAGCACACCAACCTACAGTGGACGAAAGTGGGGATTCTGATCGCGGAAGTCGATGGTATGGTGAACGCAAACGTCCCGACCGACGCGGTGTATCCCTATTTCCTGCTCACGTTGTACCTGCTCCTAAACTATCAAATGCAAAAATGTCTGGGTCTGGAAGGTTGCAACCCAATTTGTACGTTGCGCAAGTGATAGTATATGTAGTAATAGTTAGTTCCACCGGTGGACATATTAGCATGCTTAATCTCTCTCTAAATAGTGCAAACACGTAGTTCTCTTTTATTTTCTTTCTTCATAAAGTTCAAGTCGTTCTCTTCCCTGTGCTGTACCAAGGTCTTGTTTCCAGACAAAACACCAGACATTTTTGCATTTGATATGTACACGAAGCAGGAGATCAAGCCGGCAAAAAATCTGGCGGAGGTCGACTATGCTGTGCAAAAGTATCTGATACTCGTATTGCATGCATGCATTGCAAATCTATTCCCTAAGGTAAATCAGCATTACAAATTTTCTTTCTCATGCTGAGGAAATTTGTAATGCATTTATACGAGTACGATTCTTTTGCAATGCATATCGACGATCACGCACTGATTTGGGCGCAGTACTCCGTGGGGGTGTCGAAGTATCACGACGAGTACAATCCATATCCGAAGGAAGAAATGTGGGGAAACGAAATTGCGACTTTCTGAAGTAGATAGGAACTGTTACGGAAGGGGATTTTTAGTCGTAGATGCTGAGCAGGACAATGAGCAGGTTAGCTTTTTATTTCTATAGGCCAAGACCTTGAACTTCAACTTCTACATGAGGCGTAGTTGTGCATTAGCCAGATTTGAAAAAGTGCAAGCGTACTAGCGAGAGTGAAAATGTCGAATCGTAGAAAAGCGTAGCGAGACCGAAGGTAACATGAGAGAAGTTTTTCGAGGCACCACAGATATTGGTGTCAACGCAGAGCAAGCGTACTTGCGATGAGACTGTCATGACCAAAGTTGTCAATGATCAGAGGATTTTTGGAAAAAGGAAAAAGGAAAACCCAACATTGCTGCGATTGTCGAAGAACTACACGTTCCGTGAGGGATGATGAAGATCAGAGTAAAAGAACAGCAAAATGCTGCGTGAATGATCATCAACAAAAAATGACTGTGCGTGGAAGAAAAGTTCTTGTGGGAAGATCATCTGAACAAGCAGACTAGTGACGATCGGAGTCAAGAAACTGTGATTTCATTGCCCACGACATCCCACGAGGACGAAGTGTACTTCTGACTCAGGCTCATGCTCAAATTGTCGTCCTATCGGACGTCGATTAGTCCCACACGGGTTCTTGATGATCACCAGGACTTCTGAAGGTTTTTGTTTTTTCATCCTCGCGACGTAGACGCACTGTACCAACTATACTTGAAGACTTTTGCGTTTCGCTTTATATATCATACAGCAAACGGCCGGAATATTTTTGAAATCCAATTTCCCGTCGCAGTCGCACCTGCGCAGTAGTACACAAAATCAACATTTCGTTTGGATGACAAACTACAACCTAAGATCTACTACTGGACGAAAAATTTTTGTCACAAAAATGCACGATCCTTTCATGATCCCGAAAAGAAAACTCCGACGCGGTCACGGACCACCTTCCCCCGCAGCTGGTGTTTATTCCGCATTCTTGTTGGCGCAGCTCTCCATGTTGTCCCATTATGCCGCCTTGGGGTTATTTGTGGGTGTGGTCTTCGCGAGTGATATTGTTCCAAGACCAAGCGCGCTGGTATCAAATAAAGGCGGACGCTCGTCCTTTTCAGGCGCATCTTCCTCGGCATGCAGCTCCTTGCATAAAAATCCACCCCGCGAAGAAAAAGAAGTAGACCACAACATGGACGAACAAGCGCAGCTCGATGTTCTGGACACAGCGCCAGCATCTCCACCACAGAAACGGAGAAAAATATTGCGTACTACTGATCATTCCGCAGCTGAACAAGAATGCACAGCTGCTTTTCGCGCCGCAAGCGGCCTCTTACAGGAAAAATTAACCATCGCTGCACGCGAAGATCCACCACAGCAGCCAACCAGCAGTAGCTCTGCCACAGATCATCGTCCTCCGCATCAAGTGCAACCTGATTTACTCCCAACTGACACTTGGGAGAATGTCGCGTCTTTCCTTTCCGCTGCCCGGAAAATTCCTGTGAAACAACAAGTAGGGCAGTCCTCCGAGGAGGAGGAAACACAACAACCAGCGCTGGGAGATGTTGAAATCGAGCAAACGAAGCTGAATCTGGAGAATTTCTTTAAAACCTTGCAGCGCAAGGCCGCCGCCATGTGGGAGAAGCAGTTGCTTATGCATTGCAAAAGTGTCGTACTGGTCCTTCTCCTAGTTGTAATTGCATTTTACAAATGTCTCCAGCTTGAAAAATGAAACTATTTGCAAAAATGCTCCTTTAGGTTGAAAGAGAAGCTTCTCATGCATAAGCAAGTGCAAGAAGTCCTGCGAGTATCAGATACTTTTGCACATCATATTCCGGTCTCCGAAGTTTTGGAACGGTGCTACCGACAACTCGGGAGCTGGATTTTTACGAGCTTGTGCTTCCGACACCGAGAAAGCTGTGGCTGCAGAACGGACCCAGTCGGTTGTGTACAACAGAAATATTTCTTTTTCGCACCGAGAACCGCTGTCGCTCCCCAGCAGATTTCTGACCAGACTCGCTGGGGCAATCGTGAAGCAGACAATTCTCGCGCACGTGTTGCGACGTGGCTTCCGCTTGGGGCCGGAGTATCCGGGTTCCGGGTTCGCAAGTGCGAGTAGGTCGGCGGGAGAATTGATGAAACAGGGGAAAAAAACGTACTTTGGCAACGATTGGCATCGAAGGCTTTTTTACTTCCGTGACGCGGCGACGTCGACACAAGCTGCTTCCGATGGAGGTTCATTATCCCCTCGAAACCTTGTCCCCGGAACATTTTCCTGTCGAGCAATCGACAACAAGAATACTTGGAACAACAACTGGCAAAGCGGTGACTACAATATGGATTGCAAATATGTCTGGGTCTGGAAGAGTGCGATATTTGTCATGCTAGTCTAGCATGACACTGAGCCCTGTATTGCGTGGCCAGCAAGAGGCCCTCTGGTCTGTCATGCAAAAACGCTGTTTCTCATGCGGAATACGCAACACAAAGCCACGGAAAAATTTGTCATGCTTGGCGGCGCATTACAATGTACCTCCTATTAACTAACATGCATCACAACTTTCCAGACCCAGACACTTTTGCATTTGATATACAATCCGCTGTTGCAACACGGCTGGCTGTCTCCGCAGATCTTGTCAGAAATAGGGGTGCGGAAGACGAGAAAATTAGAGGAGCAGGCGCGCAACCGTGGTTCTCTGTCCTCTAAAGATGAGATGAATAGTACGAAGGGAGCTGCGGCCGCGGGTGTAGTACTACAGTCGAGTAGTTCATCTACGGCAGCTACTAGCGGTACAACAAGCTCCGGAACGACCACGGCTGCCAGTACGACGTCATCCGCTTCGTCGAGCTCAATCTCCTCTTCCGGAGCAGATGGCAATACGGCCAGCCTCAATGGTGCGAGTCCGTCAGGGACTACTACGCAGTATAGTGGTGTTGATCACGGTTCTTTAACTACACCAGCGGCAGAGCAGGAACTACGAGGCGTGTCCGACGACGAGGAGGCGGGGGCCACAAGTACGAGGGTCGCTCCACCAGAAGTCGACGAGGAGGCGGTCGCCTGGTCGAATGTAAATATTCAGCCGGAGCACGTGCAGCAGGGCCGCGATGCCAAGGCTTTTTTCGAGGAGCACGTGGTCAAAAATAACGACCCAGGCAAGTACTACCCAAAAGTTTTTCTCGATTCAGGAACAAAGCGGACCGATTACCACTTCCCCCCCGCCTTCCACCGCCTCTTCGGCCGGCTGCCGCGGCCGGAGGGCTTCAATCCGAATGCGCAGGAAGACGAAGAGACGATCACTCTACAAACCGACGACTACAGGGCCTACATCCGGAAGCCGGATGGGTCGAACCGCTGGAGAGTATGCATTGCAAATATTTCGGGGTCTGTAGAAATGCCAACCTGTGATGCGACGTGTGAAGAGGTCCAGACTCTCTGGACCATGCTGCAAAATTTGCATGACAAACTTCTGCATTTTCCCAGACCCAGATATTTGCAATGGATAGACCGGCAGCAGCAACCAAACGACGAGCCACTACACGACCAGATTCGACTATGCATTGCAAAAGCATCGTACCAGTATAAATCGCAATACAAATTTTCTCAGAAGGAGAAACGGAGTTTGTAATGCTGATTTGGCTAAAAAACAAGATTTGTCATGCGTGATTGCAATTAGTACGAGTATGATACTTTTGCAGAGCATATCGACCTGGACCAAGCAATTCACGACGCCACGTGGGGGTATCCTGAGTAAAAACGTCCCCACACCAGAGTCAAGATGGTAGATCTGCTACACAAATCAACCAGCTAAGACTATTTTGCATGACAAGTTTGTGCTCGTAGTGTAATCCTGTTAAGCTAGTTCAGCAGCATCACAGATCTACGCTATCGTGCTGATTGACGCATCACAAATTCCAAAACGCGACTAGAAAATGCTTCTCATTGCGCTCCGCGTGAGAAACTTTTTGTTTTTTGGCATGCAGATTTGCATGACAACTCTGGGGTGGGGACGTTTTTACACAGCATAGGGGAAGACCAGTATTCAATGCAGGACGACCACATCAGCCTGGCGCGGACGGCGTCTTTGCAGAGGAATTTGAACCCCACTTGCGGTTTCTGATTATGAATGTGCACAATGTCCCCTCCCCCTCACTTGTATATGCAAAATCCCAAATCCAGGTGCTGCCTTGTAGCACTGTTTGCATGACAAATGATCCTGGAAGCCCAAACAGCACTACACTCCAGTGCAAATTTTTCATGCAAAACCGGCATTCTTTCTGATGCTTGTATTGCCGTTCATGCTATACAAAATGTGGGGGAGGGGGAGTTGTGGCGCAATTCTATACTGATTCTCGAGTCGCCAGAAGTGTTTACACTTGTGAAATGCGACGTGCAGAACAACTGGGTGTGCGGGGTGCAAATCTGCGAGGCCGACGACCGGGAGGATCGAAGGCGAAGAATTGCGGCAGAAGACCCCCGTAATCGAGGAGACCGTGATGGTGCAACGGGCAGGACGGCGGGGGCGACGAATGGAGGACGGCGCATGGATCATACGGCCAGGGATGACGAGTATCGCCGCGTACAGGGGGGATAGATTTTTTAATTTTGATCGCACGAGCATCAAGAGTCCTACGCACAGCTTTAGCACCAGGATCGGTCCAACTGAAGAAATGCGCTGGGGCTGGACCAGCAGTGGTACTTGAAACCAGAGAGGACAATAAAAATGTGCCACTTCTTTTCATCGCGCTTGAGCTCTTTACGAAAACGTGGTGTTGCAAATAAACTTAGTGACGTTGCAAATAACTTATTCGCTAGTGTTGTAGATTGTGGAGCTCAGATGTCGATCACGCGAGCAAGCGTCGTACTTGAGACGGAGTTTCCCCACCTCTGTCATTCCGACAGAAAGCGGTTTGTTGTCCCGCCAAACAGTGGATGTCTGAGGACAAAGCACTCCGAGCGAAGGCTCGATATGTACTTACCATCTCTACACATTGCCAGGACTGTAGTAGACAGCAGATCGGTCATCTATGAGAGCGTCGGGAAAGGGCAGTCCAAACAGAAACTATAAAGGCCTGAAGCCGAAGATGTGATCGACACCAGCTACGATTAATGAACTAGCGTCTTCGCGAAGAGGTTTTCGCGAGGCGCCAGTCAGTGGATAAAGATCTGTGGCGATTAAATTTTTTTCTGGGCGACGAGAACTTTGACAAGATCCAGCAGCGACAGCGAGTAGTAGCTTTTATTTTCGAGCAATAAACTTTCACTTTCTTGACATTCATTGTCGCTCCATATTATTTCTGCTTTACGTATCTCTCTATTCGAGTTGTCAACATCCATAAATTTTCTTTGTCCTTCAGACGCGCAGCCCTTGCCGCACCTTCGCTAGAAGAAGAAATTATGGTGGCTCTTTTGAAGAAGAGGATGCCCGGGTGGATGATGGGACCAACATGCATCTGCTTACTCTGCGCAGGAGCGGCCCATCGATTCGCGCTGGCCGCCGTGCCTGTTACTCCACCTGCGCAAGATATTGCAGCCGCGGGCAGTTCAACATCTGATGGTTGCAACAGCAGTACTAGTCGGCAAACTCCGCCCCACGTGGAAGATATCGACGCGCGCGCTGTTGATGTTGCTGCAAACGGCAAACGCATACGGCAGGGGCGGACAGGTGACAAAGATTGCGGTCAATCTGCTCGTCCGGATAAATTTCTCAGAACTTTCGCTGAACAAGCGCAGAATCTTCGCCAGACTTTAGAAGTTGCCGATCAGCATAGTAGCGACGGGTCATCTTCGTCAGGGACAACCTCCGCAGCAGGCCCGACTCTGCAAATTCTGCGTGTCAGCGGGGCCGTCAAGATGGATATCGGTTACGAAGAATGGAAAGACTGGAGAGTCGGTCAGCTCCTCAGTGTCGTCGAAGAAAGCCAGCAACCCGCTCCGCTATCCTAAGAAAAAACGTCTTCAACCTATAGCTCACGATGGAGAATCATCTTCTGCTACACAAATCCACAAGTTTTGGCTGTCGCGCATGACAAGTTTGGGCTCGTGTTTCGCTAGTGCTGTCACCGCATCACATGAACCCTACTACCTTTTTATTCTGATTCGAGCATAACACATCATCCCAAAAAAGCATATAGAAGATGCCTCTCATGGGGCTGCGCATGAGAAGCATTTTAGGCGTGCAGATTTGCATCACAACTCCGGGGTCCTCTTCACAACTCATGGCAAACGTTTTTACGTAGGATAACCGCTCGAAATCTTCGCCGCTCCGCTGCAACTTGTCACTGTTGGCGCATCGCCACTCGCGCTGAGCAATCGCAATGGTGACGAAAAGGTGGCGACAATACTGGCAGAGCGGTCCTCTCTGCAGAACCTGCAAAATGTAGCCGGACAAGAAGTGATGTCACTATTCTCTGCTTATCAAATGCAAATATGTCTGGGAGGTCTGGAAGGATGCAAGACTTGTCATGCATATTTTCCATGCCCCCTGGGGTTTGGAATGCAGGACCTAGCATGAGAAGTTCTGCGACGTCTCTATCATGGTGCGTCTCCTGCATGACAAACTGCCTCTAACCTTGTTCAAAAGTGTACAGCTTTTGGTAGTCATGCAACACAAATTTTTGTACGATCCAGACTTGGCATGACAAGTTCGCGTCCTCCCAGACCCAGACATATTTGCAATGCATACTGCTACCCCCCGCACTCAGTCGGCCGTCGTGCCACTGACCTTGGTGGAGAGAGGGCAAAAGCTGCACTTCGCAACACTTCTGAACATGCATCACGCGGGGTTTGGCACCTACACTGCCGCCAACAGAAAGGAGGAATGGAACGCGTTTTTTCAACAAGCGCAAACTGGAAAACTTGCCGACATGACGGTCCCTGGCTTAGAACACCAGCTGCTCTCTATTACAGTGAAAAATGCACCCACCCCGAAAGTTGCAATAATTTCAATTTGTGATGCGACGTTTCCAAATGAAAACTCTTTGTCTTGCATGAAAGGACTATGAATCTTTCTGATGCGGAGTCTAGTGCTAAGTAGTCGTATACAGCATCGCTTGCATGACAAGCCCTGCTCTTGCTGGGATCTTTTGCAATACAGATTTGCACTGTTCACGATTGAAAATTTGTGATGCTGATACATGCAAGACTGCGACTATTTCCATTGGAGAGGTAGTTTGCGATGCAAATGCTCCCAAGTTCTGGGCTGGGGGCATTTTTCATTGTAATGCCCTCTTTCATCCGTGCTGCTTCTCTGCCCAACTCTGTCAGCCTGCCACGTTTAGAAGACCTTATCGCGCCTGAGAGTGAGTGTCAGAAAACTTGCTTTCAGTGGATGCTGGCAGGGATCGAGAAAGCTCTGGCGACGGTTTCACCTGCAAGCGCTAGACCGGCGGGAGCAGATGGTTTTTTCTATGCAACAAGCATTTATGATGAGAATGACCGAGCCCCGGTTGTTCTTCCGTTAGTCGCAGATAAACTTCGGTATGTTGCTATTGTGAGGCAAAATCCCCCCTCCCCATATCGAAAAGGCACGTTTCCGAAAATTTGTGTTGCTGATTTGAGGTCACAAATCACATCTGTCTTGCAAGAAGACAAGGGCAAAAGCTTCGCCCCCATTATGGAGGCGATTTGTCATGCTGTTGGGCCTAAAGGGGGGCCGTTTGCCATGCTGAACAACTAGACCGACACGCCCCTAGCTAGCCTGGGGAACTGGCTGCAATGCCTTCCTGCAATACAAAGCTGATTTGTGTACACAAATCCAGCATCACAAAATCCGTTTTGATATGGGGAGGGGGGATTTTTCCTCTCAATAGTTTCACTTCGTGTGAGTTTGGGGCAGCGAGGCGTGGACCACCCGATCCAGGTGCTATCGACCGTGTCATGTATACGTGTCTGGGATGTGAGCTACATTGCTTTGAGCGCGTTATTCGACGAAGGGTTTACTATTTATTTTTGAATTTGCAGAGTTTTCTATGAGCAGAATTTGCTTGTTTGTCCCGGCGACCCTAGTTCTGATGATGAAAAGGGCTATAGCATAAAGTCATGGTCAGTAAGGCATCGTAATCGTTGATGTTTCAGTATAAGCGCTTCTAATTTGTTTTGCAGCACGAGCGCCACGCCGGAAAATATAGTTTCTTGTTTGGGCACGCGCACGGGCACCTCTGTATACAAGTCAACGCGACCACTGTCGCCTGGCACAAGGGCGCTTCTTGCGATTTCATCGCGTATTTCGTATGCATATCGAATGCAAATATGTCTGGTTCTGGAGATTTGTCGTGATGCAAGATGAGCAGACTCTGATGCGCTGCCAAGCATGACAAGTTTTTCCGTGGTTCTGAGTTGCGTACACCGGCGCATGAGAAACTGCGTGTTTGCATGACAGGCAAGAGGAGCTCTTTGCGGCCGCGCAATACAAATTCAGAGTCATGCTAGACATGCATGACAAATCTCTATCTCGCAATCTCCCAGACCCAGACATATTTGCAGTTGATAATGCAGCTTGGATGACTCGTTCTAGGACCAGACACGTATACACATCCATACACCATCGTGCACGACTATCTAACCGACCTTGACGACGATGGGCTGTCCCTTATGACGTGTGGAACCAAACACCTGGCCCTCGGTTTTTTTGCTATATTTGCTGTTTATAAAAATAGTTTGTCGTGTCCAAATCAGGCACACCAAGCGACACTGGTCTGCTGGGAAACAGATGCGCAGCTCTACTGGATCTGTATGAGGACGCAACTTGCTTTAATGCGTTCTTGACATAGCAGGTGGCCAGGGGCAGGGGCAGAACAACTTTTACTTTTTCGACGGCATTTATGCTATCGTCCTCCTGGCAAAAAATGTCGTTATTGCATTGTTGTACATGCTTTTCATGCAGACGACGCAACACACACCACGTCTCACCGACACTGAGGGTTTATATACATTTGGGGCTTTAACATCTTCGTGGGCGGGTGTTCATTATTTTCAACTTTACATCATCAAGCCTTGGCGATGAAGATCGTGCGGTGCTCAAAAATGATCGCACAGCCCGAACAGGTTGGCTCAGATTCCGTGGCGAAAGTGGGCGGGAATTTGAGCTCAAGTACGTGGCGCGGGGAAGTTTATGGGGTCCGCTCGAGGACGACCCCGGTCCGGGTTGGCGTAACGTTGGTTTCGTGCTCTCTGGGCCAAGACCGGTTGCGCAACAGCGGCGGTGAATGTCGCTGCAATTTTTCTCCGGAACATCAAACGGGTTACTTACGGTGCACGTACATCAAACGGTTACTTAAGTGACAAAACAGCATTACAAATTGATGATAGAGAAATGAGATCAACTGTCATTCAAGGCCACAAATTTACACTTGCAAGTGCTACCACCTAGTCACTGTATATATTTTTTTGTTTTTACACCGACCTGACCACTGTTTGAGCCAATGTAGACCATGAAAAGTGGTCTCAAATCAGCTATCAACCGTTAGTAGAAATCTTCTGTACTACAATTTTACGTTTCGAAACAGCATGAAAAGATCGAACTTTCATATTTGTGCCAAGGGAAAATTCTAAAAATACCATCATGATCCTATACAAAAATTAAAATTTAGAAGTGAAAAACCGAAGTAAATACACATCAGCTTTTCTCTTTTTTAGAATATAGCGGTGTGTAGCCACAGCTATTGATTCCGTGTGAAGAATCAAGAAAAACGTCTTTTGAGTTTTTTCCTGGAGAGTTGAGTCTTGTGAGTTTTTTTGAAGAATCAAGAAAAACGTGTTTATGAGTTGTTTTCTGGCAAGAAAAAGTGAGGAAAGGAAGAAAGAAATTGTGCCTTCTCATGCTGAAAATGCAACACAAACTGAATTTTCCAACTCAGCTGAGCAGTCTTTTGGGAATACATCAATGCGCAAAACGTTCTTTCGAATCTCGGAAATCTTCGAGTGTTCTGAAGGAACAACAAGCAGGCGCTTTTGTTGCCCTGCCAAGTACATCAAGCCGTGGCACTCTGAGCACAAAGCAACCCCGAGCGAAAGCTCGATGAGATCATTTCTTCGATTGATTGATACCGCCATCACCAAACTGCAGGACAAATACGCAGATCTGTCATTGTCGTTTTGCGATAAGTTTTCGCGAGATGTCAGTCAAGGATGGATCATCTCCAGTGATGATCACTGTTTCGACGAATTGCTTTTGTGTGATGTATGGGGTTACGAAGATAGATGACGTTAACTCAAAGTCAAAGGATAATTTTCTTACCTTTCCGGATTGATATGCGAAAACCGAATGTCTCGGGTGATTGTAGTAGAGCGAAAAAAGAAGAAACGGCTCCAAAAATGGACGGGTTGCTCAGCAAGGTTGTGCGGAGCCGCCTCATATCTTCAGCGGGGAAACATGGCCACTCGACCCGTGTTTGTTGGTTTACAACACCAAGCTAAGGGCCCAAAGTGGTGACCCATGTTGCCGTGGCGCCGATTGGGGCCGCCGTAGAAGCGCGTGCCCGCGCCGCACCCGGCCACGAATGCGAACGGGCGCGCCGCCAGTTTACATCCCCGGGCGGACCGCGTCCGCGTGCGGCGCATCCGTGCGCGCACATAAAAACAAGCGCCCCCATATGAGCCACCACGGCAAGCTGCGCAATTCGGTGGGAGCCCCGAAGCAGTAAGTGGCCCCGCGCTCGGTCGTCGGTGTGCACTCAGTTGCGAGCGCGCCGGGCATTAGACAAGCAAAAAGGCCCAAACTCACCTGCGCGCCGGCGCAAAGGGCGGGGCGAGCGATCTTCCGGCGCTCCAGAGCATACAAAAGAGCAGGGGGGGCAGCGCTCTGGCAGGTCCCTCTGCCGCCCGCCTGTCAACGGGCGGCGCCCCCACGCCTGCGTCGCCTGCGGGGCACGGCCGATGGGGCTCAACAATATTGGGCCCAAGCCCGGGCGCCGGGCCCCGTCCGCCGGCTTTTTGGCCCCGTACGCCCCCCAACCTACCCACCCACCATAGCACGCCGGCGCCAGGGTGTTGCATGCTGGCGCGCTGCGTGGGGGCCACGCCCACCACCCCACCCACCCAACGAGGCGCGGCGTGGTTGGCGTGTGTGGCGCAGCCATCTGTAGCGCAGACGCCTACCAACCTACCCACCCACCGTGGTGGTGCAGCGGGCAGGACAGCGGGAGCGACGAATGGACAGCCCATGGACCCTACGGACAGAGACGACGAGTATCGCCGCGTGCAGGGGGGATAGATTTTTGTATTTCGATCGGACGGGCATCAAGAGTCCTACGCACCGCTTTAACACCAGGATCGGTCCAACTGAAGACATGCGCTGGCGCTGGACCAGCAGAGCTACTTGAAACCAGAGAGGACAATAAAAAAAATGTGCTACTTCTCATCGCGCTTGTTAAGCTCTTTACGAAGAAGTGACGTTGCAAATAACTTATTCGCTAGTGTTGTAGATTGTGCAGCTGAGATGTCGATCATGCGAGCAAGCGTCGTGCTGAAGACGGAGTTCTTTGCCCACCTCTGTCATTCCGACAGGAAGTGGTTTGTTGTCCCGCCAAATAGTGGTTGTCTGAGGACAAAGCACCCCGAGCGAAGGCTCGATAAGTACCATCTCTCTACACATTGCCAGGACTGTAGTAGATAGCAGATCGGTCATCTACGAGAGCGTCGGGAAAGCGGAGTCCAAACAAAAACTATAAAGGCCTACAGCCGAAGATGTGATCGACACCAGCTACGATTAATGAACTAGCGTCTTCGCGCAGAAGTTTTCGCGAGGCGCCAGTCAGTGGATAAAAATCTGTGACGATCAAATTTTATTCTCGGCGACGAGAACTTTGACAAGATCCAGGGACGAGTAGTACTTTTTTTCGACGATAAAACTTTCACTTTCTTGACCTTATTAATTGATTTCTGCTTTACGTGTTTCTCTATTCGAGTTGTCAATATCCGTATATTTTCTTTGTCATTCAGGCGCGCCGCTCTTGCCGCACCTTCGCTAGAAGAAGAAATTATGGTGGCTCTTTTGAAGAAGAGAATGCCCGGGTGGAAGATGATTGGACCATGCATCTGCTTACTCTGCGCAGGAGCGGCCCATCGATTCGCGCTGGCTTCCGTTGCTGGTACTCCATGTTCGCAAGGTGTTGAAGCCGCGAGCAGTTCAGCATCTGATGGGGACAACAGCAGTACCCTGCAAAGAACACCGCCCCACGTGGAAGATACCGACGCGCGCGATGTTGATGTTGCTATTAGCGGCAAACGCACAAGGCATGGGCAGACAGGTGGCGAAGATGGCGGTGAGCCTGCTCGTCCGGATAAATTTCTCAGAACTGTCGCTGAGCAAGCGCAGCATCTCACCCAGACTTCATTTGTCGATCAGCTTAGTAGCGACGGGTCATCTTCGTCGGGGACCACAACATCCGCAGCAGGCCCGACTCTGCAAATCCTGCGTCTCAGTGGGGGCGTCAAGACGGAAATCGGTTACGAAAAATGGAAAGACTGGAAGGTCTGGCAGCTTCTCAGCGAGGTCGAAGTAAACTACCGCCCCTCACCGTTCGAAATCTTTACCAGTCCGCCGCAGCTTGTCCTCACGGCTGGCGCATCGCCACTCGCGCTGAGCGATCGCGATGGAGGGGAAAAACTGGTGTCGACAGTGCTGCACGACTGGTCCTTATCCAAGAAAAATACGTTGTTAGTGTAAATTTGTAATGCGCAGCATGCAAATTGATTGCGCCTGTCATGCTGGCCCTGCATAGTAGGGTCCATTCAAGGGCGTTTCACGTACTATCTGCGCATGACAGGTTTTTGCTGTCATGCGAGACATATTTGTCATGCTAGTCCTCCAAGAAAGTTACACGTACAATCTTTTTTTCTTGGATAGTCCTCCGTGAAGGGGCGTGAGGATTTAAGTGGAACTTCCTCTGCTACTCCTTTCCATGATTCTGTCGTGCCGCTGACCTACGTGGCGAGAGGGCAAAAACTACACTTCGCCACGTTTCTGAACATGTGCTATGTGGGCGCAAAGGGGCCGGACAAGCCGGTCAAGATAGCTGAGTGGGAGGCTTTTTTGCAACAGGCGCGGGCGGGGAAATTGGCCGACAAGACGGTGCCGGGTGTAGAACAACAGCTATTGGCGTTTATCCGTGCGGCTTTTCTGCCGATGACCTCGGTGGACTTGTTACCAACGCTAGACGACTTGATCGCAAGTGAGAGTGAGTGTCAGAAAACTTGCTTGCAGTGGCTAATCGCAGGAATGGAGAAAGCTATGGCGGCGAGTAACCCTGGGAGCGTTTCACCGCCCTGGACTTTCTTCACTGCAGCCCATCACTACGACTACGAAAGCCGAACCAGGGTGGTTCCGTTTGTATGGCGTTCTCAACAAACGTTACACTCTCAACTGTTAAATGAATTTGCAACGCATCAAGACCGCATCACAATTTTGGCATAGATTTAGATGCTGCTTAGCCCTTCGTCTTCGAGAATTTGTCAAGCGAAGCAGCTTGATCGTCTGGTGGCTAATGGTCATTTTGCATGACAAGTCATGTAGCTGTTGAAAGCGTAACGCCTGAGAGCCCCATAATTTGACGCAACTCTTAAGTCTGCGCGACTTCGTTTGCAGCTCGTGCGTATCAAATGCAAAAATGTCTGGGTCTGGAAACTTGTGATGCTGGTTGGCGTATCGTGAGGAGGCCACAAGTGCTGGCTCAGCATGACAAGTGTGTGAGCTTCTAGGTGTTGCCTACTCTGCATGACAAACTGCGTTTCTGCATGACAGAAAAATGGCGCTCTTGGGTAACTAACGTGCATGACAAATTTGAGAGTCATGCCAGACAAGCATGACAAACATGCACTCTTCCAGACCCAGACATTTTTACATTTGATAGTGCGAGACCTGGGTCAGATGACGATCCTATCGACTGCGAATATAGTGTCTGGGTCGGGGTGGATGTCGATCTAGTTGTATTGTTTTTTGTATATAGGGTTTCTTCATGGACTACTGTGTGCAACGCGATGGAAGGTTTACGTAGCTAAAATTATGTCCAAATTGCTGTAAGCATCAACGAACGTTTTTTTCCGCTGCAAGATGAGAGCGTGGGTTCTTACGGGTTCATCGACGCCCGTTTGGTATTCAGCTTTGAACCCTTACCGCGCACCAGACACTTATAGCACCGCATAGACCTTCGTATCAACTGTAAAAATGTCTGGGTCTGGAAGATTTCCAGGTTTGTCATGCATATTTCGCATGGGCTATGATGCCTGTAATGCACTACCTAGCATGACAGATTTTTTGCGGGTATCTTGATGCCGATCCCGCATGACAAATGCCCTCTCCGCGGAGCAAAAACTGGACGCCTCTACTTGCTGTTCATGCAATACAGATTTTTTTAGATTCCAAAAATAGCATCACAAGTTGCATTCCTCCAGACCCACACACTTTTGCAATCTATACGTCGTGCAAAGCTACGAAACCAATCTTGAGAACGATGGGCTGGTCCTTATCACGTTTCGACGCAAACACCTGCCCCACGGTCATTTGTCCCAGCAAATGAACGTAAATCGCCCGCCGCGCTTACCATCGCCATCGGTTGCATTTGATGTCTCTGCATTGTACGCAAATCACACAACACATCACGCCCCGTCGACATCGAGGGCATACAGTTGCCATACTATCGAGGGCGGGTGTTTGGGGTTTTCAACGTGATATAGCCACGACTGGGCGATGACGATCGTGCGCTACTCATGGCGGAGCCATATCCATTGCAAATGTTTTCTCATGATCTGGAAGGATAGATTCTTCCTCGCGATACTCTTCTTACAACAAGCAAAACCTGCTCTGCCTCCATTGAGGAGCAAAATAAGCGAGTCTGTATTTGCGTATACAAAGAGCGCACTTGTTACCATGCGGGATAGACAACATCAAGAGGCCGTCGCAAAAACTTCTGATGCTGGGGCAGGCGATCTCTCAGAAAAAGAAATAGTGTGCACCTATGCAGCAAAGTCGGCATGACCCCAAAGATATCTGCGTCGTAGTTTCAAAGTCCAACCGATGCTATTTGCAGTGGATAGGGTAACGGCTTACAGGCCAGCGAACGTTCGGAGAGGTTGGCTTAGATTCCGCGACGCAAGTGGACGGCAGCTCCAGTTCTGGTATGGCGTGCAAGGAGGGACACGCGGATGGGGCACCGAGGATCCCGCCTGGAGGCATGCCATCCACTTCGGGCTTCGTGGGCCAGGACCCTTTGTGCCGCAATTGCATCGCAAATATTGGCAAGAAGATGAAGTGTGGAATTTGTGAGGCTGTTTTACCTTAGGAAGGAGATTTGTCATGCATATTTGCAATTAGTACGACTCCCCAAGAGATTTGAGTCGAGCACCGCCCGAGATTTTAGGTGATGAATATTTGAAAAAATGAAAAGAGAAACTCTTTTAATTTTTGCAGCGCGCGCAAGCTTGCGCTGCCGGGGGGCTTCGCCCTCCCCATGTTCGCGAAAGGCTTGACTTTGCCCTGCCCCTTCGGCGTTTTCTTTCTTTGCGTGTAGTGTAGCCTCGGCAGGCGATTCGTTTTCCCCGCCACCGGCTCGCGTGCTGACGTGGGCGCCTTTGGGGTGTTGTGCGTTTTTTATGTTGCCCGCGCGGCGCGGGTCTCCATGTCGGAGCTAAGGCGCGCGGCTCCGTGGCGCTTTGTGCTTTATTTTGCCGGGGCTTTTTTTGCATTTTTGCTATTTTATGGCAGTAGGAACATGAAGAGCAGCCCGCCTCTGCAGTTGGCGCCCCGTTCCTCTTTTTCGTGTCGAAATTTTCGCGGGGCAAACCACGCGGCGCCGGCTGTGTCTTTCGCACTTTGCTTCCAGAGCTAGTGGCGCGACTGCTTCGCGTAAGCGCCCTGAATTAGCACCAAGCGAGGCTCTTCGTTGGTTTTCCATGTAATGCAACCCCGGAGGCCGGTTCGGCGTGTCAGCCAGCGGCCTGCTTCTTGTTGCGGGCATTTTATTTTCTGGCGTTTTTCGTTTCGCGCGTTGGTCGTGTGGCGTTTATCTTCACTTCAGGGCGCAGAACAGTGACGCGGCGGCGTTTTTCGCTCCTTGTCTGCATTTGTGGACTTACTATCCTTGCTGCGCTGCAGTGCCAGCGCCGACTTACCAAGCATCCATGAGAGGCGCCGCGGTTGCTAAGGTTTTACGCTAAAAGTGGCAACGCTGTCCATGTTTTGCCTTCGTCTTCCTTTTTGGGTGTCTTTCCGCTGCTTTTTTGCCGTACTTCGTTCATTTTGTTGCGTTTTTGCGCCTTTTCGAGCTATGCGGAGCTTTTCCGGCGCATTTTGGGCCTAAAAACGAACAAACTGCCTGGGGCTGGTTATTTTCGCCGCCTGCTTGCCGTATTTTGTTCACTTCGTCGCGTTTTTGTGCCTTTTTAAGCTGGAGGAATTTTTTTGGCGCATTTTGGTCCTCAGAACGGCCAAACTATCTGGAATCGACCTGGCGGATGCGATAGCGCCACCGCTCTGCGGACTTGCTCCTGCAAAATCATCGGCGCGCGCCTTGTCGCGCTTCTGCGCCTTTTTGGAGAATTTGCAAAGCGTTGCACTTTTGCGCCTATTTCGATGGCTTTGCGACCGTTTTTGCTTTAGTTTGCGTCTGTTGGTGCATTTGCGCACCTTTTTGAGCTGATGGGAGCTCTTTTGGCGCATTGTGGTCCTAAGTACGACCAAACTGTCGGGAGTTAGCTCTACGGGTGCGACAGCGCCAACGCGCTGCGAACCGCTGCAAAATCATAGGCGCGCGCCTTGTTGCGATTTTGCGCATTTTTGGAGAATGCGCAAAGTGGCGCACTTTTGTGCTTATTTTGAGAAATTTGCGCCCTTTCCGCCTTAGTTTTTGCATTTTGGCGCATTTGCGCAATTTTTAGGCTTAACTAGGTGGCCCCGCCGTGCGCTTTTCCGTCCATTTCGTTCTTTTTGACTTAACAAGGCCTGTTCTGCAGTGAAATGAGTCGAATTAGCACCAAAAAGGTGCGCTTGTACCTTAAGAAAATTGGCATTTTTTTTCGAATTTCGCAGCTCTTTGCGAATGTGCCCTTATGCGCACTTACGTCGTTACTTTCATCAGTTCCCGACTTTTTTCGTTTTTTTGTCGCATTTTCGCACATGGGGGCAATTTTAGCGCTTAACTAAGTGGCCCCGCCGTGCGCTTTTCCGTCGTTTTTGTTGTTTTTGACTTAACAAGACCAGTTTTGCACTAAAATGACTCGAATTAGCACGAACGACGTGCGTTTTTACCTTAACAAAATTGGAATTTTTTTTTCTGATGTGATGCATGTTTGCAATACAAGTTAAAGACTACGATGCTTTTGCACAGCATACGATGAATGTCGCTGCAATTACGCCACAGAAACGGCTGGAGCACGTCGGCCGTCGTGTGTTTTTACAACTGCGCTGGACCAGCAGTGTTTTTCTTTTTACAACTTGAAACCAGAGAGGACAATAAAAATGTGCAACCTCTCATAGCGCTTGTTAAGCTCTTATACGAAGAAGTGACGTTGCAAATAACTTATTCGCTAACTGTGGAAGATTGTGGACGCTAATTATAAATGTGGAAGATTGATGTGGACGCTAATAAATTGGAAGACTGTGGAAGATTGTGGACGCTACTGTGAAAATAACTTATTCGCTACCTTATTCGCTAACTGTGACGTTGCGAATAACTTGTTGTAGATTGTGGAAGATCGCGAGCAAGCGTCGTACTTATAGCGGGGAGGTTCTTTCCCCCACCACTGTCATTCCGACAGGAAGTGGTTGTCGGAGGAGAAAGCAAAGCGGAACGAAGGCTCGATGAGATCATTTCTTCGATTGATACCGCCATCACCAAACTGTAGGACAAATACGCAGATCTGTCATTGTCGTTTTGCGATAAGTTTTCGCGAGATGTCAGTCAAGGGTGGACCTGCAGTGAAGATCACTGATTCAACGAATTGCTTTTGTGTGATGAGACATTTCTTTTGCAAATATAGAATTTAACACCCCAGAAATGCCAGCCTTTTAGTTTTATGCACCTTTTTGAGGCAAAAATCGCGGTCGTCTACTACTTAGTTCATTTCTTTCTCACCTCACATAGGTGCCAGCACCAGCTTCTTTCCTTAAATATTTTGTCCTTATTTTTCTCGTGCGATTTCACCAAGCGCAGAACAAGGTTTGTTCTGTCATCAGTACGCGCCGCGCAGCTCTACTTGCCGCAACTTCAACATCTCTAGCTGTAATATACGGATAGAATTATGGTCGCCTTTTTGAAGAAAAAGATGCTCGGCTCAATGTTGGGCCCATGCATGATCTTATTCAGCGCAGGAGCCTCTCGCTTCGCGCTGGCTGCCGCGCCAGGAGCAGCACCTTCTGGAGGAGGTCATGATATTTTTGCAGTAACCGGCATCGAAGATAGAGGCGCGCTTGAGGTTGTTGGGCGCAGGAGGCCGGCGCCGGCCGCTGGCGAAGATGGTGGTCGCCCAACGAGATTTCTGCGCCGGACTGTTCCTGATCAGCATGCTAGTAGCGGGTCCAGCTTTTTATGCGACAGAAAAGTACGGACTTATGTTTACCTCTTCAACACGACTGTGTGTATATGATTCTTAATGGTTAAGCACGAACTGCCTCTCCACGCAATACAAATCCACTGGTTCAGAATTTTACCGATCTATTTTTCCGATCCTGTTTTACAAATGTATGATGTTCTTTCTTGGGGAAGTAGGGATCTCATTTTTATCGTATTATCAAATCTGTAATGCAAGTGGCTTTTCTGCTCGCAAATGCCCGATCAAGATGCTCTTCCGTCGGTGGTAAATCCTGTATGATTTCTAAATGGTTTTTTTTGGATCTTCGTGTATGATTCTCATGGTGTTCAGCCGGTCGCAAGCACTATGGCATTTACCAATCGCTTTTCGTGGTCGCGCATTACAAATTCGCACTGTATAATTGTCGCTCTTTCTTTAACTCAATCGTCAAGGCGTCGGAGGGTAAAAATAGCATTACAAATCGTATTTCGTACTAAATTATAGGAGTAGAATCCGCATTACATCGTGGGGAAACATCGTTTTGGTGCATTACAAATTGGTAGGACATAAAGACCGATAGGAAACACGGAAACTAACGCACGAACATCGGGGAAAGAAATAAACTGTCGCGAAACCGCACCTGATTGCGGTCTATTTGGATTATTTGGGATAATATTTGTGTTCTAACCTCTCCATTTTGAAACTAGATCCTTCAATTGGTGGAGAACCTGGGCAATAATTCGACTAGCTGCTTACGATTTACGGCGTAAAATTTGCTATACATTATTTACGGTTTGGGGATTATCGATTATCTATTTTACGAGTTTGCAATGCACTATTTACGGTTCTTGGGGTTCTATCACTACTAATTTTTATCGGGGAAGTAACTTACTGCAAGATATTTTTACTGGTTTCGCTCGGGTTACAGCTTTCTTTGCGTAAATTTAGTCGCGCTGCAATCAGATTGACAAAAATATTATGTTCTTCGGCCGAACACGAAACTACGAACAACAACGACAAGAAGACACCGACTGGGATTCGCCGGCATCCTTGCCATTAATTTCGGGCTTCCGCTCTTGCAATCGCGCGGTGCAGCAGCAACCACAAGGGGACCGAACACAGCAACTACAGGAATTTTGGGAACGGGTTAAAACCATTCGCACTAAGCGCCGGGGGAAAATGGACGACGATATTCCGCATCGGGGTGCACCAACCCCGATGTCACCACTGAGCGCAGTCTCGCTAACGGAGCAAATTATGGCGGAAGTCAGTACGGCGACGGCTACGCAGCCCAGCGGAGGAAGCACAAACGCCGACCCACCGGCCGCGGCAACTATCACTACTACTCCTACTGCTACCACCAGCGGAGCAACGGAAACGGGTGGAACAACCACTACTACTACTGGCATAGCAACTACTACCACGACTACTGGAACAACAACTACCACTACGGGAACAGCTGAGGGAGCGCGCGACGGAGGAACAACTTCAGGGGAACAGGCGAAAAGCTTCGCGACCCAGGTCATTCGGGGCCTAGTAGTAATGGTAGTCCAGCTGCTATTTTGGGTCATTGAACTGGTGGTGACGGTCATCTTCGCCTGCGGGAAAGAAATCTGCGTTCGCACAGCAGGCCTGGCATTCAGCGGAGGAAAATGCGTGATCAACTGGGGAAAAGAAATTCGGATTAGCGCGGCGGGAATGAAAGCCGATGTTGGCCACACGAGCACAACGCCGGCCCCTGCCGTTACCCCGCCCTTAGTAACCGCCACAAGAACTTCTACGCCGCCGACTCCAGTCGCCGCCACGCCACCAACCACTACTGCTTCCGGCCAATTGGATAGTAAAAAGCTTATTTTCCTTGGGGTAGAGCCCACGTCCACCACGTCTCCCGACTCGGTCAGCGGACAGATACTTTACAAAGACTTGAAATTGGCCGGGCTTACAAAAATGCAAGTCTTCGCCCTCCGCACACTGGTCCGCAAAGTAGTGAAGGAAAAGTTTGGCCACCGGGTCGACATGATTTTCTCGGAGGGTTCTATCATTGTGGATTGGGCTGCTATTCCGGGCGTCGACGACAAGGCAGACAAAACGGATTATGCAAAACCACAACTACCCCGTCTTTCATTCCGGGCGAAAACGCAGAGGGAGGCTGTTTTGGAGATCATCAATTCCCGCTTTCACCTGCAGACGGTGACACAGCAAAAGCAGTCCTGGCAGACCCTCGATGCAACTGGGACGGCTTTGGCGATTCGAAACAGGATGCAGACGCAGCTTGCTATCCACCCGTCGGAAGCGTCAGAAGAGTTTTTTGGTGCTGTTCTTTCGGAATTCGTTGAGCAACTCGAAGCCGCATGGGGAATCAACGATCAACAGCGGATTACTATCCTACAAGAAATCCTTGACGAGGTCAGCTTCGTGGCAAGAAATGCGCGAGAAGTTGGGTCGAGTTTAATCAGCTTTGTTGCTGGTTATCAAGCTGCATTCGGAATGCTCATGTCGGAAAGGGAAAGAACGGGAAATACGTTTTTCCAGCTCACGGCTGAAGTCGGTGCCGATACCGAGCGGAAGCAGTTTGTGGAAAAACTCAAGTACCGCACTAGCCTGCCGATTTGGGCCCGGACCAAGTTAGACGACTACTTTGGGGACCGTGCTGAACCTGTCGCCGCCCAGTCTTTACAAAAAGTGCTTGACCGCTTGGCACTGTTGGCGCAGTCGGAACAGTCCAAGAGCAACGCCGACGGCACTGCAAACCCCGGCCAACCGAGTAACTTCAGCGCGACGCAAACAGCACTGCAGGAGCAACAGCAATACTTGAACCGCGCGGCAGGAGGGCGGCTGCAACCACAAGCAGGCGCGTCGCTGGGTACGGGGATGTGCAACGGCAACCACCGCCGGATCCACCACTTCCTTTTCAATCGCCGGGTCGCTGCTGCAGAAAAACAGCTTGGTAGGGGACTGCAAGTGGGATTATGTGGGTATTGCAAAAACCACCACAAGGTCGCCGAGCCTGGGGGCGCAATCCTTTGCCCTGATAAAATTTGTGCTGATTCAGATGCAGCTTCGGGTGGGCGCCCGAACCACCTCCGTTGTGACTTGCATTGCAAGCCCTACGAGTACCTCCCGCATATGACGGCTTATCCGGGTACCCAACAGCAAAATACTAACAGCGCCGCACCATTTCAGCATCAACAGCAGCAGAGACAGAATTTCTCACAGCAGCAGCAACAACAGCAATTTCGTCCTGGTCCGAATCCGTTCATGCAGAAACCAGCTCAACAGCAGCAGCAACAATGCTCTCGTCACCAGCAACAGCAGTCCGTCAACGTGGAACAAACTCTTTTGGGCGCAGGATGGAGTGCTGGCACCGGGGGAAGACAGCAGTCGCAATTCGGAGTGGTCCGGTCAGTCACTGCAACTTCTCTTCCGAGCAGTGAAGGAGAAAGTCCCGGGTTCATGCAAATGGATATTTGTCATGCATTTTCACAGTCCGCTCCGACAAACAGCAGTGAAAATGTGAAAGACATTTTCGCGCAGTGCGGATGGGTCCCGAAACACGACGATCAGGGGACGAGGGCAATTTACGGACTCAGGATGTGTAATGCGGGGACGCAAACCTACTGCGCATTTTCTTCGACGAATTCCGACGCGGTTTACTTAAATACTTCGGCGGACGAGTTGGAGCGATATTTGGGTGGGGAAGAAATTTCGAAGGAACACATGTGGAGCGCCGAACCGGCCGGGTCTGTTCCGCCTCTATCTCTTGTCGCGAAAGTCAGCTTGATGTACACAAAATCCAAGGGCTACAATTTTATGGTTCGGAATTCAGGGACGGGATTTTTTGCTGCAAACCTTCCTTTCGACCTGGTGACGTCGGTCGTCGACGAGACCACGGGCACGGAGTACATTAACGAAGGAGTGCGGGCACACGCGGCGAGCTACTTCAAGAAAACGGAACCGAGCAAAGCACCCCGGCCCCGGGGCGTAGTTACCATTGCCGGAAAACAGTACGAAGCTATGCTTGACAGCGCGTGCTGTGTTGGCCCGTGGGATGGTGGTAACAACATGATCAGCGCGAAGCTTTTGCGGGAATTGAAGAAAAACGCGCCGCAAGTCTTACGGAACCAACAGACCGACGGGGTGGACATTGTGCAGCTGGGGGCGCGCAATCACCTCGTGCACTACGAGCGGAAACTGGTGGAAATCGAAATTGTTTTTCGCAGCGCCGATGGTACCGAGGAGAAGAAACTGTGGCTGCCTTTCGCGATCGTGGATTGGCTTTGCGAAGGGGACGATGTAATTATCGGGCTGCAGACCTTTGAAGAACGACTTGGAGTGGTGTTTATGGGGTCGAAGGTGAAGCTGGAGAAGCTTGGAATTTGTATTCCTCGCTCTCTATCGTGACTATCTTTTGAAGACAAAAATTTAGAAAGTTGCAAAACAGGGCTTGCAGCCGGTTTGAAGGGTTTCGCACGGTGTACGGCCTCAAACTGCAACACAGCCGCGCGAAAATCAAAACGGAAAAACGAAGGCGAGAAACGGGTCAGATTTTTGCTACCAGGGGAAGCGATTTACTTTGAAGTTGGGGAGTACGAAAAACAAGAACTACCGATGGAATTCAAGACCGGACTACGAAAATACCTGTATGATGAAGATAAGAACTACGAAAAGAACTCTCCAGCAACAGTACTACAGAACAAGGTCGAAAAAGCGCTACAAATTAAAGCAAAGAATTGGGAACAAGAAGAACGAAAAACAAAGAAGACAGTCCAGATTTCGAGCCTTCCGGATGATCGCGAGTTTATTCCGGGCGGGAGTTTTCTTCTCGATCCGACAGCAGTTGGGAACAAGCCGATCCGAAATCCAACTTTTAATGCTGGACTATCTAACAGTGAGAACGAAAGACGCAATCTGTTATGCGGGAAACAAGATCTATGGAGCAGCTTTGAAAAGGGAATGGAAATTAACAATCACGAACAAGCACTGACAACCAGCACTGAGGAATTAGAATTTTTTCCGCGAGAACGGGAACAAGACGGTGAAGGAATTGCTACACCGGTGACAGAAGAATTTGAAGACGAGAGTAAAGAAGTAAATTTTTCCGGGGTCCGCAATTTCGAGATGGGGGAAGACGATTTTCAGGTGGGGTTTTCCGGTTTGGGTGGACCTCCCCATGAGGTGGACCCAAACAGCAGTACCGCCCTGGAAGGAAAATATCGAATGTGTATGATGAAAGAGGAAGAAGAACTTGACGAACGGAAAGAAGAACTTGAAGAAGAAGAAGAAGATGCTGCGCTGTCCTGTCCCGACCACCCCAGCAGCGGGAATAGTGAACTACAAAAAGAAATAAAATTGTGTACGATGCAGCAAACAGTACGAATCCCGAGCGAAGACGAAGTTTGTATCCGGGTGCATTTAGACGAAGAGAAATTTGAACGCAACAAGGTTTACAACCTTCAGGGCCGAGGGGGTGGAGCGCTTCCGGGATTTGTCATCGAGCCATCAGTGATCGTTCTGACCATGGAAACCGCCTGTATGCCAATCGTTTTACGGGTTTCGCACAGTAGCAGAACTTCAAGGAAGTTGGGGGTCGCAAGTTTTGTCGTCCGCGAACACTCCGATCGGCCTATCTCAAAGCAGGAAATTGACAGTGCAGTTTTGGGACTATCAATTTTACCACGCGGGCCGGAGCTCTCGAAAACTTTGTATTGCAATCTTGCAAGAGCTGTGGGGGACGACGGAAATTCAGAACAAGACACTACGAGCCGGGGGCGCAGTTTCAGTAAAATTCGATCAAGGTTCCACGGAGCCAAGTACAAAAACGAAGAGAACAAGTACAAAGACTTCGAGGAGGAAAAGAAACTTCTGGAAGAAGAAATTGCGGATAAGAAGTCGAAGTGGAAAGCCGGGGGCGATAAACTTTTACGAACAAGCCAGGAGTGGAAGGACAGGGTCAGAAAAGCACAGGAAGAAAAATTAGTGGATTTGCCGGAGCCGCTGCGGACACAGATGATCGAGCTGGTGGTGGAAAATGCGGAGCACTTGCATGACGATGGGGCGGAGTTTCCGCAGCTAAAAGGGATTCTCGCTCGCCACGTCATCAAACCGAACCCGCAGTGGAAAGCAATTCAGCCGTACAAAACCAACCCGCTGGACGAAATACGGACAAAATTTTTGCTGGAAGAGCATATTTTTGAAAACAAAATCCGGCCGCTCGACCTGAGTAAAGAGCAACCCCCGCCACACACCTCGCCAACACTGGTCGCAGACAGGAAAAATCATCGGACGCGCCGGCTGGTAGTGGACTACCGATTTTACAACCAACAAGTCGAGGATCAAGCCACAGTAATGCCGCGGGCAGATGATATTTTCAAAAAGTTGATCCACGGAAACCCGAAGTGGTTCGTCGTTTTGGATTTGTCGATGGGCTATAATCAGATGCTGCTAAGTCCATGCACAGCGCCTTACCTTAGTTGGTCGACGAAAAGCGGAATTTTTATTCCGGTGCGACTCCCGTTGGGTCCAAAATGGGCACCAGCACTATTCCAGTCTCATACTCAAAATGTTTTTGGGTTTCTGGAATGGTTGTCGGTGTTCATTGACGACCTGACGCACAACGCAAAGGACGACGAAGAACTGCTACAGCGGGTGGCGGAGTTGTTCAAAAGGTGCAAGGAAAGTGGGTTTTGCCTGTCTCTTCGGAAGTCAGTCTTTGGGGCGTCTAGTGTCGAAGTTTTGGGATTCGAAATCGACAGAAACGGAAGAACAGTTTGCGCGAAGAAGAGAAAAGTTTTGCAAATGTGGCCCCTTCCCACTAATTCCGAAGCTTTGAAGTCTCTGTTGTGTTTCAGCAACTACTTACGCGAATTTATTCCGAGGTTCCCGGACTTGGCTCATGTTCTCCGACCCTACTCCGAAAAGCAAAAAAGGTGGTCTGGGTTTGCACAGGACGCTGAAGCGCAAGACGCACTCGAAAAGTTGAAGCATGCCCTGGATGCACATGTTTATCTTGTGAGCATCGATGTGGAGGCAGCACGAGCTTGGAGAACGTCGGGGCGGCCAATAGAAGTTTTCATCGACGCATCGGACATTGCGTGCTCCTTCGTCGTTACGCAGCGACCAGCACCGCACCAGAAGCCACAACCGGTCTACTTCCAGTCCAAAACCTGGAACCCGACAGAACGCAGCTGGAGTACGATGGAGAAAGAAATCTTCGCCATGCACTACTGGTGCCTGGAAGGTGCAGATGAGGTTTCTCGCTATGAATATTTGTTGTACTTCGACCACAAGAACGAAGGTCCGCATGAGATGGCATCTTTGTGGGCTAACACGCGGGTGAGCTCCAAGGTTCGCCGATGGATTTCTGAAATCATGGAACGGCTGGGGTCGTGTTACAGAATATTTTTGGCTGGGGAGTGGAACGTCGTTGCCGATGCACTAAGCCGAACTTGGTGGGGACAGCAAGACGCCGACGCAGAAGAAGTTGCGAACTCCGTGGGGATTCCAAAATATGTGTCCGACTTCATCGAGTTTTTGTTCGACGCCAAGAAGCCAGAAATCGGAAAACAGCATGACAAACGGGATTTGGAAGTAGCAACAAAAGTCAGTAGTATGGTTTCCTGCCCTGTTTCACAGCTGATTTTCAACATGTTTGAAAATCCCAACCGATTACGGGGTCAATTTTTCTTGCAGTTCATGAGCCGTTTTCCGGTTTACGGGTTTCTCCAGTTGCAAAGCAAGTTTTTGCCCGCGATCAGTCACAAACACGCATTGGAAATTAAGTGCTACAGCACCGACACCAGAGGAAAGGCATGGCATATCGAGGCTAAATGCAAAGTGCAAAAATATAGCTGGAGCAACCTGGTCCGGTTACGAAAAGCGGACAACGACGACAGACAAGCCCGGTACGATGTTGCGCGCAGTTTCCGGCAGTGGTTGATGACCCTGACACCAAAAGCGGGACACGCTGAAGAATTCCGGTGCTACACGGTGCTACCAGATGTTTTTTCGGAATACCGAGGTGACTACGAAATGGATTCGATTAGCAGGACGATTTTGAACTACAATCCGAGTACCATGGCGATTCAGTGGCCAGAAGTAGTCTGTCCAAATCCGGTGAAATTAGACACGCTTGCAGTTGGGGGCGAGAGTCACTCCTTCCTCGACGGAGTATACAAGTGTAACTGCAAGACGCCTCTAATTCCAGCGCTACTACAAGCTGCGGAACAAGATCAGGACTTTGAAAACCACGAACCACGACCGGACAACAGTGGAGAAGAATTTGCAGGGGAAGAAGAAGAGTTTTTATTTGCAGCGGACGACGAGGAGTTTTTCCCAGACCCACTCGAAGAACTTTTTGGAGAACCAGCTGAACCGGTACAACATGCAGTGCTGGTCGCTGAAGATCCCGCTCGACAAGAGAACGAGATGGAGCTTGAAGCTTCCGATGGCGAACCAGTGGAAGATGAGGAAGACGATCTACTACAGGACGCACCGCAAGCAGTACCGGTGGCACACAAAAGTCAACAACAGCAGAAAGCAAAAGCGGGAGAGCAAATACGAAAATTTGCTTGGGTCGTGTTGAAAGGAGAAGAACCAAAATTGGAACAGTTCGATGCGGGAAAACTTTACAGCGAAATTTGGCACGACGAAAGGAAAACGGGCAAGGCACAGCACCTAAAGTGGGTCGCTGCTACTGGGGTCGATCTTCTTGGGGGTGCCGACTTGGTTTGGGATGCTTCCTGGGGTACGCTAAGAGTAGTCCTATTTTTTCGGGCTAAAGCGAAGAACACCTTTCGCATCCTTTTCGGCCGACCAATCGAAATTTTAGTTGAGGTTGCAGGCAGCTCCGCACAACTTCCCGAAGATATTCGCAGCAACAGTAAGTACCTGGGGGCGCTGCTGATTGGGAAGAAAAGACTTTTCCAGGAAATAGCAACGGTGGAAATTAGTGTTGCAAGATTGGAACTCGCCCGGGAACAACGAGGAGATGAACACTACGGGCCAATCTGTCATGCGGTTTCAGCAAAAGACGAGCATGAGGATGATGGGGATTTGGAGTGGTTTGATATTCTCCTTCGAGAGATGAAGCTACCGCGGAAAGAAGCAAAGAAACTAGCACGCAGACTCCGCATGGGAGATTTCCGATTTGATGATGATGGAGTTTTGGTGCAGAATGTAGAGGGGGTTTGGTGTACTTGTGTTCCAACTACATTTCAGCTGCATCTACTTCAGGAATCGCATGACAAACACCATGGAACAGTTAGTGCTACTCTTTCTCGGCTCCGTAATGAAAATCTTTGGTGGGTGGGGATTGAAGCGATGGCGGAAGAGTATTGCGATGTGCGATGCTTAGTATGTGGAATCGAACGGGCAAAGCAAAGGACCGACGCTTTTTATTTTGCCGACCGGGTTACGCACTTCGGTGAGATTTTCTTCATCGACCACCACGGACCCTACGAACAAAGCCGGCTTGGAAATAAATACTTGCTGACAGTAGTCGACGCAGCGACGGGCTATGGGTGGATATTTCCGGTTGCCAACACTAGTCTACCTCTTGTTGTTGCGCATTTGAAAACAGTTTTTCACGACCAGGGGCACTGTACTGCCATTCGCTGCGATAACGGATTTGGAACTCAGAAGGGAGTACTGGGAAAATTTCTGAAGTCGAAGAAGATTAAGTTTCGACCTGGGTCACGCGAAAATCCACGGGGACAGTGGCCAATCGAATTTCCGCACAAAGATATGAGATGCTTCATCGCTACGAAAATGCGTTTCATGTCGAAAAAGAATACTTGGGATTTGTATGCTTCGGAACTTCAATGGTTTTGGCGAACTCTTGAACGACCAGCATGGGGAAACAAAAGCGCCCACGAATTCCGATTCAACGAAAAGCCACGCATGGAGCTGAGTACGGTAGCGAAACGGGTAGAGGAAATTTTTGACGACAACGAGGATGGCCTCGACGTTCTGGATTTTAAGACCCGCCAGAAAAACGAAGTTCTTCTACGCCACCGATACCGCCGGGAAAACACTTTTACGCAGAACGACGAGCGGGTCGCGTTGAACAACAACACGCTCTTCCGCGTTGGGGATATCGTCTACTATCACAATATCCGGGCTGAGATTCGGAGGAAGGATATTTTGAGTGGGCTGAACCATGCTGCTTTGTTTATGATCAAGCAGGTCATATCTCCTACCACGATGTACTTAGTAGACTGGCGGGACAGCATCGAGCAAATTTCTTTCGTGCAGCCTGTGCACCGAAAAAATTTGTCATCGACTGGTCTTCGCGTCGAGAACTTCGTCGTGGATTTGAATCGGCAGCACTACTGTGAAGCCGAAAAGTGCAATTATTTTGTCGTGCATTATGACGCTTTTCGCTTACGTTATTTTTATCAAGTAGGAGGAGAAAATTTGTACTGTAGTCGTAAGTTTTTAGAGGACAAAATCAGTGGACTTCGTCAGTTCGTGCTGGGGGCGGTTTGTGTATATGATTCTTAATGGTTAAGCACGAACTGCCTCTCCACGCAATACAAATCCACTGGTTCAGAATTTTACCGATCTATTTTTCCGATCCTGTTTTACAAATGTATGATGTTCTTTCTTGGGGAAGTAGGGATCTCATTTTTATCGTATTATCAAATCTGTAATGCAAGTGGCTTTTCTGCTCGCAAATGCCCGATCAAGATGCTCTTCCGTCGGTGGTAAATCCTGTATGATTTCTAAATGGTTTTTTTTGGATCTTCGTGTATGATTCTCATGGTGTTCAGCCGGTCGCAAGCACTATGGCATTTACCAATCGCTTTTCGTGGTCGCGCATTACAAATTCGCACTGTATAATTGTCGCTCTTTCTTTAACTCAATCGTCAAGGCGTCGGAGGGTAAAAATAGCATTACAAATCGTATTTCGTACTAAATTATAGGAGTAGAATCCGCATTACATCGTGGGGAAACATCGTTTTGGTGCATTACAAATTGGTAGGACATAAAGACCGATAGGAAACACGGAAACTAACGCACGAACATCGGGGAAAGAAATAAACTGTCGCGAAACCGCACCTGATTGCGGTCTATTTGGATTATTTGGGATAATATTTGTGTTCTAACCTCTCCATTTTGAAACTAGATCCTTCAATTGGTGGAGAACCTGGGCAATAATTCGACTAGCTGCTTACGATTTACGGCGTAAAATTTGCTATACATTATTTACGGTTTGGGGATTATCGATTATCTATTTTACGAGTTTGCAATGCACTATTTACGGTTCTTGGGGTTCTATCACTACTAATTTTTATCGGGGAAGTAACTTACTGCAAGATATTTTTACTGGTTTCGCTCGGGTTACAGCTTTCTTTGCGTAAATTTAGTCGCGCTGCAATCAGATTGACAAAAATATTATGTTCTTCGGCCGAACACGAAACTACGAACAACAACGACAAGAAGACACCGACTGGGATTCGCCGGCATCCTTGCCATTAATTTCGGGCTTCCGCTCTTGCAATCGCGCGGTGCAGCAGCAACCACAAGGGGACCGAACACAGCAACTACAGGAATTTTGGGAACGGGTTAAAACCATTCGCACTAAGCGCCGGGGGAAAATGGACGACGATATTCCGCATCGGGGTGCACCAACCCCGATGTCACCACTGAGCGCAGTCTCGCTAACGGAGCAAATTATGGCGGAAGTCAGTACGGCGACGGCTACGCAGCCCAGCGGAGGAAGCACAAACGCCGACCCACCGGCCGCGGCAACTATCACTACTACTCCTACTGCTACCACCAGCGGAGCAACGGAAACGGGTGGAACAACCACTACTACTACTGGCATAGCAACTACTACCACGACTACTGGAACAACAACTACCACTACGGGAACAGCTGAGGGAGCGCGCGACGGAGGAACAACTTCAGGGGAACAGGCGAAAAGCTTCGCGACCCAGGTCATTCGGGGCCTAGTAGTAATGGTAGTCCAGCTGCTATTTTGGGTCATTGAACTGGTGGTGACGGTCATCTTCGCCTGCGGGAAAGAAATCTGCGTTCGCACAGCAGGCCTGGCATTCAGCGGAGGAAAATGCGTGATCAACTGGGGAAAAGAAATTCGGATTAGCGCGGCGGGAATGAAAGCCGATGTTGGCCACACGAGCACAACGCCGGCCCCTGCCNCGAGAATTTGTAATGCGAAGCAGCTTGATCGTCTGGCGGGTCATGGTCATTTTGCATGACAAACCATGTAACAGTTGAGAATGTCACGTTTGAGAACCCCATAACACTGACATTCTACAAGCACTGCGGAACGCAGGCTTCGAGCCAGATCACGGTGTACTAGATCCAAACGTCGACTCCCTCGTGTATGAACATGGAAAAAAATTTAAGTCAACCAGGACACAAAGTTTTTGATATCCAGAGCTCATCGATAGTTCATGTAAAAGAGGAGCTCTCAAACTCAACTTCTGCAGCGGGTGCTCATAAACTGCTCCGTAATAAGTAAGTATAATGGGCTTAGGCTCCTGCGCAACAGGAGGCGCTGAGATAGAATCTTGAATGTAGTTGCAGCTGCTTGACTCCTCCCAATTTTCCCACGATTCTGCAGTGGACGATGACGACCCTCGGCCGACCTGGTTGGACGGTGTGGAGACGCGGACCAGGCAGGTGCATTATGCTGTGCAAAAGTATCGTACTCTTATTGCAATCATGCATTACAAATCTTTTCGTTATAGGGAAATCCGCATTACAAATTTTAGTTCTCATGCTGAGAAAATTTGTAATGCATTTATACGAGTACGATACTTTTGCAGTTCATATGCATGCGCAGCGGACAATCCGAGATAGCACAGGACAACCTCGGACTATTCGCTACACCGAGTACGGCCTGCACCGCAAAGTTTACCTCCGCAAACTGCCCGAAATTTTGCCGCTCCACGTGAACCGCTTCACATACCAGACTGACGGAACAAGCATCACCAGGAAAAAAATGCAGTATCTGGACATTCCCTTTCTATTCTACATCGACGCCCAGGCGAGAAGAAATGGTGGTCAAAGCGGCATCAACACGGAGTTTGAACGTATCAACTGTAAAAATGTCTGGGTCTGGAAGATTCTGACACTTGTCATGCACGTTTTGCATGAGCCCTGATGTCTGTGATACATGCCCTAGCATCACAGATTTTTTGAGAGCTTCCTGTTGCCTATTCCGCATGACAAATGCCCTCTCCGCGTAGCAAAAATTACGTTCCTTTTGGTACTCATGCAATACAGATTTTTCTGGAATGCAAATGCAGCATCACAAGTTGCAATCTTCCAGACCCAGACACTTTTGCACTTGATAGAACGTGCGCGAGTGCGAAATCCCAAATCCCCTGAGGACGCACGCGACTACAGAGATATCAAATGCAAAAATGTCTGGGTCTGGAAAATTGCCAGGTTTGTCATGCATATTTTGAATGACCCATGATGTCTGTGATGCATGCCCTAGCATCACAGATTTTTAGAGGACTTTGCGATGCCTCCACCGCATGAGAAATGCCCTCTCCACGTAGCACAAACTAGAGTCCTTTTGCTGGTCATGCAATACAAATTCTTCTAGAATCCAGAGACAGCATTACAAGTTTAGAATCTTCCAGACCCAGACATTTTTACGTTTGATAAGAGAGTGGGAAAGGCAAGTGCAGGAACGGGGCATGGAAGCTGTGTCGCAGGCGTACGAATATCCTCTGCAAAAGTATCGCACTCGTATAAATGCGAATCTTGCATTACAAATCTTTTTATCAAGGCAAATCCGCATGACACATTCCATTTCTCATGCTAAGGAAATCTGTATTGCAATTAATACTAGTACGACACTTTTGCAATGCATAACGAACTGCATGCGGTGATTTTGCACCACGGTCCAAGGGCCAATGCCGGCCACTACACGGCGGTTGTGAACATCGGTACGCAGCAATCTCCGCAGTGGCGACATTTCGACGACGGGCGTGTGATAGTCATCCCGACTACTACTGGCTCTTTGTATCAAATGCAAATATTTGCTTGGGTGTCGAAGAAGATTGCAAGGCTTGTATTATTCAAGTTTTCCATGCCCAATGAGGTTGAGGTCTGGAAAAATGCGGGGCGTAGCATGACAGATTCTGTGCGGTCTTTCTATTTGTCATGCCTGTTCTGCATGACAAACTCCTTCTAACCTTGAGCAAAATTAATAGGGCAACTCTTAGGTGTCATGCACAGGATGCATCACAAGTTAGCGCCGTTTTTTGTTTATTTCCAGACCCAGACAAATGCGCAGTGCATACTTTGAGCGGATACCTGAAAGAACGAAACGCGGAGGGAAAGACTGTGTGCATGCTTCTGTACAAAAAGCCCAGGCATAGCACTGGTTTCGTGCTCTCTGGGCCAAAACGGGTCGCACAGCAGCGACGGTGAATCTCGCTGCAATTTTTCTCCGAAACATGATCAAACGGGTTACGGTGCACACGGGCCGTCGCGCGAGGAAGAGAAAAACCCAGAAGAGGAAAAGCTGGGAAATAAAATGGTAGCGCAGATAGAAAATCAGCACATGAACCGGGTGCAGCAAAGTGG